TGTGCGTGTGCGTGTGCGTGTGCGTGTGCGTGTGCGGTGTGAGTTACCTCCTTAATCCCTCATAGACTACAAAATAGGCCCCAAAGCCTGGGATGTCGCGCCACCAGGTGGCGCCCAGGCCCCGCGTCAGACCCTTGAGCCCATCGGCCCTGACGATCTTCTTGATGCAGTCGATGGGCCCCGAGTAGAGCCGCGCCGCGCCGGTGCCGGTCTGGACCTGGAGCTTGATCTTGATGAGCTCCACGGGCGACTGGATAAGCCCGCCGATCAGCCCGGCCGCACCGCCGGCCAACCCGATCTGGGTGAGGCTCAGCAGGGGGAAGTGCTCCTCGGTCTGGTCGGTCTCCAGCTGCGCGCGCCGCGTGAGGCCGTAGACGCCGAACACCAGGCAGTTGGTGAGCGAGTCGCCGGTGATGGGCGACGACAGGCCCTTGTAGAGCCCGCGCACGCCCTCCCGGCGCAGCGTCTGCACGAAGCACTGCAGCGGTCCTTTGAACGCTCCAGGCAGCGTCTGCAGCCGCACCTGCAAGTAAAACATGGTACAAATAGAGAATAAATGACATTATTATATTAATTGTAGAAAAATAATTTAATACGTTTACTCATTATGGCCCTTAATAGAATAAAAATTAATTGTACCTTGACGGTGTCAAAGGGATGACCAACGAACACGCCAGCGGCTCCGGCTAGCGTGCCCGCGAGGAAGTGTCGCACGCGCTCCCGCGACGCCTGGCCGGAGTCTTGCCCGTTGCCACCATCACTCCAACCACAAGCAAAATTGAGGTAAGATTTTCCTACCTGGAGCTCCAAATCTCGAACCCACACTCGAGCAGTACCTCATTTTGGTGGCAAATTCAATTCAAATTGAGTTGAAGGGGCACACTTCCTCTTTCGATGTCTCTCCAATCTCGAATCTCCGCGGTGGCGGGAACCAGCCAAAACCTCAAACTCTAACTCCGGCGGTCTGAGCTAGCAACACTTGTTTTTGGTGGCCAAAGCTCACACTACAACCCAAACTTGAACAGCCTTTCCTTTTATGCAACACACTAGCACTGGGCCTACAGCACAGTTGAATTTTATTTATTTTTTTCATGAAAAAACAAATTGTAATCCACCTCGCCTCGATTGAGTGTGAGAAGAGGAGGGAATGGAGAGGCTTGATAAGCCTTTTGTTGTGAGGGCGGTGCATTCACACAAGGAGAAGAACGAGCTCAAGTTCAAGAAGGGCCAGTTCATCACAGTTGAGAGAATCAACGAGGAGGGGACGCACTACCACGGATTTTACGGCAAGAAGGAGGGATGGTTCCCCATCCACCACGCTGCCATCGTCGAGGGCTTCGAGCCCTCCACTAGGAAGAAGGTGAGTCAGCTCCAGCCCAGCTGACGCCAGTGATTGTGGTCTTTATTGTTTTTTTTTGGCCAACAACAACCCTCAATCATCCTAGGAGGTTGCCAACGACGCAGACAAGAAGAAACTGAAGGAGGAGAAGAAGAAGGTAGAGCAGGAGAAGCGCGAGGCCAGCGTGCGCGCCAAGCGCGAGGCCAAGGAGGCCCTCAAGGACCAACGACGGCAGAAGACCAACCCCAAGGGGCGGCCTGCACTCACCCCCGGCTACTTCGATCGCAACGACCTCCCCACGCACTCGTTGCGCAGGATCCCTGCCGTCATCGAAGAGACCGTCACCTTCCTCGAGAGGGACGGTACGCTCAGACATGCTCCACACCCTATATGTTTCTATATATTGCTACATATCTACTATCTACATATATCGATTTATGTAGATGTTTATATGCTATCGCCTCACCAACTGGGCGGTGTGCACAGAGTTCCTGCGGACCGAGGGGCTGTTCCGTATATCGGGGTCGGTGAGCGAGGTCAAGGCGATCAAGGCAGCCTACCTGCGGGGCGAGGCGGTGGACCTGACCAAGGTGACCGACCCGCACGCGGTGGCCGGCGTACTGAAGCTCTTCTTCCGCGAGGCCCGCGACCCGCTGCTCACCTACGAGCTTTACCCGTGCTGGCTCGCTTGCATGGGTACGTACCCCTCGCTTCGACTCATGCGACTGTTTCGCACGAGTGCTCAGGGCGTTCTACTCTCGCAGAGACGGGAGGCGTCGACCACACACAGGCCATCAGAAGGGTCATAGATCTGCTCCCACTGATCAACAAACTCATTCTTTATCGCCTCATGGGTACATATAAGTCTCTTGAGCTCTTTCTTTTCCGCCGCTACATCACTCTCTGCACAGGTCTGTTGCACAAGGTGACGCTCTATTCTGACGTCAACCTGATGACACCAAACAACGTCGCCATCGTCTTCGCACCCAACATCCTGCGACCCCCTAACGAAAACGTGAGCCTGGCGCTGTTGGACTGCGCGACATCGAACAATCTAGTGCGGTGCATGATCGAAGACTACGATCTCATTTTTGGCGAGGTACCTTCAACACTGCTGGCTGTTCAACAAGGTGACTTACTCACCCATATCACTCATCATAAGGGTACGCTCAAGACCGCGGCACCAGAGCCCGTGCCCGTCATGGCTGCACTCGTCACCGACGCGCCCGTCACCGAAGAGCGGCCAGAAGACGTCCTGGCACCCTCCTTGCTGACGGCCTACTCTACGCCATCGCTGGTGCGCAGTCGTTGTCATTCTTCAATTCTATTTTGTTGGGTACCTGACGTCGGTGTCGATCGCTGCGAGCACGTAGGTGAGCGAGGCGGACTTCAACAAGAAGATCAGGATGGGATCGCTCCTGCTGGCCAAGGGCTCCGTGATGGGCGGACAGAACTCGTTCGAGCAGTTGGCCCAGCGCGCGTCGTCAGACTCGGAGGACGACCTCGACTTTGTGGAGGTGACCGAACCCGAACCCGTGCCTCAAATCACCACCACCGCACCGTCCCCAGCGTACGCTCATATCCCCACCATCATCCCCTTCACCATCATATCATCGTAGCCATCACCTTACTTCATTGCAGTCGCAGTCTGTTCAACTCAGCGCCCAGCTGGACGGCGAAGAGCACAACGAGCCCGGCCGCGACCAAGCCTGCGCTGGGCGGCAGCTCGGCCTCGACAACGAAGTCGGCCAACCTCTTGGGCGCGTCGCACCGGATCGATCGCTGCAGCAGCGTTGAGTCCCCGGCGGCCCGTGCGCCGTCCGCATCGGCACCACCACTGCCACCACCATCAGTGCCCGCGCCCGCAGTGCCAGCCGTCGTTGCTGCTACGGAGGCGGAAACGGAGACCAGTGAGGACGACTCGGAGGAAGTCGATGATGAGGTGAGCGAGCCGGTCCCGGTCAAGGCTCTGAGATTGGAGGTGCGTTGTTGTTGTTGTTGTTCCTTTTCTGCCAGCCACACCTCCTCAACACCACCGCACACGCACACGCACACGACGCACACGCACGAGCAGGACTTGATGGAAATGATCTTTGACGGCAAGTCGGCGGCGGTGGCGGCCTACCTGGCAACGCTGGAGCCGAGCGTGGCGGCCCTAACGCAGAAGAATCTGCTGCGCTCGATCGACAAGGTCATGCAGGCCATCTCCTGAAGACCAAGAAGATGAAGGCAACGATAGAAGAGGCGGAGAGGCACAGGGTGTTGATAGGAGGGTCTCTACTATGTACAGTGGGAACAACTCTCTTTACAAGATGTGGATGACGTACAACATTCTACGCTGCTGCCATCTACTACGCCTATTTACACGAACGCGAGTAGCGGCAGCGAGAGAAGGAGGAGAAGTCGAGCTAGAGAAGGTGGGGTGACGTTGATAGATGATGTTCGTTCAGGCGACGCAGTTGTCGAGGAGATACTTCTCGACGACGCCGCTGCACGAGGAGATGTCGAGGGTCTCGAGCGGCCGAGGCAGGGAGGTGAAGATCTTGTCGGTGACCTTCTCGCAGTGGGAGAGGAAGAGGTGGGAGAGGGAGAGCGGGAGGTCGGCCAGCGCCTCGCCCGTGATCTCGGGGCACGACGAGAGGTTGAGCGAGGTGAGCGCCTTGGGCAGCGATCGGAGGCATGCGTCGGTCACGTGCTTGGTGAAGGAGAGGTCGAGCTTGCCGAGCGAGCGGGGCAGCTGAGCGACGCCGGCGTCGGTGATGCCGTCGCAGCGCGAGAGGTTGAGCTCGGCGAGCGTGGGCGGCAGGCGGGACATGCCCTGGTCCGACACTCTGTCGCACAGGGAGAGGTCCAGGCTGCGCAGCGCGGGCGGCAGGTGCTGGAGGCCGTCGTCTGTGATCTCGAAGAAGCGGGAGAGCTTGAGCGTGGCGATCGAGGGCGGCAGGGCGCGGAGGCCCTCGTCGGTGATCTTGTAGGAGTAGGAGAGGAGCAGGGTGTGGAGATGCGGCGGCAGGTGGCGCATGCCCTCGTTGGTGAGCTTCGGGCAGAAGGAGAGGTTGAGGGCCTTGAGCGCGCGGGGCAGGTGGCGCACGCCGTCGTCGGTCAGCGACGAGTAGGAGAAGTGGAAGTTCTCCAGCAGGGGCACGGCGACGGCGAGGTTGGCGATGCCCTCGTCGGTGATGTTGTAGCAGTGCGAAAGGAAGATGGTGCGCAGCTTGGCCGGCAGGAACCGCATGCCGTCGTTGGTGACCTTGTTGCACTTGGAGATGTTGAGCACCTGAAGGTCGGGGCACACCGCGCGCAGGGCCTTGATGCCCTCATCGGTCAGCTTGTCCATGTACGAGATGTCGAGCGAACGCAGCGACGACGGCAGCGACTTGAGTCCCTCGCTGGTGACGCGGAACGACGGCGAGCAGAGGTCGAGCGACGTGAGCGACGTCAGGCCGCGGAGGTACTTAAGGCCGTGGTTGGTGATGTTGGGGCAGTAGGAGAGGTTGAGAGTCTGGAGCTGCGGGAAGGGCGTGGGCAGCGGCTGGCCGGGGACCCAGTCCGATGGCTGTCGCTCCGCCACCGGGATCAGGGGCAGATCCTCGTCTGAGTCGGAGCGCAGCGAGGGCGAGGTCGGGGCGTGAAGCGGATGGGGCGTGCAGAGGTACTTGAGGCCACGGCTCGAGATGTTGCAGTGCGAGAGCGACAGGGTGCGGAGCGAGCTCGGAAGGAGCGGGAGGTACTTGTCCTCGAGAAAGGGCGTATTGTCCAGGTACAGGTGGAACAGCGACGACGACGGCAGATAGGCCAGCATGCTCCCTATGTCCTGTGGTGTGAAGATCGTTGAGCTTCCTGCGCCAATGATAGAGCACGCTGGGCATTTCGATGGAAGAGACTGAGTGGTACCTTGATGCCTCGGCTGCCCCAGCCGGTGAGATTGAGCGATCGCAGGGAGGGTAGGTTCTTGCAGGCGAAGATGAACTTCTTCCGGAAGACCTCCTCCGGCGGGGAGAACTTGACCAGGCTCAGGTTCACGTGCTGGAACTGGTGCAGAGCAAGACTCCTGGCGAAGAGAGAAGCGTTTTGAGCTCTGACTGCCTACTGAGGGCTACTACACTACACTACGCGCTGAGAACAGACAAGACGGGAAGGCGTACCGCCAGACCGTGGAGACGAGCGAGGCCGCCAGGAGCTGCTTGCGGCTGAGGAAAGAGAAGATTTGGCACCACAGCTCGGGCGGAAGGTCGTAGGCGGCGTGGCCGGTCTCCCGGCGCTTGCCCTTGGAGCTGTTGCGGTCGATGGTCGATGCCCGACGCTTGCGCTTCCGCGGCTCACCGGGGGAGTCACCGGACGCAGGCTCTTGCAGAAGTAGGAGCTTGTCGATGCGCTGATCTCGGACCTCTCGGAGGTATTTGAGCTCCTTGCCCAGCTTTACCCGCTCCTCCTTGTCCAGCGGCAGTGCATCAAGCAACTTCTCCTCGCGCTTGTCGAATCGCTCAAGCAAGGCATGCAGCTGCTTGCTGTCTTGTCCTTGCATTGTCCGTTTCGGCGGGTTGTGTAGTTGTTGCTGTAGAGGATTGTGATCGTTCGATCGTCGTCGGCAGGCTTATGAACGACGAGATCTGCAAGCAGGGCGTGCACAACGAGTAGAGGGAAGGCAGTCGGGTGGGGAAATCTCTCGTTCTTTCTCGATTTGTGTAGTGTAGTGCGGATGGATGGCGAGCGGCCTTTGTCTTGGCTTCACCGTCGGAGAGTAGACGATGTGCGTGTAGCTCGCAGGGAATTGAGTAGAAGAGGAGCGAAGGGCGGCCCACTGGCTTCTGCCACCAGCGTGCCACCAGCACCCGAGCAGCATCTACACACCGAGCAAAGAGCACAGTTTAGCCGAGTTTTCTTCATTTCTTCTGTACATTTCCTCCCCACACAATTCGGCCGACCATGTAAACTCCACCAACAGCTCAACCATCAACCCTTTCCATCAAAACCTCGTTTGCCCTCAAAGTTCACTGGCACTGGTGGTCAAGTAAGTTCATGGCAGGGAGGGTGTCCCAGCACCACCTCCAGCCTTGACTTTTTTCAAATCACTCACCAACTACTTGGGTAAAACCAGCTGCAAGATGCTCCTCCATACACACTTGACCAAGGGCTTTCATGGAGTGTCGCCTGCCCACCATGTTGGCCGTGGTTGTCAGTGTGGTGGTTTGAATGATGGTTGGACAATTTTCTTTTTGTATTTCTTTTTCCCTGCAGGAGAAAGAGAAAAAGTCGAGCGCCACGAAAGGGCTGCGCGCCAACAAAAGGGCTCGCCACAGGCAACACACGATCTTGGAAGGATTTTGCGTTTGCAATTAATCGCTGAGATCAGTAAATCGCAGTCGCACGGACGCGACCTCAGGACCGCCACATGGAACAGCCTCTCCGCAAGCGCCTGCGTATGCGGATGGTAGGGCAGGAAGAAAAGAAACGGGAGGACACCAGCGCGATGGAAGATGTGAACACTTCGAGTGAGAGAGATGGCGGGAAAGCTAGCGTTGAAAATTCGCAGCACGAATCGATGGATGATTCATCTCGCCTCGATGAAAAGAAAACAAGCGACGGTGGTCAGGACGAGGAAGACGCGGGAGCAGACAAGGAGGAAGAGGAAGAACATGGACGGCTCTCCGGAGAGGGCGGCGCAGAGGACGAAGAAGAGGAGTACGCATTTGAGGACGAAAATGAAAATGAAAACGAAGAGGACAAAGATGAGTCTTTCGTCGACGAACCCAAAAAAACAGTACGCTTCTTCAACCACCTTGTGCACACCTTGATCTGTCGCGTTTCTCTACATTTACGACCTTATTCAAGAAGACAAAATATGCTAATTAATGGCATTAATGTACGCGATGGTTCAGTCTCCCCCGCCACGAGGCCGCGGGCGACCGCGCACCCGGGCAGCTTCGACCAACGAGCGCTCATCTACGAAGGAGGCCTCGCCCAAGCCCCCCTCGGCAAGGAGTGAACGCGCCAACGCTCGCGCGGCTGCGCGGGGTCGGGAGAGCAGTGCCGTCAGCAGCAACAGCAACGACAAGAAGCGGAAGTGGGAGGCCCGACCCTCGCGAGATCGACGGACCGTGACTCGCTACTCTCCCGAACCTGAGAAGAGGCGCGTGGAGAAGGCCTCGCCTCCGCTGGCCCTCAAGGTACGGTCTCTGTCCTTTCGTGTTCATGTTCATTTTCTCAATTGTTTCTCGTACGATTTCTCTTATATTTTTATTTTCGGTGGGCAAACCGACACAGCACGAGCGACCACGGCGAGGCTCTTCGCAAGGGTCCTCGGTGCCGACGCGCTACAATCTTCGCAATCGGAGGTCGTTGTCCAAGGATGACGAGGAGGATGACGAAGAGGAGCCAGAAGAGGAGGAGGAAGACGATGATGTCGAAGATAGGCCGTACAAGAAGATCCGCTATAGCGCCACGGGCGTGGTGCGTGGGACAGAGGCCTCACTTCCTCTTCAAGCGCTTCCTGCCTGACACTCATGAGTGCGTGGGTACCGACAGGAGAAAGCCAAGAAGGAGATCTATCAGCTCCCAACCGGCCGCCCGGGCCTCAGACCGCGACGAGTGAGCCCTGCCGAGGTGCGTTTGCTCCGCAACGGCGACCATTTTCTCGTGCGTTTGTCTGACCACCCACGCCCTGCGGTACAGGCTCGAAGAGATAACCCCTACCGCAAGAATCTGGTCAAGGCGTCGAGTCTTCGCAGCAAGTACGTTGACAGCGACGACGACGGAGAAGAGGAAGAAGAGGAGGAGGAAGGAGACGGCATTTCGGGCGAAGAGGAGGAGGAGGAGGAGGAGGAGGAGCGGCCCAGCACGCGACCAAGGCGTGGTCGACCTCCCCGGCGAGCGTCGGGCGGAAGGCAGCTGCGAAGCGACACAGCCAAGGAAAAGGTCCAGAAAGAAGAACAAGAAGAAGGGGAGCAGGAGGAGGAGGGAGAGGAGGAGGAAGCCCGCAAGGATGGAAAAGAAGGAGAAGAAGGAGAAGAAGATGGCGATGAGCCATCGAAGGAGAACAGCGCCGACGGAGCGGCTGCCGAGGACAACGCAGTCGACAAAAGCGAAAGCCATGATACTGGTGGCGACAAGAGAGCGAACAACTCATCAGTGAGCGAAAGGAGCAGCCGCAGGGGGAGGAGGAGCGCGCAAGTGGTCGACGACGAGGAGGAAGATTATGAGTTGGAGGAGGAGGAAGAAGATGAAGAAGACGACGATGACGATGGCGATCACTACCCGAGCTCGAGGCGGAGGAGTTCGCGCCTGCGACCCAAGAGCGGCAGTGGACGACGAGGAGCGACGCGCGGGGTCAATTTGCGGCGACGAAGCCGACGTCAGCGCAAGGCCACCGACCGTCTCACCATCTCGCACCCGGACGACAAGGACAAGGATGACGAGCCGCGGGCCAGGTCTGCGCACCACTCACTCGCTCGCTCAGCGCCATAACCCGCACACGCCGGCACTGATCACTTATTTGCTTTGACTGATGCCCGCTCCCCGATTCTGATTCACAGATCCCCTGGCGTACGGTTCGTGCTGAGCGATCTGGTACGAGGCGAATGCTGTAACAACAACAACAGCAGCAGCAGCAGCAGCAGCAGCAGCAGCAGCAGCACACACCAACTTAGAGTGGCCGCTCTGCCTCGATCTATGACACACACACACACACACACTTTTCACCCCATCAGCTCATTATCGTTTTTTGCGTGTTGTACCAACAGTCGTCGGACGAGCGTGAGTTCCGCACCGCCCGGGACTACACCGCCAGCGTCGCCCACGCAGTGCGAAGCAAGGCTCCACCGAGAAAGCAGGTTGCGAACGAGCACGATCCCACGTTGAATCAGCCCGACAAAGGTTCGCACGCCCTTCCCTATGACTCCAGTTCAGCAGCTGACGTGTTCGCTGTTGTATTACGGTTGTATTCGTTCAGCCGACATCAATCCCGTTGCGATCGTTGATCCCAGCATTGATTGGAACTCTGTGGGCGGACTGGAACACCGTACGATCCCCACCCCACAATCGTCATCATCGCTGGGTCTTGCCCGAGCTCACGACGAAGGTTGTCGTGGTCAAACGCGCAGATATCAAGGCGCTCAAGGAGATGGTGTTGCTCCCGCTCCTGTACCCTGAGATCTTCGATCGGTTCGGCATCATGCCTCCGCGCGGTGTACTGTTCTACGGCCCGCCCGGTACCGGCAAGACCCTCATGGCCCGCGCTCTGGCCAGCACCTGCTCTCAGGTGAGACCTCCCCTCCCATGCGTGTGTTGGCGCGCCTCTTTGCTAGTTCTAATAACTCACTTGACCGCTCGTTCGCTGGCCAGTCGGGCACCAAGGTGTCGTTCTTCATGCGGAAAGGCGCCGATTGTCTCAGCAAGTGGGTGGGCGAGGCCGAGCGTCAGCTGCGGCTCCTGTTCGATCAAGCGCGATTGCTTCAGCCGTCCATCATTTTCTTTGACGAAATTGACGGTGCGTCGCCTTTTACCACGTCACCGCCACTACTACTCACCATCCAGTTCGCCGGTGTCGATGCAGGCCTTGCTCCCGTGCGCTCAAGCAAGCAGGACCAGATCCACAGCTCGATTGTGTCGACGCTCCTGGCTCTCATGGATGGCCTGGACAATCGCGGTACGTTTCCGGCATCATCATCACCATCGTCATCATGGTTGCTAGCTTCTGCTCTTTGTGAACGAGAACTGTACAGATGAACCCACTGTGACGCCCTTCCCCCCCCCAATTGATCATCCAGGCCAAGTGGTTGTTATTGGAGCCACCAACAGGATCGACGCCATCGACCCCGCCCTGCGACGACCTGGGCGATTCGATCGCGAGTTCATGTTTACCCTACCCACGAAGAAGGACAGAAGGTGCGTTTCGTTTGCTCGCGACGGTCGCTACTATGGTTGTCGGGCTCACATCTCAACGCTTTTCCTCGCGTGCAACACACACACACAGGCAAATTTTCTCAATCCACGCCAAGAAGTGGAATCCGCCGCTTCCCGAGCGTCTGGTGACCGAGGTGGCCGATATGTGCGTTGGCTATTGCGGCGCCGATCTCAAGGTGATGCAGCACCCCATGCACTCCCATTGTGTGTGTGTGGTGTGGTGTGGTGTGTGTGTGTGTCGTCATGTCGATCCCAGGCGTTTCTAACATGTGCCCCGCCGCCACCGACAGGCCCTGTGTACTGAAGCGGCGCTGAGGGCGGTCCGGCGGGTCTATCCGCAGATCTACGAGAGTCCCGACAAGTTGCTGATCGACATTGAAAACATCAAGGTCACTCGCGCCGACTTCATCACCGCGATGAAGAAGATCACTCCCGCCTGTACCACCTCCCTCTTCGTCGACGCTTCAACCTCTTCTTCTACTACTTCGTTCCTGTTATTTCTGTGACCGCTGACGTCGAGCTTGTTGCCCACCTCACACCAGCGCACCGATCGGCAACGACCCACGCCGCTTCGCTCTCGCCCACGTTCCAGCCGCTGCTGGAGAAAGACCTCGCGGCGCTGTGCGATTTGGCCCGTAAGATCTTCGGCGCCTTCACCAACAGCGAGAATGCCTCCGACAACGAGGAAGAGGACGACGATGACGCGAGCGACGATGCGGAGGCGAACGGCGGAGACGCGTCGGCCTACGACGACCACCAGCAGAACGGCGGCAGAGAGTTGGTGGTGCGGAAATCGGGCGGGCGACGAATGCGTGGCATTGCCGCATCGTCCTTCTCGCTCCCGCACCCCGTGCACCGGCCCCGCATACTGCTGCATGGCGAGGCCGAGCTGGGCCAGGCCCACGTCGCGGCGGCCCTCCTCCACGCCCTAGAGCAGTACCCGGTCTTCTCGCTCGACATCGCCTCGTTGTGCGCCGACACCGTGGCCAAGGTACACCACGACTCGGCGTTTGGGTGGGTGGACACTAACTAACCAATACATTTCTCACCCACAACGCAGTCGCTGGAGGAGGCCTGCGTCAACACGTTCACGGAGGCCAAGCGGAAGCTGCCCTCGATCATCTTCCTGCCTCACATCGACACGTGGTGGGACATGGCCCAGCCGACGCTCCGCCTCACCTTCCTCACCCTCCTCCAAGGTTTGCCCCCTTTCCCACAATGACCAACATCCACGTCCACTGCCGCTTGTTTTTGTCGACTAAGTCGTGTGCGGTGTGCGCTCGTGTGTGCCTTGGAACAGACACGCTGCCCAACATCCCGTTGCTGGTGCTGTGTACGAGCGACGTGCCGGAAAAGCTGCTGCCGCACGACGTGGCGTCGCTCTTCACCCACACGCACCCGCTGCACTACCCCGACGAGGAGGCGCGTCGGGCCTTCTGGGCGCACTTTGTCGACGACGTGGCGCAGCCACCGCCCGACGTGGCCAAGAGGAAGAAGCGCGCCCTCGCCGTCCTGCCCAAGGCCCCCATCCAGCCGGGCCTCCAGAAAGTCACTCAGGTCGAGCCCCTCCCCGACTCTCTCGCCCGACCTCCCGCCCGACCTCCCGCCACACGCGCCACACACGCCACACACACACACACACACACCACCGTTGTGCTCACCAGTCTGCCACAGGAGGACGAGCAGCGAAAACGCGTTGAGGACCACTACCTGCGGAAGCTGCGCATGCGGTTCAGGGAGTGCATACTCAGCCTTCTGCGAGAGCGGCGTTTCCAGCCGTTCTACAAGCCCGTGGTACCCACACTCACACTTGCTCTGTGGCCCATATTGTCATACCGTCGCTGTATGTCAACTGTTGGGGCCAAACTCACGGGTCCGGCTCATCTGCGGCGCGCGTTGCGTCTCAGGATCCGTCCGACGCTCCGGACTACTACGAAATCATCAAGAGCCCGCTGTGCCTGGAGCAGATGCTGGAGAAGGTCGACGCAGCCAAGTACCCCACGCTTCCGGTACGCCCACCAGCAACCGTCGCAACGCTTCGTGCCTTGCCTGACGTACTGTCGTGTGTGTTATTCTCTCTTCTCTTCATCATCTCTACGCAGGCTTTCTTGGCCGACGTGCAGTTGATCAGGGCCAACGCGGAGGAGTACAACCCGCGCGACGACCCGCACTTCCTCATCAGCAAGGTACGTGAAGCCTGCTCGACCCTCCTGCTGGTCCTTGGGCTAAACGATTAATTGGGTGAAAACCTTTTTCTAAAAAGGCGCGACAACTGGAGGACATGGTCTACGCATTCGCCTATCGACTCAAGAAGCACGATGCCCGGCTCCTGGCCACGTGCGAGGAGATCGCTGCCCGCCCTGCTCCTCCCGCGCCTGCGCCGGCGACCACGGCCACGACGCCGACGGGGGGTGCCACCCCGGCGACCCCGTCGGGTGTTGGGTCGGCGGCAGAACCGGCCAAGGACTCGGAGGCCGGCTCGAAGGAGTCCGACCAGATGGAGATCGATGCGTCCGATAGCAACGCGGCCGTCAAGCCGACCGAGGCTTCGCAGTCGCAGTCGCAGTCGGAAAGCGAGGAGCGAGAAGAGGAATCGAAGGAGTCGAGCACGCCAGCGACAACTGAGAAACCGCGCACAGCACTGGAAACAGCACCGGTGGAGACGTCGTCCGCGGCGGCGGCAAGAGAATTGGCGCCAACACCAACGGCGGCCACCACCACCACCAGTACCACTACCACTACCACAGAGGACGGCCACGTGAATGTCAACGGAGAAGAGGAGGAGGAGGAGCTCAAGGAGAAACCCACCTTCGTGCTCGACAGGTACGGCCCAGCTTCACTTAGTGAGTGGTGCACCGGGAAGCTCACAACGCTGCGTTGCTGCACTTTTGCGGGTGCTACCAGAGAGAGGCTGGAGCGCCTGGGGGAGGAGGTGGTCATATGGACCGAGAGGTTCACTGTAGATAGCCTGCATGCGCTTCATGCCAAGGTTTACCAACTGATCCACCAGCATCGCCACGAGTGGGACAAGACAAGGCTCCTCGAGGTTCGACACATCACCTCCCCATTCGCTCACAACCACACCACTCACTCCCCCCAACGTTTCTGGCTTTGTGGGACTACAGGAGCTGATCAGGGCTGTTCAAGAGCACCCACCTCACTCTCAGTCTTTGGCGACCTCTGAAGGCTCGCTCGATGTATCGCACGGCGAGTGAAAAGAGAAGTGAATTCCTGACATACCGAAAGTGGCGATTGGTGGCAGGAAACTGCCGCGACTCGAGCGAAATTTCGGACGCGAAGTAGATAGTGCTGCAACGCAAATCCATTTCATTCAGAACTTTGAATGGATTTGTCGGGTCTCCCCGTTTTATTGATGTGAATTGAGCCCCGCTACGCCATCAAGAACGAATGCACTCCGAGTTTGGCTTGCTTTTTCTCAGTTCGGGCCAAATTGCATACCAGCTGGGCTGCAACGATGGATTCGTCCTCGAATCGGTCTTCATCGTTCTCTACACGCTTGCAGCTGCCTTCATCCATTTCCCTTTCTTAACCGATCAAGCTTCAAAATCAAAGCTCAAACTACGGTAGCGGCTTGCTCTGCCCCCCCCCCAATCGTGTAGCGAGTGATTCACCCGAGCTCTTTTTGAACCTGCAGAAAGGATGGCCACAGCCGAAGCGGCGCCTTGCTGGGTCTTCTCCTTGTGCCCTTCGTACTCGCTGCGAAGCTGCACCTTGCCCACTCCACGCAAACCCAAGAGCCAACGCCGAGTAAGTCGCCTTCCCCTTGCTCTTCTCCGTTGCACAGCTCTTGCGTTCCGTGGTTGGAGTGGGGCTCCACTTACCTGTCCTCGTGTTCGCCAGACGTCGAGTACTACCAGCTCTACTTGTGGCTCAGCTTGGCGTGCGGTGTATGTGCCATCGTGTACGGAGTGTTGGCCCACCACAGCGTCGCCCTGCTCGCTGCCCTGGGCACAGCGTGCACTCTTCCCTACCTCCTCACCTCCATTCTCTCCGGTACTCGTCCCCGTTGCTGCCCGTTGGTTTCCTCTGGGATAGGAGGTCTTCCCACAGCTGATGGGTTCTCATACGTGTTTGTCACCGCCCAACAGGCGTTGGCTGGCTCACCGCTGCCCCTCCGCTCGTCCTCTTCTGCCTGGCGCTGTGGGCTCTGCTCACGCACTTCCCGCGGTCCTTCACCTTTGGCGAAGCTGCGGTGCTCGCGCAGGCCTTCTCCCTCTTCGTCTTCGATGCTTTGTATTTTACTCTCGCCTTTCTCCAAGTACGGCCCTCTCTGTCGCCTCTCTCCTCTCTGTCTCTTCTGCTCTTGAGCGCCGTTTGCTAACAAGGCCGCTGACACACGAACTTTGCAGTTTGATGTGGCGCCCTATTTGTCACAGCCTCGAGATGAGGTGCAGATGTTTCTCACGGGCCTCATCCCCGGCATCCTGCTCTGCGGTACTGTGCTCTTCTCCACCATCCGCAAGAGCGCTCAGTTCTCGCGGGAACGAGACGCCTTCCTATACTCCAAGACCAAGAACGCTGGACTCGACAAGGGTACACACACACACACAGCTTATTGATTTCCGATGGTGGACTGATAGTGACCTTGGGCGGGGGATGGGCAGGCTGGCAACTGGCCATTGGCTTCTACGCCGGCACGCTGGGTATCGTCGTGCTGTTCATTCACCCCTGGCTCTCCTACATGATCAATGGAAGGGAACCCATCATCTGGTCCGCCAACTCTCCACTTCTAGCGCATTCATTTTTTGCTTGCTTGCAAGATCTTCTCTGGTGACTTATCGAGTCTGCCTGAACGCCTGCAGGACGCTGCGCTTCGTGTTCGGAGAACAGAGGCGAATATTCATGTGCGTCTTTTGGGTGGGCGCACTCGGCGGCTGCCTGGCGCTGATCGAAAAGCTCAAGCTCATGTGGCCTTCCATTCCGAACATCCTCGTGCGCAAGTACTTCCACGCCCTGTCGCTACTCCTCTTCATTCCCGCCATCCTTCTCGAGGTACACGCCCCGCCTCCCACAACTCCCACCAATGCACCACCACCTAACTCGTCGTTCGCCACCGTACCGTGCAGCTCCAATTCATGAAGTTGAGTTTCGGTGTGGCGCTGGCCGGCCTGATCTTTGTCGAATATTTGCGCTTGGGCAAGATAGCTCCTCTAGGTACCTACTTCCCTCTTCCCTCTTCCCAGCGATGGTGCGTGTCGAATGAGCGATCGCTAACGCGTAGCACGATGCAGGTGAGAAGATCGACAGCTTCATGCGCACGTTCATCGACGAGCGGGACGCGGGCTCGCTCATTCTCACCCACCTCTACCTCCTGGTGGGTTGCGCTGCGCCCGTGTGGCTCTACACTCCCGCCAATCCCAGCGAAGGTACCTTGAGTGTCACGCTCGCACGCTCGCTCATTCCTCTTGTTTGGCTAATCACTAGCGTGGCCTTGGTGGTGATAATGATGGAACAGATGCCCACTTCCTGCTGCCCTACCTGGGTGTGCTTCTGGTGGGCCTGGGCGACTCGTTCGCGTCGCTGGCGGGGATGTACCTCGGGCGGATTAAGTGGCCCCACACCAAGAAAACCGTCGAAGGCACCATGGCGGCTGTGGCGGTGGTGCTTCTGGCGGGGCTGCTGCTTTCGCTATGCTATCCATTCGTCAGCTTGTCTCTTGGCCAGGTACGTACCACGCCACTACGCCCCTTCCTCCTCGACTTTCTTCTCGCCAGTTCGTTGCTCACGCGAGCCTTCTTCGTCTTCGTTGCTGGTGTGGTGGTTGGTGAAATGGCAGTGGCTCGGCTTCGCGTGGGCGGTGCTGTGTGGTTGCCTGTTGGAGGCCTTCACCACGCAGATCGACAACCTGGCGCTTCCGCTCTACGCCTATGCCGTGCTGTGCTTCTCACTCGCCGCGTAAGCGCTACTCGGGCAGAAGCGTCGCACACCCTCTTGGCTGAGATCGGCTCTTGAGTCGCGCAACACAACTTCATATTATTGTGGTCAACATGCCCAACATTGGGCGGAATCCGAAATATCCGTAAAATGATAGAGAAAATGTTTTTCTTTCCGAATTCATCATTTCTTCGAACCACTCAGAGATGCAGAGGCTGGGCACCCACCTGCGTGCGGGGCAGCCTGCAGCGGGCTTCCGGGCGATGGGGTGGGATGGAAGCATGATGAGCAGAGGCTTGTGCTTACCGTTGGGGACGGCCCGATCAGGCTGGCAAGCCGGCCATTCAATCCGGAGTCCGCTCATCTGGAGCGCGTCATGGAGTTTGCCAGCACAACCGAATCAGATCAGATTCTTTGCAACAAAGCCATCGCCGTCAGCAAAGAAGCCACGAAGTGGTCCGCCGCGTTCCTCCTCCACATCTTCATCTTCCTCCCGGAGTAGTGGGCGTACACGATCATCTTCTACTCCCCCGAGGGCGGCCCACGATGCCCCTGCGCCTCGCCGCGCTCCTCGACCACCAACGCCACCAACCAGCCGAGCTGCTGCTGGTGCCGCTGGCGGGCGTACACGCACTCGTGCCAACACGCCGCCGCAGCGACCACCCAACGCGAGTGGCGAGGGCATCTCCGAGCACAAGGGCAGGACCCTGGGCAGGGCACCCGAGGGACAGCAGAAGGAGAGCGAGGACCGCCGGAGGCTGGCGGTCCTGTCGCCCGAGCTGCAGCAGGCCTTCGACGAGATGAAGTTCCCCGGCGGCTTCACCGACATCCAGTACTACGGCATCCCCGAAGTGCTCAAGCGGAAGGACACCATCCTCGCCTCACAAACCGGTCCACTTGCCTTCTTTGTGTCGTGTGTCGTGTGTCGTGTGCCGTGTGCCGTGTGTCGTGTGTGTCATTCAAAGCTAAGCTTTTTTTATCGCACATGGTGCAGGCACGGGCAAGACGCTGGCCTATCTGCTGCCGCTGGTTCAGCTCCTGCACGCCGACGAGAAGGCCGGCATGCAGACCGAGCTCAGGAGGCCGCCCTGTCTCATCCTCCTGCCCAACCGCGAACTGTCCAAGCAAGTGCTGGTGTGTGCTATATTCCTCCGCCTCTTCCTGTCGCGCAGATCGAGCGCCTTTTGTGCTCCCTATCTTACTCACTCGAACCGTGTGCGGCGGTGTGTGCGCGATGGAATGCAGTCGGTGGTGAAGAGCCTATCGGGCCACGTCAAACTGCGTTCAGCCGGCATCACATCGGGCGTGAAGCTCAAGATTCAGAAGGAGTCTCTGGCCTCGCCCGTGGACATCCTCGTCTCCACTCCAGGCCGCTTCCTGCAGCACTTTGAAGATGGTACTACCTCTTCCCTTTCCCTCTTTCTAGCCCTGGCGGCGCCTGCAATAGTTTCAGCCCTCATGGCCGCCTTTTTCGTCCAGAGCGAGTATTCCTCTCTGAGTTGCGCTACCTCGTTGTCGATGAGGGCGATACGCTGTTCGACAAAACGTTCAAGGAAGACATTGTACGCAGCCGTCTACCCCTCTTTTTTCGCTCTCCAGAGTCTTACCACACACACACACACACACACACAACAAGGAAAAAATGCTGGGGATTGTGAGGAAGCGAATCGAAAAGAAGGGCGACAGGCCGCCACAGACCATCGTGGTCACCGCCACTGTCACGGCCGACCTCTCCGACGCCATCAACACTCACTTCCCGGTACGCCCTACTACACCTTTCAGAAACAGTGGTCCAGGCAGGCCCTTCTGGTGGACTCACGACCGTGCAATCCATCATGATGGTGTCGCTTCCTCCTCTTCGCAGACTGCGACCCTCGTCGCCACGAGCGGTCTCCACCGCCCACTCCCCAGGTTGAAGCACGAGTACGTGAACATTACGACGAACGACAAACACGGTACGCCGGCCTTTGCACTCGACTTTTACTTGTGGCCAACTAACGCCCTTCTCTCTCTCTCTCTCTATGGCACACGCACACGCACCACCGCACATCTGCTCAACTCCAGAGCCGTTGCTGAAGGTTCTGCTGGGAAGCAAGAGCGGAGGTGGCCGGACGATTGTGTTCTGTAACGACATGCAATCGGCGCGATCCACGCACCACTTCCTCACAGAGCAAGGATTCAACGCGTCCTGCATGCACTCAGGTGCGTCGACGCACCTCCGCCATGCGCACACCGCATTCGCTTCGCAGTCTTTTCCAATCGCGCAACGTCGAGGCATCATTACACCCGGCTGTCCGCTCATGACCCTTCTTTGCGCAATATAGGGATTCTGCCCAAGCGGAGAGCCGAGTACTTCGAACAGTTCGCGTCGGGCGAGTGCCCGATCCTGGTGTGTACGGACATCGCCTCGCGTGGGCTGGACACCACTGCGGTACTGCGCCCTATCTGTGCCGCACGCACGCGCGCACGCAGCCTTCCCCCCAATCGCTCGATCGTCTGACGGGCTGGCCGGATGGCAGGTGGATCACGTCGTGCTATTTGACTTCCCTGAGACTGCCACGGGCTATCTGCATCGCGTCGGCCGCACGGCTCGCGGTGGCCGCAGGGGCCGCGTAACTTGCCTTCTGAAGAAAGGTTCGCCTTCTTCTACTTCTACGTGTGTGTGTGTGTTGTGTGTGTGTGTGTGTTTCTCCATGTTAGCATGCATCATGGTGCTTACAACTACGCACAGGAGAGAAGGTGTACGCCGAGGCGATCGATCTGGCCAACACGAAGCAGGTCAGCCTGAGCGAGGTGATGCCGTACTTCAGCAAGACGAACCCGGGGAAGCGCGAGCGGCTCGCCCAGTGGCTCGATCCCCTCGCCCTCCTGCCCGACCAGAAGAAGAAGCAGCAACAGCAGAAGCAACAGCAACAACAGAAACGCAAGTAAAGACGTCAACAAGTGGCTCAAGAGGTCTCTTATATTTCTTTTTGGGTTCTTCTTTTGCAACGTTGTTCAAGCAATACATTTGAGTTGAAGAAGAGACACGAACGATGCAACAGTTGCAGAACTTTATTGATGGCCAGTTCGTGGACCCCCAGAACGGCAAGTTCGTGCCGAGCTTCAACCCGGCCACGGGCGAGCCCTTCCTTCAGGTGCCCGATTCGGATGCTGAAGATATCGATGCTGCGGTAGAGGCTGCCAAGAAGGTGCGCTGTTGCCCCACTGCCTGTTTCCATCCACTGCTTTGCTTTGCCGACAAGCCTCGCACACAGGCCTTCCCAGCGTGGTCACGCACCTCGGCAGAGCAGCGAGCGAAGATCATCAACAAGATCGCCGATTTGATCGAGGAAAATCTGGAAGAATTTGCTGAGGCCGAATCGAAGGACAATGGCAAGACCGTGGCGCTGGCCAGAACGATGGACATCCCTCGTGCCGTCGCCAACTTCCGTTTCTTCGCCTCGGCCATCCTCCATCACGAGGAGAGCTCGACCACCATCGAGGGCGCCATCAACTACACCATCAGGAGCCCCATCGGCGTGGCCGGTCTCATCTCTCCCTGGTTCGCATCCACTCCTCCCTGCAAGGCTTGTGCCCCTTCATCTTGACTCATCTTGAGACCGATCGCTTTTCAGGAATCTCCCCCTCTACCTCCTCACGTGGAAGGTGGCGCCCGCCATCGCCGTCGGCAACACGGTCGTGGCCAAGCCCTCGGAGATGACCTCGCTCACGGCCTGGATGATGTGCCGCCTGTTCGAGAAGGCCGGCCTGCCCAAGGGCGTCGTCAACATGGTCTTCGGTCGAGGTGCGTCTGCCGAGCGCTCAGCTCTACAATGTTGGCTTGCGCTGCACTCAACTCAACTCGAACGCACACGCACACGCACACCCACATACGATGCGCAGGACCGACGGCTGGCGCGGCGCTGGTGAGGCACAAGGACGTGCCCCTGATCTCCTTCACTGGCGGCACCAAGACGGCGCAGCACATCATCACCGACTCCGCCCCGCAGTACAAGAAGCTCGGCCTGGAGCTCGGCGGCAAGAATCCCAACATCATCTTCGACGATGCCGACCTCACCCAGGCCGTGCCCACCAGGTACCGCACCGCAAGCGCTTTCACTTCCGTTGTGTCTTTTGTGTTGTGTTGTGTGTTAACGTCGTCGGGCTCTTCCACTCTAGCGTGCGGTCCAGCTTTGCCAATCAGGGCGAGATCTGCCTGTGCGGCTCGCGCATCTTCGTGCAGAAGGGCATCTACGACAAGTTCGTCCAGCAGTTCGTCGAAGCTGCCAAACAGATCAAGGTACACAACCTTGTGTGTGTGTGTGTGTGGTGTGTGTGTGTGTGTGTGTGTGGTCGCAGAGGCTCACTATGTGTCCAAAATGAATGTGCAGGTGGGCGACCCCAAGGACCCGAGCTCGACCATGGGAGCGCTCGTCAGCCAGGAGCATCTGGCCAAGGTGAACTACTACATCGACCTCGCGCGGGAGGAGGGTGGCTCCATCGCGCTCGGAGGCGACAAGCCCCAGCTGCCCGATGAGCTGTCCAAGGGTACGCGGCGCGCAATTCGGAAAACTTACCACAACGCAACGCGCGCCAACCAACTCCAAAATGTTGATGGTTGTGCGGCGGCTGCGACGCAGGCTACTGGCTCAACCCGACCATCATCACCAACATCCCCTACACCAGCCGAGTCCAGCAGGAGGAGATCTTCGGCCCGGTGGTGCGTACCCTGCGCTCGACTGGGGCTAGACTGCCTTCTATGCGGCGGCGGCGGTGATCTCACACAAGCGGGTGGGGCGCTGTGCAGGTCACTGTGACGCCGTTCGAGACTGAGGAGGAGGCCATCGAGATGGCCAACAGCGTCGAGTACGGTCTGGCCTCGAGCGTCTGGACGGAGAACCTCAAGCGCGCCCACAGGGTCGCGCAGGAGATCAAGAGCGGCACCGTCTGGGTGAACACCTGGCTCAAGGCATGCCTCCACTTCCGTCATTTATTTGTGTTTCCATCGCATCGGCTTCGCTCCACACACTAACGCGGCCGTCGTCATCTTCACCGCGGGCGTGACGTGATACCACAGCGTGACCTGCGAGTGCCCTTCGGCGGCATGAAGCACAGCGGCATCGGGCGAGAGGGCGGCGACCACTCGATCGATTTCTACACCGAGCAGAAGACTATCTGCATCGCGCTCTGAGCCTGAGCGCGAAGGTAGCGGCCACCACCAACTCGGCTCCGACGAAATGAATCGAGCTCACCGCCCCGGACCAGGCCTGGAAGAAGCGAGAAAGAAACGAGAAGCCGAGAAAGTGAAGGTCTTTTGGCCGAACCACAAGCGGGGACCAAACGGCCGACCTACAAGACGCGCGGAAGAGGAAGATGAAAACTTGTCTTTGTTAAACCTTAGACTGCAACATCAGTATATATTACTGCTAATGGGCCATGAGGATACGCCATTCGTCTCCAGACGTGTTCGGTGTCGTTCTCCGGGCCTTGCCTGCTGTGTGAGGTGTTGCGGTCTTCAGGCCAATGCGCCCGCAGCTTGTCGAGTCCGCGCGTTCGATGCTGGTCTGTCTGAATGTTGGCACAGATAGCTGAGCCCATTCTCTTCTTCTTCTCCAGTTCCAATTCAATTGACAAACAAGCCACAAACACCTCAACAATCAGGACACAATGATGACATGTCTGTGAGAATGCGTTGATGGTGGCAAGAGTTCAGAAGCTCAGAGCAAACAACTCATCACGAGGACTCGGCCTTGCACTCGCCGATGGCCTGGGCGAGGAGGGTGACGAAGCGCAGGACGTCGGAGAAGGAGTTGTAGAGGGGCGCCGGCGCGATGCGGATGACGTCGGGCTTTCGCACGTCGACGATGACGCCCTTCTGCGCGAGCTTCTCGTGGACGCGCTCCACCGCCACCGAGAACTTGACCGACAGCTGACAGCCGCGCTGCGCCACCTCGCGGGGCGTGAAAATGTGGATGTCCGCCGCCAGCTTCTCCAGGAGCAGCATCTCCAGGTAGGCCGTCAGCAGCACCGACTTGGCGCGCAGCTTCTCCATGCCGCCCGCCTCCTCGAACACCTCCAGGCTCGCGAACAGCGTCGCGCACTGCAGCACCGGGGGGTTCGACAGCCGGAAACCGAACGCGCCCGGCTGCGGTGATGGTAGTGTGAATCGGTCAATCGTCAGCCCAACGCGCGCGCGCACACACACGCACGCACACACACACGCACGCACGCACACACACACGAGGGGGCACCTCGGGGTCGAAGGGCTGGTTCATGTCGAACCGGGTCTTGATGGTGTGGCCCCACCAGCCGCCGAACCGGTGCAGGTCCTTCCGGTGCGCGTGCCTCTCGTGCACAAACACGCCCGCAATGCCTCCGGGCCTAAACATTTGATTCAAACTCACGGTGAGCCGCAACACAACACACGACACGACACGCGCGCGGCGCGACACGCAACACACACGCACCCGGAGTTGAGGTATTTGTAGCTGCACCAGCAGGCCCAATCGACGCCCCATTCGTGGAGCTTGAGAACGACGTTGCCGACGGCGTGGGCGAGATCCCACCCCACGACGCAGCCTTTGCTGTGGCCCGCGGCCGTGATCTTCTCGATCTCAAAGAATTGACCTGCCACGACACACACGGCATACGACACGACACGCACGACACACGACACGACACGCACGGCGCACGGTGAGCGAGCGAACCAACGATGGCGGGGCCACGGTGAGCGATGGGCGTACGTACCGGTGTAGTACTGGACGCCGCTGAGCAGGACGAGGGCGATGCTGTCGCCCTCCTTCTCGATGGTGGCGATGATGTCCTCCGTGCGCAGCGTGGTCTCCCCCTCGCGCGGGTACAGCTGAATCAGCGACGTGCTCGGCTCGTAGCCGTGGAACCTGATCTGCGTCTCCACCGCATACTATAGACGGCACGGCACGGCACGGCACGACACGACACGACACGACACGACACGACACGACACGACACGACACGACACGACACGACACGACACGACACGACACGACACGACACGACACGACACGACACGACACGACACATGAGTGCAGGAATGCGAGGAATGCGAGCGGGCTGGCTGGGGTTGGGTACCCAGTCGGAGGGGAAGGAGCGGCCCTCGATGAGGATCTTGTGGCGCTGGGCCGTCGGGCGGTAGAAGGGGACCATCATGAGGTGCAGGTTGACCGTCAGCCCGTTCATGATCGCCACCTCGAGCGGCAGCGCGCCCACCAGCCCCGCCGCACGCGCGTGCACGTTCTCGTCGGTCGTCAGCCACGGCTCCACCTTCTTCCCCTCTGCCACGTCATCATCAGCCGTGGTGAGTGGGGAGTGGAGGAAGTGGCCCTCGACGCCGCGCTTGTGCCACTCGTCGAGCTCGTAGAGGACGTAGCGGCGGGCGCGGGCGGGCTGGAGGCCCAGCGAGTTGCCGCAGAAGTAGAGGGCGGGGCCGGAGGCGGGGTCGTCGGCGCGGGCCAGCGGGAAGAGGAAGCGGTCGCGCATGGCGGCCAGGGGGTCGCGGCGGTCGAGCTCGGTCGCCAGCGCGGCGTCGCTCAGCGGGAGACCGCCGAGCTCGGCGGATACCGCCTTCAGCGCCTTGTGCGGGTCCACCTCCTCCGCCCCGGCCTGCTGCACGTGCTGTGTCGCCTCTACACAAATTTTAAAACTAAGATTAAATCGTATTACGATCATTGAATGCAAACCAAAAGGCGAGAAGAGTAGTTCTTTCGTACCCATGAGTTGATTAGGTCTCAAAAGGGGGGTTGCGCTCCGGCTTCGTTGATCTGATGTAATACGAGAGGAGGAGGATTTCTTTTTCTTTTCATTCGTCATTTTCACTGGACGATTTTTCGCGGCGTTTCCGATTGATTAGCAAATTGTCCGATTTCTTTTTTGCTTCTTCTTTTACAAATCTATCAAATCGAACAATTAATCGAACTGTGCGCCAGGGCCGCGAACTATGGACTGGGAAGGGCAGGAGGAGAAGAGGGAGGCCGCACCGGCGTCGACAGTGCGCCGATCGGTCACCATCGATGTGTCGGACAAGGTCCACCTTGAGGCCTCCCTCGCCAAGCCCAAGCTACCACCGCCCAACAAGAACCACACATCATCCTCATCTTCTGCTGCTGATGAGGCCGGACGAGAAGGCGGGGAGGGGCGAGAAGCGTACTATTATCACAGCAACAGCAACAGCGCCGAGGCGCGTCGAATCAGGAATGCGAAGGTGGGCATAGTGATCACCCATCCGCATCCCATGCTGGGCGGCAACATGCACAACAACGTAGTGGTCTCCCTCTTCAAGCGGTTCGTCTCTACTTTCAATTATATATAAATTATTATTCTTTAGATTGTATTTGCTCGTTTATTTATTTGTGTATTTTTTTTATTGTTGTAGTTTCGCACAGGAGGGCTTCTGTGTGGTGCGGTTCAACTTTAGAGGCACGGGCCGCTCCACCGGCAGCAAGACCTGGAGAGGTGCTCTTCTTCCCTCCTCCTCCTCTTCTACATCTTCCTCTACTCCGCCTTCACGCCGCAACCGTTGTGGCTCCCTGTTGCTCTCACCTCCACAACTGCGCTGACGATCTTCGCGTCGTGCGGTGTTGGTGCGTGTGTGTCGTGTGTCGTGTCGTGCGGCTGGTGCAAAAAAATGACACAGGGAGCGGGGAGAGGGAAGACGTGGTGGCCGTCTGTAGATATTTGCAGTCCGAGTGCGGCGTGGAGGCGGTGTACCTGGTCGGGTACTCCTACGGTTCGGCCATCGGCTGCTCCGTTGTAAATGATGTGGATATTATCAAGGTACCAACCACATCAACTCCTCTCAGACCTTCTTCTTCTTCTTCTTCGCCTGCCTTCTGCGGTTGAGCTGATGATGGTGATGGTGGTGATGGCTGGGCACGCGCAGGGGTGCATAGCGGTGTCGTATCCCTTCGGCGTGTTGACGTGGATATTGATGGGCCACCTCCTGAACCTGGCCAAGACGGAGAAGCCCTGCCTCTGGGTGATCGGCACCGAGGACAACTTCACCTCCGTCTCTCGGTTCCGACAGAGGTACCCACGACACACGCAACACGCATGACACACGACACGACACGACACGACACGACCAACGACACACACGACACACGGAGGCTAATCTTCAAGGACAGTGTGAAGCCGTTGGCGCTGATGGGCCTGGCGGAGGAGGAGGACTTCACGAAGCGGAAGAAGGCGGAGGAGCAGTCGTTGGGGGAATCGAACCCGTACACGGCGGAGTACTTCCGGGACCGGACCCAGACGACGGTCGTGGTGCGCGGGATGGACCACTTCTGGTTCGACGACGAGGACGTGCTGGCCGACATCTGCGTGGCCTGGGTGCAGGCCCGACTCGCCGACCTCGAGGCGGCGCGGGAGCAGCCACTGGAGAGCGACGATGCCGCCGAGCACCACCACCATCACCACCACCACCAGCAGCCTCAACAACGACAACGACATCAGCCCAACGGGCAGAAGAAAGACGACCTCTCCGAAGAGAGCCACAGCAGGCTCTGACCTCTCCTCCCTCACCTTGACTTATGGCATTCTCTGTCCCTCTTCTCTTCTTCACTTCTCAATTGGCCAACAACCTTTTGAAATGACTGCAGCATGTGGTACACGACACGACACGACACGACCAACGGCACGACACGACACACACCGCACACAGCAGCGTGGTCACCGTTCTCTTCTCCAAGACATTGCAATTCCGGACCTTCGAGTAACGGAAGCAAGAGAAAGGTCTCCGGATAGTGGAAGCGGCGCATTCTCGAAACTCTTGCCTTTGGTCATGATGCGCGCCTCCGTTCGTCGTTGCCAGCCCCAGCGCGTGGCTTCCCTCACTGCCACGTCTGCCCAGCTCAGGTAGACTGTTCATTCATTCTTACGTTTTTGTTTGAATGCAAAAGTAATTAAGGCACCTCTGTTGATGCCGTTCGATTGACAAATTTGCATTCGATTTATGGGGCGCAGCGCGAGAGGGCTCAATGTATCGGCCCAGGCCGCGCTGACCACGAAGGCGAATCGGCTGGAGATGCCGCCGACCGATTTCAAGCCCATGCCCTACACGGGTCCCAGCTTCGACGAGGTCAAGGCCCTGCGCGCCCAGCACATGCCGTCGGCCATCTTCGCCTTCTACAAGAATCCCATCATGCTCGTCGAGGGCAAGATGCAGTACATGTGGGACGAGAAGGGCCGCCGCTACCTCGATCTCTTCGGCGGCATCGTCACCGTCAGCGTGGGCCACTGCCACCCGCGCGTCACCGAGGCCGGCGTCGCCCAGCTCAAGAAGCTCCAGCACTCCACCACCATCTACTACAACCCCGAAGTCGCCCTCTTCGCCAAGGAGCTCGCCGACCGCCTCCCCTCCCAGCTCAGCGTCGTCTACTTTGTCAACTCGGGCTCCGAGGCCAACGACCTCGCCATGCTCATGGCCCGCGCCGCTACCGGCAACTTTGACTTCGTGGCCCTCCGCAACGGCTACCACGGCATGAGCATGAACACCATGGGCCTCACCGCCCTCCACACGTGGAAGTACAACCAGCCCCAGGGCTTCGGCATCCACCACGCCGTGTGCCCCAACACCTACCGCGGCCCCTACGGCCCCGACGAGCCCGACGTCGCCCAGAAGTACGCCAGCGACGTCGCCGACATCATCCGCTCCTCCACCTCTGGTGCGCACACACAACCGCACACACACACACACACACACGGCACACGACACGCGCGCGACCGCACACGCCTACATGTGGCTGATGGTGGCGGCGGCGGCGGTTAGGTCGGGTGGCGGGTTGGATCTCGGAGACGATCCAGGGCGTGGGCGGCACGGTGGTCCTGCCCGACGGGTACCTCAAGGAGGTCTACAAGACGGTGCGCGGCGCCGGCGGCGTCTGCATCGCCGACGAGGTGCAGACCGGCTTCGCCCGCCTGGGCTCCCACTACTGGGGCTTCCAGACCCAGAACGTCATTCCCGATATTGGTACGCGCGCGCGCGCTCTCTCTCTCTCTCTCTCGCTCGCTACATCGCACACGTGTGCGGTGTGTGCCACATGACTGATAAATGACACACGCGTGCAGTGACGATGGCCAAGGGCATCGGAAATGGTGCGCCGCTGGCGGCGGTGGCGACGACGCCCGAGATTGCGGAGACGCTCAAGCAGCGCGTGCACTTCAACACCTACGGCGGCAACCCGGTGTCGTGCGCCATGGGCCGCGCGGTGCTCAAGGTGGTGGACGAGGAGGGCATCCAGCACAAGGCCCTCTCGCACGGCGCCTACTTCACGCGCGGGCTGAACGAGCTCAAGAGGCGGTACCCGATCATCGGCGAGGTGCGGGGCAAGGGCCTCATGCTGGGCGTGGAGCTGGTCAAGGACCAGACCACCAAGGAGCCGGCCACGGCCGAGACGGCCGACATCTTCGAGCGGGCCAAGGACATGGGCCTCCTCATCGGCAAGGGCGGCCTCTACGGCAACGTCTTCCGCATCAAGCCCCCCATGTGCATCACCAAGCACGACATCGACTTCTCGCTCGAGGTGCTCGACCAGGCCTTCAAGGACAGCGCCAAGGCCATGTAAAAAGAACACATGACGATGATGATGACGATGACGCACAACAACTACAAACGAAGCGAATGCATTTTTGGGTTCCTTGACAGGCATGGACAGGCATGTCACCATCGACATGAAGATGATGATGATGTTATGTGAGTGGGGGGTGGAACGTTAGAACGGGGAATATCCCATGCCGTAGCCGAACATCCTCTTGAGGCGTTCGAAGATGTTCTCCCGCCAGGCCTGCTGAGTGCGCTCTGCTTCAGCTTCGGGGACGCCCACCTGCGTCAGTTTCATGTCACAGCCCTTCCTGCCCTCGCTCAGCTCGATCGTCACCGTCGAATAGTGGCCTAGAGACGATGGCATACTAGGCCACGTGAGTGGGGTGTCGCTGTCGAATCAGCCCAGCCCCCACCACCACGCACCACCACCGGTGCGTGTGTGCGCGTGCGGTGGAGCGTGTGCGTGTGCGGTGTGTGCGTTCGTGGTTGGGGCGTACCCTCGGGCCAAGTGCTGGTTCTCCACTTCTGGACGATCCTCTCGTTGGGGACGAGCTGGACAAACTCGCCGGTGACGTTGCCGCCAAAGAGGGCGAACTTGCCGCCCTCCTTGGTCTCCATCTGGGCGCTGCTCTGCGTGTAGGCCTCGACTCGCCGCGGGTCCATCAGGGCCTCGTAGATGTCGCTCGGCCGCGCGCCAAACTTGTCGTTAAACTCCACCTTGGTGGTCTTGGCACCACTCGCCGAAGAGGACGAGGCCGTGGTGGTCGACGACGAGGGGGTGGAAGTAGTGGCCTGGCCATCATAGCAGAAAACGTAGCGTCAGCAATCGCAGAAGATGAAGAAGTAGAGAAAAACGAGACTAGCCGCTACGTACAGCGTGGCTGGGAGCGGGGGCGGGCTTGGGCGAGTCGGCGGTGGTCTGGGTCAAAGGCTTGACCTCCTTCACCTCCTGCAGGTACCCACGCATGCCTGCACACAGCAAAAAAATCAATCAAAGAAATCAAAAAGAGATGGCACCCCTGGTCTGAAAGGTCAAGCGCACCCCTGAACTCCTCGATGAGGGTCTCCAGCAGCTTCCTGACCTTGGGGATGCCCTGGTTGGCCACCAGCTGCCTGATGGTGTGCTTATCGGCCGCCTTGGTGACGTTCACCCTGATCTAACGAATTAAAACAATAAATTAATAAATAACAATAATAATCAATCAAAATGGCACTCGCAAAGCTCAAAGAGAGCAGGTTGTGGCTGTACCTCGTGCTCGTCCATGTCGTTCTCGAACGAAATCTCAGGCATGTCAAAGTTGCCCTCCACCTTGTCGCCCTTGATGGTGCCTGGTTTGGCGGAAGCCGAACCATAACGTTGAGATGAACGGAAGATTTTGACAATGGAAATCAGAGTGGCACGAGTGTGGGTGTGCTTACCGCTCCACTTGAGCTTGATCTCGAACTCGAAGAAGTGGAAAATCTTGCCCTTGCGAGTGTTAATGTGGCATTCGCCGTTCATCGTGTCAACCTTGGTAATCTTAATCAGGTCCTCTCCATTTTCAATGATCTTGGCACCCTCGAAGAGCTCTGGCATGCGCTCCTTCGCCCACGGCATGCAGTTCTTTTCGGTCCTGTGAGGTAGAGCAAAATTCATGCACATTCAGATATGCGCCCCGAGCAGATGGAAAATTTGGATCAAATTTTCTGCTGTTCGCGCACCAGTGCCAGTTGTTGACGTTCGTGCCATCAGCCCGCTCGGCCACAATCCACCTCGGGTCGGTCTCTCCTACCTTGGCCATCGTTTCAGACTTCTTGTTGTTCGATTGTGTGCGACCCTACAAAAAAATGAAGCAGTTGTTTTGTTATTTCTCCGCCACTCCGACACATTATTCGCATATTTTGAATTAATGGCGAAATTTCAGGCCAAGTGCACGGATTTTACAAATAATTAGGGTTTTGTAGTTTTGTTGTTCCCTGCCTCACTTGACTTTGGTGAAGAGGATCTCCTTGACCAGCTTGGCGCCGGGTTGCCGGCCGTAGGTGAGGGCTTGCGCGCTCCGTTCGTCGGCGGCGACGCCCAGCATGTCGAGCATCTTGGCGGCCGACCGCGGCATGATGGGCTGCAGCAGGAGCGCCGACAGCCGGGCGGCCTCGAGCGCCACGTACAGCACCGTCTCGCAGCGCCGGGGGTCAGTCTTGCGCAGCTTCCACGGCTCGTTGTCCTGCAAGTACTTATTGGCGTCGTAGAGGATCTCGAAGATCGCACTGATGCCCGGCCCGAACTCAACGTTGGTGTAGTGCTCGCTTACCCGATCTTCGAGAGGAGAACATGTGAGATTGGCCGGCGAAATCCTGAAAGAGAAAAAGCTGAGGAAAGCTGAGGTACCAGGGAGACGCTGCATTCGGTCGACGAAGGCCTGGTCGTCGGCTGTGAGATCGCCGCACGCGGGGACGAGGCCCGCTGGGTTGAGGCTCGGGGCCGTGAGGCGCGCAAATAGGTTGCCGAGTGTGTCGGCAAGATCATTGTTGAGCTTGGAGACGAGCGTCTCGTGGGAGAAGTCGCCGTCGTCCACCATGCCACCGTCGCGCAGCAGGAAATATCGTACGGGGTCAAGTCCGTACTTGCCAATAATCTACATACGGGGCGGCGAGCGGTCAGAGACGTGTGTGTGTCGCGGGCGTGTCATGTGTGTCGTGTACCTCATTAGGCGTGACGACATTGCCCAGACTCTTGGACATCTTGTGCCGGTTCACAGTCCAGTGGGCATGGGCCACGATCTTCTTCGGTAGGGGCAGTTCGGCGGCCATCAGGAACGCAATCCAGTAGATGGTGTGGAAGCGGATAATGTCCTTTCCGATGATGTGGTAGTCGGCCGGCCACGCGCTCGAGGGAGGAACCGACATCGCCGCGGAGGCCTCGCCGTCCCAGGGGAAACCGGCTGCGGTGAGATAGTTGGTGAGCGCGTCGAGCCAGACGTAGATGGTGTGCCCGTCATCGCTTGGCACCGGGATGCCCCACTTGATTCTGCTTCCAATTCGCGAGATGGACAGATCCTGCAACTCCCTTTCCTGTGCAGCGATCATATAAGGTCGAGGGTGCCCACTGACACACACACACACACACACACAGGCAGACACACACAGACACACAACAGAGTGAGAGCCATGGTGCGTACCCGCAGAAGGCCAAAGAGCTCGTTGGCTCGCACGCGAGGAATGACGGAGCCGCCTTGGTCTGTGTTTTCCAGCCATCGAAGCAGTGGCTTCTGGAAGGCCGACAGCTTGAACTTGTAGTTCTCTTCTACCACCCACTCCACCACATGCCCGCTCTCGAGCGAGACCTTGCACGGATTCCCCTGCTTGTCCACTCCTGGTTGTTCAATACGCCACGTCGTCAGCAGTTGCCATGGCCCAGCGGTGTCGCTTGGCTTGATGGTGGCAGTACCATCGGCCACTTGCACCGGCGTGAGAAAGGCTTCGTCCGACACACAATACCATCCCTCATACTTGCCCTTGTAGATGTACCCTCGATCCTGCATTCATTCATTCATTCATTCGCATATAGCAAGTTAGCAGCACGTTGGCATCTATCTGTGGGCCAGCTCGCGAGACGTACCTCGAGCAGCTTCCACAGCGCATGTACGGCCTTTTTGTGGCGCTCCTCGGTGGTGCGGATGAACTGGTCGTTGGAGATATCCGCCTGCACCATCAGGCTCCTGAACTCTTCCGACACCTCATCGCAGAACTGGGCAGGCGTCTTCCCCTTCCCCTTGGCCGCCTCTTGTATCTGCATCACATTTTTTAGTCTAATTTATTATTATTTGTTATTTTATTTATTGCAAAATAAATAATAATAAATAGGTGGAGGCACCTTGAGGCCGTGTTCGTCGGTGCCAGTGACGAAGAGGGTGGAGGCGCCCAGCATGCGGTGCCAGCGGGCCAGGGCGTCGGCCACGAGCGCCGAATAGAGGTGTCCGATGTGTGGGCTCCCGTTGACGTAGAATATGGGCGTTGTCACCATCACGGGCTTGTTGCTGCTGGCCGATGTTGACGTCTGCAGTGATCTGTAGTGTATGCACGCGGCCACAGCGCCGCGGCTCGGCTCGCATGTTCGAAGCCAGGAAGATGACGAAGGCACGCGTGCGCCAGAGCGGAACCGAATTAATCCGTTTAATCGAGAGAGGGGAGTAATGGCTGGGCTCGGTGAAAGCGGCAACGAGGAAGGAGCAGCCCAACGAAGAGCATAGCCGGTCGAAGAGGAAGGAGAAGGAGCGAGAACGGCCGCATATCTGCTGGTTGCTTTGCGCATCTTGATGTTAGAAATATCGACCTCAAAGTGAAAAAGAAAAGCAAACAGAGAGAAAAACAAAGCACTACAGCGGGCAGAAGGAGAAGAAGAGCCACACGTCTGGTGGCGTGCGACACGAGCTACGGTGGTAGAGCGCCACTCTAGTGCAGCTGCGTAATCTTCTCCTCATAATCTCCCAGCTCCTCCCCATCCCGATCTCCAATTTTGCGAGTGTATCGAATCATCGAGAGCAGTACAGAAGAATGCAGGCAATTTCACGGGGGCTGTTTACTGCCCTGCAAAAGCACATGGATGTGTACCACTGGATACTCAGGGTAGAGCACTACGTCGGGCTTGGGATGAGCGGATTCAAGCTGGTAGGGCACTGGCTCCACGTGCCCATCCTCTGCCTCATGGCCGCCTTCGCTGTCTACGTCGTGGCCTACCACCTCTGGTGCTGGCGCGAGCGCGGCCGCCTCCTCGGCGCCACGCAATACGCCTCCACCTCTCACGGCCTCGTCGAGTACCGTCGACCTCACCTTCTCACCTTCTTCACTTCCCTCCCAGCGCCCGCACTGATCCACCACATGCGCACGTGTACAGGTACAAGTGGTATGGCTCCGGTCCTGTTGTGCTCGTGCTTCACGGTACCACCTCTCGCTGCACCTGTGTGTGTGTGTCGTGTCGTGGCGTGTGCGTGCGCTGTGCTGAGAGTACGTCTTAACGATGGCTGAATGCTTTGATGTACAGGGACGCCTGGAGGATCGGACCAGGGAGGGATGTGGCATCAGCTGCTGCTGGGCGGGGAACATTTCTCCGTCCTGGCACCTTCCCGCTTCGGCTACGTCGGCACACAGTTGGAGGCCGGTCACCACGGCAGCCGGGCCGAGCTTACGCTCCCGCAACAAGCCGAGGCCATCAATGGCCTTCTTCATGCCCTCGACCTCAACAAGGTAACGTTTCAGATCGCTCTCGATCAATCGCTATTAATCGACCTCTTTCCGCGTCGTGGCGGCTCACTACTCGATCGTGGTGACCAGGTCGGCGTGGTCGGCATCGGAGGAGGCGGCCCGCTGGCGATGGAGCTGGTTAAGAACTACCCTCACAAGTTTTGGGCGTTCGTGCTTCTCGGTGCCGTCACCCGGAAGTGGCAACCACCAGAAGAGGAATCATTCGCGTACCGCCCTCAGCACTGCGTCATTTGGGGCGTAGATAGGGACACCCTAACACATACGCACACACCTTCCCGAGCGCAGCAGGGATCTCGACTCCCTGGAGAGGTTTGTCTTCCGTCAGCTGAACGGGTTGGCCATGTGGACCTACTACCTCCTTTCGGTTTTCTTCCCTTCATTCATGCTGCGGTCGCTGTACGCCGAGGGATCTTCGTTGGACCCGAATGCGATCGAAAAGTATGCCACAGCACACGCACTCGCACACGCACACGTTTCCTGCGCGTAGTGTCTAATCGGGTGTATCTCTCAGACATACGCGTGCGGTATTGGAGAAGGTGGCTCAGCGATTGGCCTTGCAGCGAGCAGCTCGGTCTTGCCTTCCACCCAGCCTGCGATCCCAGGGCATGGACCGCGACCTCCAACTATTTGCGTCATTGCCCGAATCCATCGATGATGTATCTACCCCCTTCTGCGCCCGCACACACCCACGCTGTTGCTCAACACCGCACGACACGCATAACGCACCGTAACCACACGACACGACACGACAAAATAACGAACAGATGAACCGAGCAGAGTCGGTGCCGGCGCTGATCGTGCACGGCAAGGCCGACAAGAGCGTCCTCGCAGCGAATCACGCCGAGGCGGCCCACGCGGCGATGCCCTGGTCGGAGCTGTACCTGGTCGACGAGGCCTCGGGCATGCTGTGGCTGGGCCAGGAGGGCGAGGCCGTATCGCGCAAGGTCGTCTCCTTCCTCATGGGCCGCATGGAGCGAGGCCAGGTCGACGAGCTGCGCCACCACCACCCGGCCAACGCCTCGCCCAACAGCAGCGTGGTGGTTGGCGTCGGCGGCAACACGCGGCGAAAGGCGAAGAAGACCAACAAGAAGAAAGCTACGGCGAAGAAGGACAAGGAAGGCTGAGCCTTGTGTTAAGTAATAGAGATACAATAGAGATGCCGCCGGACACATCAACTCAGTTCCTTGCTTCGTGTGTGTTGTGTGGTTGCTCCCTGCTCTTCTTGGGAGCGAATAGGAATTTTGTGCAGTTTTTTTATTTTACCAATTTCGGGCCACCCACCACAGGCCAACACATTGGATCAGTTGGATCGCACGTCGCCAGCGCTAGCCAAGAGGAATTAGAATCCAACAGAAATTGGGCTGAAGCTAGAACAAGAGATCAAATCAAATGATGATGGACAGCGAAGGCAAGCCGCCACCGCCACCGCCCCCTTATGCTCTCTCCTCCACATCGCGTTCGGGCAGCTTCGGCTCGTTCTCCAACACCTCCTCTCCTGCTGTGCCCTCGCGTAGCGGTTCTACATCGAAGAAGGGTCGTGATGGGGGCGATTCGCAGCAGGAGGGCTGGAACGTCCCCTTGTGGAAAATCCTGTGGGGAGGCGACAATGAGGAACAGAAAAGCGATTCGCAATCCAATCTCAAGCGAGGTTCGCAGTCGATCATTTTTATTCTTTATAATTCTCATTTTCCGCAATTGCATTTAATTCATTCAATCTTGGCTTGCGATAATAATAATCATTTATTGCATTTGCATTACCGACAGGGATGGACAGCATGGCAAAGCAAAAGATGTTAGCGGCCAAGCTGGACAACACGACGTGGATAAGCGCCCTGCAGCTGGCCCTGTGGGACAACATCTTCGGCCCGCGAGTCGACCAGGTGCGCTCTCCACAGACTCTCTGTTTTCGCATTGTTATTTGCCTATTTGCGGTGTTGCTGCGAAGGCTGTAATTGCGTGCCGGCGTGATCGTACCGCCACACGATGACACCTCTTCGGCCTCTTCATACTGAGTTTGCTCCTCTCGTCGTGTGTGTATGTGTGTGGCTTGTGTTATAGATTTGGTACGGCATAGAGGAAATCGACGAGGACACCCGGTTGTCGGCCGCACGTCACTCACTATCGGGCGAGATAGGTATGCGTTAGTGCCAGCAGATGAAAGAGATGAAGGTGGTAGAGGCTCAATCGCACGTGTCGTGTGTCGTGTGTCGTGTGTTGCAGATGATGACCTGCCCTTGGACTCGAATGTGGAGACCAAGTTTCACGTCTTCACGGGCATCGGTTATGTCGTGCTCGCGCTCATCTTCACAGCCCCCAACAGAAACAGCCCCACCCGATTCTCGCTTTCACTCATCTTCCGGAAGAAGCACCTGGAGCGATATCTCGTTCTTCATCAGGTCGTGCAAGAGCACATGCTGCGTCTGGTCAACAAACTCAAGACCGTTCTCCTCTGGGTAACTCTCACCTATCACACACACACACGCGCGCGACACACACACGACACACGACACACACACGACACACACACACAAAACAGTGCTAACTCTGCCATGCAGCCGCAGCGAGCCACTGCTCTGGAACGATTCGGCAAGTTCCTGCCCACCTTCGTACGGCAGATGGAAGCTCTCTATGGTTCTTCTCTGCCACCCGTCAAGTCCACCACCATTTTTTGTACACAAGAAAACACCTATAAATACGAATTCCTGGCGAGGTGCGCTCCCCCCCCGCCATCACCGTGCGTGCGTTGATGTTGTCGTCGTTCTCTACTCACCATTCATGATGCGTTCGTGTGCTCCAATTCAAGGGCGATCACATCACACCTCCAGACACACGGATCCACGGTGGTTATCGGAAGCGACGAAGATTCTGTCAACACTGTACGTTCTTTCTTTCTTCCTTTCTTTCTTTTCTACTTCTTGGAGAGTGGATCAATGAGACTGACGACAGTTACACGCACGCGCCACAGTTTGTAGATTCTCTTTCTCTCTTCTTGACTTCAAACGAAAAGAAACGTTCGCGACGAGCGGCGGACGGCGCCGCCTACATTCCGGATCTCATCTTGCAGGGAATCACCAGGGTTCGCGACCTCTCTTCCTTTTTTTCCCTGTTCTTTCCTTTCCTTTACTTGTTCGGTGTCTCACCTCCGTTCGTTGGCATGACATGTACACCACCACGCCGCTACAGCGAACCAGCATTCTCCGGGAAGACGTCATTCTCTCCATGCTCCCCACAACATTAATCGACGTCGATCGGCAAACCGTAAAGCACACTCGAGTGTACCATGAGGTACGATCGCGCGCTCGCTTCGCGCCGCATTGCGGCGTTCTCTACTCCGCCGCGTCCTCTAAATGATCGACGTGGCTGCGTGTTACGTGACATACCATAGTATATCCATATGCGAAGGGAGTACATGAGCGGCGAGATCGAACGGCTAGGCGCAGAGACCAGGAGCGGCGGCGAAGACGGGCGACGAAGAATCATCCCCATAAGACAGCAATCGTCGTCCTCGTCTTCGTCGTCCTCTTCCTCGTCGTCGCTACCCAACCTCTTCAGCCAGCTCAAGGAGGCCGCGCCCTGCGTCGACCAGATGCTGCTCGAGGCGTTCAAGCTTCCTCCGGCCCTGCGGGAAGGCTACATCGTGCAGTGGATCCGTGTGATCTCGCGCCGAGCCGTCACCCTCATCAAGTATGCCGAAGCTGAAACGTGCGTTCCTCTCGCTTCGGTTTGTTCTGGCTTTGCTTCGTCTTCATTTCTGACACTTTCATCAACACATGGTTGTGTGTAGTAAGCGGTTGAACGCGACTGTGCTCGAATTGGAAACGATTCAGCGGATCCGGCAGGACCTGAAGCTGAGCGCCGACGCCGATTTCCTGGTGATCCTGGGTGTGGCGGAGAAGCTCTCTCCGGGTATTTACACGACGCTCGCCGGCGATCCGCTCCTCATGGAGGAGCGGTTCATCGAACTCTTCGAGAGCTTCGCCCTCAGCTGAGCGTCCACAAGCAGAGTCAAGAAAGAGCAACCGGGAAATAAAAAGGAAAAGAAAATTCAAAAATAAAAACAAGACAGAAAACAAAGAGCGAAAGAGAAGGACAAACAGCAGCTGAGATGAGGCTGCTGGTGACGCTGGCATTGCTGATCATCATGGTCCTGTCGACACTCACAACGATGACGATCCTGTTCCACTTCAAGAACGTGGAGGAGGGGCAGGACTACTCGACCTACACGTACGAAGAGGAATTGGCGGGCAATGGACGATTGTTCAGCGCGCTTGCGCTTCTCATCGTGACAAGCCCCTTCATGCTGATGGGCATCAACCAGCTCAGCAAGAGCCATCTTGATCCATCCAGCTCGAAACAGGAATCGTCGCCTTCGAAGATAAAATCGGAAACTGTCGGGTTGATGACGCTCCTCTTCGGCCTGCCCTTCTTTGCCACCAACGTGGTCCTCTGCTTCTCAGCCAATCTCGTCGTCCTCATCCTCACGTTCGTGCTCTCCTGGTGGGGAACATGGATCTGGTTCGGCGATCGTCTTCGAGCGAAGCTGGCAGACGAGTGAGCGCTCGCGTTGTGAGAACGATCATCAAGCCAATCGAGGTGGCGCTAGCGCGAGGGCTTGGCGGGAAGTGCGCAGATCCCATCTTTCATCCTCAATGTATTTATTTCTGCGATTTGTACAATGCAACTTGTAAATGAACAGATTGTCCATTACTGGTACTCGCCTCTTACCTCGTGAAATATAGGCACCTTAGTTGCACAACTGCGCATGGGCAAGATTACATTAGATTGGATCAATGAGCAAGAAAACAGAGATGGACCAGAAAAAGACCTTGGTCGTGCACGCTACACTTCGATGATGAGCTTGCCATGGTTGTACAGCCGGCTAATGATAGCCTGGCGCTTCACCACCTCAAGCTCGTGCCGGGCCTTGTCGAGGCACTTGTCGATCTGCTCCGCATCGCTCATGGTCTTATTGGCCTTGAATTCATCGCGCACCCTCCGCTGAATGTATTCCCGCATGTTGTAGTCGTTATACTGCCTTCCATTCCTCATCAATTGGCGGTACACGCGCAGAGCTTGCGGACGAGATGCCATTTTGGGTTACGCTGATCGTTTGTAGTGTTGATTTCCTTGCTTCTTCTTTTTGGCCCAGTTCGAAGAAAAAGAGAATGCAGAAGTTGCGAAGTAGGGCTCGGTCCTGGCAATGGCTGACTTTTCTGATGAGCTGCCAGCACCTCTGGACGACTCAACTCTGGTCCCAAGATGATCGTCGCACAAGCAACAGATCACGAACCTCTTTTGTCGCACACCTTTGGGATGCGTCATGCTTCACCGGATGCAGAAAAGTGAGCGAGTTGTTTGCAACCTGCACTCCCGCCCACCAGGCTCTGTTGACCTCACTCACGCTTCTTCTGTAGCCCTTCGCCCGGTACGTCGGTGTCGCGCACCGATGGCCCTCCTGGACACTCTCCTGCAGGACCTTCAGGATTGTCGGTGTCACACTCGTCATCTCCCGCCAAATTTCCCGAGTTGGCCAGTTGGCCTGAATTATAAAATCAAAATCATAAGAGAGGATGGTCGAGGTTGTGACTTCCTACTTCGTGCACACGAGAGACACTGCTGACCACGAGGAGGAAGTGGTGGAGGACGTGGGTGGCAAGCACTATACAGCAGCAAATCTTCAAAATCGGCCACTACAACATCACCTCTCGACATTCGATAATCACAACTTTCGGCATCCGAGGCGCTACTCGGACCGCATAAAGGTCAAGATGCGTAACATGGAGAGGTATCAATACCGCCTGTTCAACTCCAGCACCACCTTCCAGTTCGGCCCCTTGGAGCGGCTATGGGTGCTGGTGTTCGTCGACATGCTCGCCGTGGGCCTGGTCATTCCACTACTTCCCTACTACGCCTCCAACCTCGGTGCCGACGCCGTGACGTACGGCTACTTGGGATCCATCTACGGCATCTCCCAGCTCATCGGCAGCCCACTAAGTACGTGCCCACCTCGCCCTTCGCCTCCTCGAGCCGCTCGTTCGAGCTCCGTCACCGCCATAGCAACCACTGTGGCGCGTTCTGCAGAGGGCAGCTCGACTGACTCACCTTGTGTGGTGCTGCGCTTTAGTGGGCAGCCTAAGCGACAGGTATGGCCGAGTCAACACGCTCATCGTATCGTTCTTGGCCTCGGTGGTGAGCTACGCGATGATGGGCATGGCGGGATCGCTCGCGATGCTCTTCCTCAGCCGCATCCCCGTGGGCGTTCTCAAGCAGACGATGTCCATCAGCTACGCCTATGTCTCCGACGTGACCGACTCCACCTCGCGAGCCAAGTATCTTGGGTAAGACATTGTCACACACACACACTCTCTCTCTCTCTCGAGACCCAGCAGGAGCTTAACGCTAACCGCCTTTCTCCTTCTTTCTCGGCAGCTTCCTGGGTGTGGCGGTGGGCGTGGGATTCATCATCGGGCCGGCCTTGGGAGGTTTGATTTGCTTTGCTTTCTCAGTCCATCTGTCGCTTGAGAGTTGACTCACACTCGCATATGTCTTCTGGGGCCATATGGCAGGAGTGCTGAGCGAGGTCAGCTACACGTTGCCGGCCCTTGTGGCGTCGGCTATGTTTGTGTTCGATTCCGTGTTCGCCTATCTGTTCCTCCCCGACGGTTCGACGATTATGCTCGACGAAGAGAAGGAGAGGGAGAGCGGCGACGAGGGCTTGGAGGGGGAGATCGACGTGGAAAAGGCCAAGGAGAGCCAAAGCGAGGACGAGGTCGTCCTACCTGCGCAAGCGAAGGCCCGGCAACAGTGGGACATCAGAGCCTACCTCAACTGGGTGCTGTGCGTGTTCAAGGACACTTCAGTTCTCTTCCTCATCGCCACCAGCTTCGCAGCCACACTGGTGCGTACACCATTCACCGAGGCCTGTGCTGCTGGTGGCTGCTGCTGACGTTCATCGTGATCAGGCCTTCACCACCTACCGAGTCACGTTCCCCATGATCAGCCAAGTGCGATTCGACCTCGATGCCAGGGCCAACGGCTTCCTCCTCTCCTACATGGGCCTTCTCTCGGTCTTTGTGCAGGTCAGTACAGCCTCGAGTCCTCATCAGGCCCCTCACTCTCCCCCTTTCTTTTCTCACCGTGGCAAGTGCAACACGCAGGGATCGGCAGTGGGGTACCTCACCAAGCGATTCAGCGAGGGGAGACTTGTACAGCTCGCGTCGTTTGGTCTCGGCGTCTCCCTGTGTGCCTGCGCGCTGGCCTTCAACCTGCCCATGCTGGCCGTCGCACTGATCCCTCTCGTGGTCTGCAATGGCGTGCTCTCCACGTGCATTCTCAGCACCGTTACGAAGGTACACTCGCCTCGTGCCACACCCCAGCTTGCAGTCCAAATCGCTGACGCTTCATCATCAACAACTATGACGATGACGGGTCACATGTAGAAAGTGCCCAAAGCCGACTTGGGAGGCGTGATCGGCCTCTTGGGCTCTGTGCAGAGCCTGTGCTCGGCAGTTAGCCCGAGCCTGGGCGGACTGCTCCTCAAACATGGGTAGGCCCCTTAATATGGCATAGAATGGGTGCATTCATTCTTCGTCTTGTGTGTGTGCTGATCTCTCTTTTCTCTCCGTGTACACAGTGGAGCGGAAGGACCCGGATTGTACAGCGGTCTCTGCCTGATGCTCATCTTCTTCTGCATGTTTGCCCGCAACTATAGCGTCGGCAGCGGCGAGCGAGAGTTGCCCGTCTTCAAACACCACCTCAGCGACAAGGGCGAATGTACATGTACGCGCCGTCGCCTCCATCCATCCACCCAACACGTTGACACTCACGGCTCACCTCTCCGCGCGTAGATGCGCCTGGCGATTGGCCACGAAAGGGCGCGGAAGGTGAGGTAAAGGACTGCTGACAACGACACCGCACCTAGGAAGCAACCAGCAGTTGTTGTTGCTTGCTTACTTCATCATCAGCTCCATCGCTTCATCTGTACATATCCTGTAGATAACAAGACGCGTCCGTCTCATGGCATAAATAAGTAATAGTTATAATTAATAGAGATAATGCGCAACAAGAAGCTCAAGAAGAAGAGAAACGTTCCTTTCTCTCCGGAGTGGAAGCAGGAAAGTTTCCGTTGGCCTCCGTGGAATTAGCCTCGACGTTGGCCTTCGTCTTCGTTCACCGAGAGAAGCTCAACACAACCGCCAGCGTGGAGATGATGGAGGAAGATCAGGCGATGATGCTCACGAAGAGGGCGGCGCGACGCTTGCGGTGCATGGAGGCTCATCTCTCCGGGGCGACTGAATCGATGATGACGCTCGAGCGTGGTTTGGATGAGCGATCGCTCGCACGCGCGGACGAGGCACTCCTGTCGCTCGCCTACGTCGTGGCCGACAAGCCGTCGACGGCCGAAGAGGCTGCTGCTTCATCTTCCGGAAAGCTCCTCGGCCAGGAGATGGGAGCGCTGGAGTCGCTGGGCGAACGCCTGCGCGTGTACAAGACCGGAGCGAAGATGGTCACCAGCGTCATCAAGATGGGCCTCGACCTCCACTCGGGTGCAGCTTCGCTTTCATTTTCTATTTTAATTTATTAACTAATTATTAGAAAATAGTTCGCATTTAATTATTTTAATTTGTAAACATTATAAACTAATTTGTTGTTCTAATAATTATGTTAATTTTTATAATTTTATACTAATTTTACAAAATAGCACTGAGGAGGAACCCGTACACGCTGGCGGACACGTGGGAGGACGTGTCGAAGCAATTCGTCCAGAACGTGGCGCTGCTCTTCGAGGACCAGTCCTACACCTACGGCGAACTCAACCACGCCGCCAACAGGTTTGCCTGCTTGCGAGTGTCGTGTGCGTGGTGTGAGAAACGTCGCACGCACAATCCCACCTTATTCTTATTTCCACGCAGGGTCGCGAACTGGGGTCGCGAGGATGCCCAGCTCAAGGCCGGCGATGTAGTGGCCCTCTTCATGCAGAACCGGCCCGAGTTCTTCATCACGTGGCTCGGCATGGCCAAGGTACCCACTCTCCTGGCTGAACGCACGCACGCACGCACGCACGCACGCACACACACACACACACGCACACACAACACACACACACACACAACACACACACAACACACACACACAACGTTGCACCCACTGAACTCTTGGGCGTTGCGGCTTGTGATTGTGATGGCTACGGCGTTGTCGTGGTTCAGTTGGGCGTGACGACGGCGCTGATCAACACCAACCTGAACGGCAAGCCGCTGGAGCACGTGCTCAAGGTCTCCCAGGCGCGCACGCTGATCATCGGACCCGAGCAGCTGGACCACTTCGAGACCACCCGGCAGACTCTGAAGACGGTCGATGAGGGCGAGTGGTCCGTGTGGGTCTTCCAGGGCCGCGAGGCCACCGCGCCCAATCCGCTCGCGTGGCAGTGGGCCAAGGACATGGACGTGCGACTCTCCGCGCACGACGAATACAACACTCCGTCATCGCTTCGCGCAGGCGTACGCCATCTCTCTCTCTCTATCTCTCTCTTCGTTCTATTTGTTCTTTCTTCGTTCTTTATTTCGTTTTCGTTTTCTTTGTCGTGGCGGCTGCTGAGTTTGACGACCTCAAAACAGGTGAAGATGGTGGATCCGCTGTTCCTCATCTACACGTCCGGCACCACCGGCCTGCCCAAGCCGTGTAAGGTGAGCCACAAGAAGGTCTGGGGCTACATGCAGCTCTGGTACCGATTCGCCAACCTCACCTCCAGGGACAGGTAACACCACCACGCCGTGCCGCATGTGTGTCGTGTCGTGTCGTGTGTGCCGTGTGCGCACGCGTAGAAGTGGTTAACACGGCTGCGACCGTTCGTGCAGAATCTACGTAACGCTTCCCGCCTACCACTCGAATGGTGGCACGCTCTCTCTGTCGGCATGGATGGCGGGAGGAGCCATCGTCCTGCGCCGCAAGTTCTCCGCCTCGGCCTTCTGGGACGACGCTCGCAAATACCGTGCGTGCTTCCACATGCCCAAACGCGGCACACGCGCGCTGACACCACCGCACGCACGCCACGCCACGCCACGCCACGCCACGCCACGCCACGCCACGCCGCCCACGCTAGTATCCACGTAAGAAGCGCTTCGAGGATTGATTGTAGTGTGATCTCAGGCGCCACCGGATTCATTTACATCGGCGAGTTGTGCCGGTATCTCTACGCTCAACCGCCCTCGCCCAAGGACAACCAACACCCCATTCGCTTCATGATCGGCACGTCCTCCTTTTATATTCTATTTATATATATTTATATATATTAGAATGATTTTCTTATGTCATTAATTGATTGCTTGCTTGCTTGCGGTTCACTGTGCAGGTAACGGATTGCGCGGAGACATTTGGGACGGCTTCCGCAAGCGATTCGGCATCGAAACCATTCTCGAATTCTACGGCGCTACAGAGGGCAACATCGGCCTTCTCAACTACAACGGCCGGGTACTCTCCCCATCAGTGTGTGCGTGTGCGGTGGTGCGTCTGCGTGTGTGTGCGTGTGCGCGGTCGCATGGTAACTAACACCGGTGCGGTGCCGGTGCACATCAAAGGCGGGTGCGTGCGGTCAGCTCCCCTATTTCCTGCGGCCGGCGGTGCCGTTCCGGCTGATCAAGTACGACGTGGAGAACGACGCCCACATTCGGACGGCCGACGGTTTCTGCATCGAATGCCCCGTCGGCGAGGTGGGCGAAGGCATCGGCCGTATCGACAACGACCCCAACAAGATGACCGGTAATCTCACTCATCTCACTCAACTACAGACCGATCCGGGTCATGACCGATAGCTTACCGCACCGCACCGCACCGCACGTGCAGGCAACTTCGACGGGTACACGGACCCGCAGGCGACAAAGAAGAAGATCCTTACCGACGTGTTCGAGAAGGGCGACCAGTGGTTCCGCACGGGCGACCTGCTGGCCAAGGACTTCCTGGGCTACTTCTACTTTGTTGATCGGTGAGTTTCAACCACTCATATGTCGTGTGTGTTGTGTGTCGTTTCGTGTGTCGTGTGTGTCGCGTGGCACTCATGTTAAGCTCGACATTTTCTCTTCCGTGCATGCAGCATCGGCGACACGTTCCGGTGGAAGGGAGAGAACGTGGCCACGTCCGAGGTGGAGATGGTCATCAACTCGCTGCCGAACATCGTGGAGGTCACCGTCTACGGCGTGCCGATCCCCGGCAAGGATGGACGCGCCGGTAAGTGTTATTTTTATTTATTAATTCCATTACTTTTGTTTTTTTTGTTCTTAGTTACAAATATTGATCGCTTGGTGGTTGCAGGCATGGCGGCGATCGCGCCCACGCCCGGGACGACGCTCGACGTGGAGCAGTACCTCAAGGTGGTCACCGAGCAGCTGCCGGCCTACGCTCGTCCGGTGTTTGTGCGCGTGATGGGCGAGATCGACACGACGAGCACGTTCAAGCACAACAAGGCCCACCTCGTCAAGCAGGGCTTCGACCCCGAGGCCATCACGGACGCCATCTACCTCGTGACCTACCCCGGCAAGCACACCGCCTCGGGCAGCTTCACCCGCCTCGACCGCCAGCTCGCCGACGCCATCGCCCAGGGCAAACACGACATCTGACCCGCCCAGTGTCTATTTATTTCATTTTTTGAATTCCATCCAATCCGGGGCTTTGTAGCCGCGTCAGACTTGGTATTTGAAACATTTCTTGATCTGCGCAGCTTACGCTGGGGCGTCGTGGGCGCGTGCCCACTGCAGCAGCGAGATGGCCGCCCCAGGCTGCATAGGCACACCACCGCTCGTCCCACTCACTTGAGCACCTCGAGGTGGCTCGATCGCTGGCGTTAGCGCATGCCGTTGGCCCACGCCCACTGGAGCAGCTCGAGATTACCGGCGAGGGCGCAGGTCTCTGAGTCCCACAGGCAGCCGTTGGCCCGCAGCCAAGGCAGGACCTCAAGATGGCCGCTCCTGGCTGCGCACGTACAGCTGTCCCACTCGCAGCCGTTGGCGGGCGCCCACTTGAGCACCTCGAGTCGGCCTTTGCGCGCGGCGTTGCAGGTGTCCCACGGGCAGCCGTTGGCCCGGGTCCATGGAAGCAGCTCGAGATGGCCGGCGGCAACGGCGCAGGTCCAGTGGTCCCACAGGCAGCCGTTGGCACGCGCCCATTGCAGTACCGGGAGCCAGCCCTTCCTGGCCACCTTCTTAGCGTAGTAGCTGGTGGGGCTGGCTGCAGCGATCAGGGGCGGTAGGGCAGTAAGGCAGACACATCTCTGACTTCGCGGTAGGTCGTGGAGAGGGCGTGGTTCCATCGGCTGCACGGCGCGGCAGGCGGGCAGGGTGACCGTGGTCGACGTGGCCGAGGACGAACCCGACCAACTCCACCAGTTCCATCGCCAACCTCTTGTGTTGGGTTTGGCTGAACTGAACTTAAAAGAGAGAAAAGAAATGGGAAGGGAAAGCAGGAAATTAAGGTCAAAGTCGCACAAACCCCTGCACTCTGTCCAGTCGCTGGAAGCTGTTCCGCCTCTAGATGGCTTCACCGACCGCCCTGGGTACGCCATCTTGCGAAGCTTTCTTTTGCGTTCGATCACCTTATGATTTATGCATTTTAAAATACAAAATCGATTTTACACGCGGTAGGGTACAAGCAGCTGCAGCTGGACCTGTGGTCTCTCCTGAGCGGGGCCGACTCCTCGCCCTACGCCGATGTCGTCTTTCGCGCGGTCGACCCCAACCAGAAGCCGGCCGACGCCAGCAGCGGCAGCGGCGGACAGGACCGCCCTGCGGCGCAGTCGTTCCACGCCCACAAAGTCATCATCTACCACGTACGGGCGCCCGTGGCCTACATCTTCTTCTATTTTATCTTCTTTTGTGTTTAACGTGGGTTGTAACGTGGATCTCTCCTTCTTCTTTACCTTCAGACGGCGCCCATGTTGTTCGCCTCGCTGCTCTCGGTCGAGGACCACACGGCTTCGGCCGACAACGCGGCCGCACCACCACCGCCAGCGACGGCCACCATCGAGATCGAGCCCCACATATTCAAGCTGTGTCTCGTACTCTCGGCCGCTCTCAGCTCGCGATGAACAACGACGATCGATTGCGCGACTCACCCGCACATGACAACTCGGTGATGGCGGTGCTCGTGGTGCAGGAGTTCTTGTACACGGGCGCGGTGACGACGCCCGGCGTGACCCGGGAGGACAAGGTCAGGCTCCTCTCGTTTGCCGAGCACTACAACATTCCTGGCCTGATGACCGCCAAAGCCTGGAAAGAGTACGCTCGCATCCGTTGCGCACGACCTATGCAACACCTTTCGCTTGGAATCTCACACGTGCGTGCGAACCTGTCGTGTGTGTCGTGTGTTGTGCGTGTCATGTGTGCTGTGTGCTGCCAGGTCGAGTGATTCGTGCTGGATTCTGCCGGAACCACACCAAGACTCAGTGACCGACAAGAACCCACCGCCGCCCAAGCCCATCCTCGCTGCCCGCCACAGCCCGCTCTTCGCCGACGTCACCCTCCTCGTCGACGGACAACGGTTCCACGCTCACAAGGTGCACACCACCACCACCGCCACCGCCGCCACCGCCACCACCTTAACAACCGACAACTTCCAGGCGATCCTCGCAGCGCGCAGTGCCTACTTTGCGCGCATGTTCGGCAGCGGTCTCGCCGAGAGCTTCCAGTCGGAAATCGCCATCACCCAGGTCAGCCCACGCACGCACGCACGAGCGCACACCATTTGGCAATCACGTGTGACAGAAGATGGTATGTTCACATGTTTGACCGTACGACACGCAGGCATCGGCGGCTTCGTTCGGCCTCTTCCTGGACTACCTCTACAGCGCGACGCTGCGGGACTGGAGCCTGCTCACGCCCGACGCCGCGGTGGAGCTCGTGCCCGTGTGCCACCAGTACGGCGCGACGTCGCTCGTCAACCCTCTGCAGAGCGCCGGACCCTCGGACCTCCACCTCAAGGCCATCTGCGAGCAGCTGCTCAGCGACGTCCTTGACGGCGACAACGTGTGCCTCATCTACGACATCGCCCTCTTCCACAACGCCACAGGTGCGTCTCTCGCTGTGTGTCGTGTGTGTCGTGTGTGTCGTGTGTGTCGTGTGTGTCGTGTGTGTCGTGTGTGTGTGTGTGTGTGTGTGTGTGGTGCACGCTCAACGCTATGCAACGACGTGACAGGTCTGGCGCAGCGTTGTGGGGAGTACATTCGAAGGAACCTCGAGGAGGTGTCGCACTCGGACAACTTCGTCTACCTGAGCGACGCCGGCGTGGTCGCGGCCGAGAAGGAGGTCCAGCGCATCTGGCAAGCCGCGCAATCGCCCGCGATGGTGGCCCGCGAGGCCGAGCGGCGTCTCGCCATCCTCGCAGCCACGCAAACTCGCCAGCGCCGCATCGCCCACACCAAGACGCACAAGAAGACGAACACGAACACGACTGCCACCACCAATGACGAAGCCGAGGCTGAAGCTGAACAAGAAGACGATGATGGCGAGCACGGCGTTGATGCGCAGATGAGCCTCGACAAGGCCGAGAAGCTGTGGCGGTCGCTGTTCTGGGCCGCGATGGTGGACCTGGTGGCCATGGGCTGCGCCGACCCGTCGACCACGGTCCCGCTGCGGAGCCGGGCGCTGCTCGACTACCTGGCCAAGAAGGGCGAGACCTTCGAGGTGGTCGAGTTCGAGCGAAAGTATCCGCATCATCGCGACGGTACCGCCCGCCCGACCCCTTCCGGTCATTCGCTGAGCCTCACTGATGCTGATGACGATGTCGGTGATGACGGTGGTGGTGGTGGTGACGATGACGTGATGAACTGGATAGCAGGCCTCGCCGATGCGCTGTGGAAGACGAGCTCGGCCGACCTGGCGCAGATTCTGAACGTAGCGCCCCAACAGGTGCTCAAGGAAGTGGTCTTCTTCAAATTCACCGCACCCAAGGGGTACCACCAACACCACCGCACAAATAATAATAATAATGATAATACCAATTAAATAATACTTAATAATAATAATAAATGACCATAAAAATGGCTGCAGGAGACACGCCTACAAGAATGGGGCGTACGAGCTGGTGCTGGTGCTGGTGAATGGAGACCGTCAAGTGGACGAGCACCGCCTGAAGCAGATCCTCTTCGGCGACGAGTACCAGGAGAGCGATGGCTCCAGGAGCCTCGTGGCGCTGGCCTCCCACGAGGCCATCTTCCACCGCACCGGCTTCACGGCCCTCTATTTCCCTTCATTTTACCACAGGTTTGGTCTCACACCACCGCACGCACGCACGCACGCACGCACGACACACACACGCACGCACACACATCACACACACACGCACACACACACATCACATGCACACGCTGCAATTGTTGCTGACGCTGGTGTGCCTGCGACAATGTAGGAAGCCGTTGATGACGATCGTCGACAGCGCGCTGGTCGGTAGCGCGGAGCAGGACCCCGTCTTCTACGCCAACTGTGGCGCCCTGCAGTGTGACAGCATCAAGACCGGCAAGAAGTCCCCCTCGGTCATCAGCCAAGAGTACCCACACGCGCGCCTCGCCTGTCGTATTGTCGTGCTGTCGCTCACCTGCCGCACCCGCGTCGTGTCGTGTCGTGTCGTGTTGCGTGTGTCGCACAGTCGCGCGCTGAAGGTGCACCTGGACACGCTCATGCGCCTCCTGCCGGCCGATCGTGTGACCATCACGCCCGTGAGCCGCGCTTTCCCGAGCCCCACCCCCGACCAACCGAAGGCCCGCGGGGGCGGACGCAAGCAGGGCTAGGCCAGCTGCAGCCAAGGCTGAACCCCCCCCCCAATAAACAGGCGCCACCCTTACACTCAGTCTTTGCAAAAAACAAAAGTACACGAAACAAAGTACACTACAGTAGGTAGTCAGGCGCGCTCATCTGCGCACCTGCCCGCAGCAGCAGCATCGTCGCTGTCTATGGGATGATCGCCTGTGTGCCCCCATAGCCCCATTCCCTCCAGCTCATGAGAGTGGGTAGAGGTCATCGTCGCCTTCAGAGTCAAATCGCAGGCTCGCTCTGTACCACCACAGCACATTCAAGGGGGAGTCAGAAAAATCGTTCCATTTGTGTAGTCGTGTTGTGTGCCCTCTAGAGAAAGGGATGATCGCACCGTTCGAAGGCGAGCAGGAGTAGAAGCTGGTAGAACAGCCACAACACGCACACGCCGATGGCGGAGACTACCAGCAAGAAGTCTCCCGACCTTCAAGGTCAGGGGAAAACAAAACAGGTGAGGCCTCAACTCAGATGTGGCGTAACAGCGGACGCGAAAATTGGCGATGACGTACAGGTACTCAACGCAAAGGGGTTCGTTGGTGGCCTCCACGAAGCGCGTAATGAGCTGGCAGCCGGCGTAGGGCTTGACCCGTGCGATCATGGCGTCCAGTTCCGTCATCTGGTCGGGTACATCCCCAGAAATCAACATCGTGCGTAGCGCAATGCAGCCATCGTGGGGGGAGGTTGAAGCTTGGAGGCATACCAGCTCGGCGTACTGCACGACCTCCGCCGACGTATTGCGGTAGTCGGGGTTCAAGCAGTAGGTGCTGCACTGCTCGAGCGTCTGAGTCCTGGCCAGCAGTTTGTCGTGTTGTGTGCGATGTGAGCCAAAGCTCAACCGAGAGAGAGCTTAAGAGACCAGAGCGAGAGAGGTCCGTGCGTACTGATTGTAGCACACACAAGTGCCAGAGCACGTAGCGCACACGTCGTTGTTCGGGCAGTACTGCTCCAACGATGTGCCGCAGTAGAACACTTCGTCGACTAGCTGCGCATTCGAGAGGCCGATCAGCAAACCATCGCGCCTCACTGGGCGAAGGTTGAGAAGAAAGGGGGAGCGCACGGTGTAAGCGGTGAGGAGGGCCTTGTCGGACGTGGTGTCGCACGCCGTGCAATTGGTGACCCCGGTGGCGGTGTTGTTGCACAGGTTGGCGTAGTACTCACAGCCTTCGATCACGGTTTGATTGTATTCCTGGACGGACGCGCATTATTCAGACTAAGAACGAACGCGAAAAACAAAGAACGAAAGCGAAAAGGGGAGGGAGGGGACGATGTACGTCAAAGAGTGGGTTGATGATTTCCTCGAGGGCCGAGCAGTCGCCCCAGCCCGAGCCGATGAACTCGGTGAAGACGCTCGAGTTCTGAAGGAAGCCGGAAGATAAGAGGAAAAGAGCGTGAGTGTGCGATTAAGGCTCCTCGAGGAGTGGACGAGCGTACGTTGCCGTCCTGTGAGTCGTCGTAGACATCGCACACGTCGCTCACCGCAGTGCCGAGAGCGACGCAGAGCGTGAGGATCAGAAAGATGAAGATGAAGACCAGCCACGAATACCAGAAATTGCTGTGTGTGGTGTGGAACGAATTGAGTCGATGATGATTATGTCGTGGATGACGGTGGCGTTGGATATGAAGGAGCAGTGGACTACGTACATGCAGAAGAGGAAATTGCGGAAGAACCAGACGAACACGAAGGTGCACAGCATCACGAGCAGCAACCCGGCATAGATGACCAGAAAGAAGACGAATCTGTAACGCCACGACTTGTCAGTTCTCACAGCAACAACAATAACAACTTACAGCATAACAGACTGGGCCTTGTTGTTCGCGTACCGTGCGAGCTCGACCTTGTCGAGAATGTCGAGAACCGTGTCGAGGTTGTCCTGCACGTCGTTGGCCATGGCGATCGCGTCATTCGCCTGCTGTGCGTACTCGGGTTCGATCTCCATCAGAAGCGCTGCGGCGTCGGTCGTGACGTTGATCACCGTCGCGCTGAAGTTGGACGCCGAGTCCTGTTGCGGCCACAGTGTGTCAGCAGTCACACCGCACACATCGCACACACCGCCACACACCGCACACACCGCACACAGTGCACCGAATGAGTACCGAGGTGTTGTTGATGCCCTCGTGCGACCAGACATTGCCCAGCACGCCCAGGCCGATCAGGCCGAGGATGCAGATACCGAAGATGACGAGCCCGGCGTTGATGAGGAGCGGCTCGAACGAGTAGCCGCTCCACGGGAGCAGGCAGCAGCGTTTGCCGACGCAACAGCACCGCGCGCAGAAGAGAATGCCCAACACCAGCGTAAAGACCACACCTGCAATTCACTCAACAAAAGTGAGTGCATGTGCGTGTGCGGTGGTGTGTACGTGTGCGATCGAGCTTACCGACGATGAAGGACGGGAAGGCGACCAGGGAGACGGACTGGGCGTAGTCGGTCCAGTTGCAGGAGCGCGAGGGCTCGTCCCAGCTGCAGAACTCGTCGGACACGTCCTGGGCGCCCCACGTCCGCCTAGGCGATAGTAACCAGGTAACGTTAGTTGCATGGATACCTCATCATGAGACTTTCTTTGCAACGGCGGGGGGGGGTGACGGACCTGGGCATGGCTTGAAGGAAGGTGCGACCGTCATCGGCGGCTGACTCCTGGAAGCCCGTCAGCTGTCGCACAGAGCCTGGCCAGGGGTTAGCACGTGCAGAACTGCTTGGTTCTTTTTTCGCTCTTTGTCGCTTTCGTTCTTTTGTTGTCGGAGTTGGACAAGACAAGGGGGCAGGTACCAGTGCTCCGCTGTATGAGGAAGCCCGTGTTTTCATCGCCAGCACGGCGCGACGAGAAGGCCACGACAAAGCAGAGGGTGCTCAGTAGGGCAGTTGCGGCAATCGCCGCCGTGGTCGACCTGCTGTGCTGGCTCTGTCTTTTCACCATGGTGTCGCTTCTCTTGTGTGTGTGTGTACTCGCTGTGAGCGGGGTGTTGCTCGAGCGAGTGTAGGAGTGTTTTGACAAGTTTGCGCTCGTGAAGGCTCCTTTTCTTTTGCCTGCTTAGGAGAATTAGATACGAGGCGATCCTCCTGCCGCCCAACCGGCACACAGTGCGACCTGCGCTGGGCTCCCTGAGCAACAAGCGCCAGCTTGTACCGCGTGCCTTCCCTACCTACTCGCACCCTAAAGTGCTAGTTTGCTTGGAAAACGGCTGCATTGCCGGGCTGCGGCGCTACTCTGGCAACCGACACAAGCCAGCGAACTGGCGCGTAGCAAACAAGCTCCGCTCTGTCGGCTCTCCTGCAGAAGCGAGGGTGGTAGCAGACCAGGACGAGGAAAACTACAACAGAATTGGAAAGAAAAAGAGCAAAATAATTATGCTCCCGTATCGCAGATAAAAGCGAAATAACGAACGAATACGAGACGAGAAGAGAGGGGTGAGGGTGGTGCAAGAGGAGGCGTATTTGTTTATTTGTTTAGGTCCGGTGTACATTTGTATAAATCCTACGTGGTACTTATTTATTTTTTTTTCGATTAATTCATCTTTTGTAGAAATTCCAAAATGCTGGGCCGCCTCGCGGACGACCGGGTGCCCGAAGATGGAGGAGTGGTGATGGAGGAGCAAGATGGAGCGATTGACTACGAGCCACCGGCGTGGGGACTGACGCAGCACAAGAAGAATCCGATTACGCTCAGCCTCGAATCGCCCCTCCGAAATGGGCGTACGATGGAGACCTTCGATTTGAGCCAGGCTCTGGCCGAATCCAGGAAGGGACACTTCACGATTGGCCGCCTGCCCTCGTGCGACATCTACGTCGATCACCTCTCGATCTCCAGAACCCATGCGATTCTTCAATTCGCACGAGATGGCCAGCAGAAGGATGGAGAGAAGGGGCAGCCAACCGTGACGAAGGAGCGATCGAGACCGAATCTCTCGAAAGGAACGATGGAGAGCGAGAATGGTGGAGAAACCGATCATGCCGAGGAACCCTCCATCTTTGTCTACGATCTGAGCAGCAAGCATGGCACCTACGTCAACGATCGTCGCATCTCAGCGCGCGAGTACACCCCCGTGCGACCAGGCGACGTCCTCCGCTTCGGCGACTGCCCGCGCTCCTTCACGCTCATCCAACGCCACTACGTGCAGATGAACAGCAAGAAGATGAAACAGCCCGAGAAAGAGGAGGAGAAAGAAGAAGTAGATAAAACGGAGGAGGTCGATGAAGAGACCAACAGCGCGTGCGATCACCTCAACCAAGACGAGGACGTGGACGGCGAGACACCGCACCTGCTGTGCGTGGATGTGGGCACGAGCGGGCTGCGGGCCTACGCCTACGACGTGGGCAGCAGCGGCAGCGGCAGCAGCAGCGGCAGCAGCAGCGGCGCCAAGGGCAAGAGCAAACACGACAAGCCCGCGGCGTCATGCCGCAATCGTGGTGGCTTCTACCAGTCGCTGCCCACGCTCTACCCGCAGCCGGGCTGGGTGGAACAGGACCCATACGTACGTACATACACACGCTGCCCAAGCCCTTTGTTGACAGCTCATCATCATCATCATCTTCTTCTTCTTCTTGTAAGGTGCGTCCTCATCTCATCTTCATCGCGCGCGCGTGCAGGTGCTGTTGGACACGTTCAGGGATGTGGTCAACAAGGTGTTGAAGAAGACGCGAATAACGGCGGCGCAGGTGAAGGCCATCGGCATCACGACGCAGCGCGCATCGTTCCTCCTCTGGAACAAGTACGTTCCTCCCCCTTCTCCTCCAACGTTGATGGATGATGCGAGCCGCGCGTGAGCTGACGCGAGATCCCATCATTGCGCTGTGCACAGGGAGACGGGAAGGCCGCTCTGTAATTTTATCACTTGGCAAGACGTGCGGACAGTCGGTATCTGTGAGGAGTGGAACGACTCCTACGCCTTCCGAGGTGCGATGCCCTTTCTGCGTCGTGTGTGTGTGTGTGTGTGGTGTGTGGTGTTTAGTGTGTGTTGTGTGTGTGTGTGTGTGTGTGGTGTTGCTGATGCATGTTCTGCTGCAGGCATTCATGCGTTCTCCAAGTTTGCACATATCGTGACGAGAAGAACAAGGTGCGGCATTTCGGCGGAAGTCTTCAAGTTTTAGTTCAGTTGCAGTTTGCTCACTGGCGTGGTGTGTTGACTGGTTGACAGGCATCTGATGGGCAGCATCTTCAAGTTCTCGCCAATCCACTGCACGCCCCGATTAATGTGGGCCATGAAGAACGTCGAAGGCGCGCAAGAGCTGGCCGCACAGGGCAAGCTCCTCTTCGGCACCACCGACACCTGGATATTGTGGAACCTGACCGGTGCGTTCGAGATGGCCTTGTCTTTCTTCTTCTTCATCATCATCATCATCATCACCTGCGAGTGTCGATGAGGCCTCACATCAGAACACATGGCAACGCGCGCAGGCGGTAAGGTCCACGCCACGGATTATTCGAACGCGAGTGCGACGGGGCTGTACGACACGTTCGAGCTCGGGTGGAATCAGCAACTGTTTTCCGTCGTCGGCCTTCCGGCGAGCATTTTTCCAGAGGTACGACGCCCGTGGGGAATGAAGAGCAACGATTGCTCGCGCTGCGTGTGAACCTGCGGACCTAAAGCGACTGTGACGGGTTAACTCGGCTGTAGGTGAGGCCCACGAGCGGCGATTTTGGGAGCACGTTGCCTCGGTTCTTCGGCGCGGCCATACCGATTCGGGCCATCGTCGCAGACCAGCAGGCGGCGCTGTTTGGCGAGTGCTGCTTCGACGTGGGCGACTGTAAGGTGACGATCGGCACGGGCTGCTTCATCGACATCAACACCGGCTCGCAGCCTCTCGTCTCCACGCACGGGTAACCAACCACTCCCTCCTGTCAATTACCGTTCATTGCTTGTCGGCCGTTTCTGCACCGTAACGCTCACCGACGAGTTGCGCTTGATCTCTCAGTTTGTTGCCGCTGATCGCGTGGGCGATAGGCAAGGAGATCACCTACATGATCGAGGGTCCCATGCCCAGCGTTGGTTCCGTGATCGACTGGGGCTCTCGGGTACTGCCCCCCTTTCACCTCTCGCCTTTCCTTGTCTCGTTGTTGGGTTGGTGGGCGATTGAAGTTTAAACTTTTTTTGTCGATTGGCTGCGTTCACGCACAGGAAATGGGCTGGTACGATCACGCAAAGGAAACGGAGGGCATGGCCACCTCCGTCGACGACACCCACGGCGTATATTTTGTTCCCGCCTTCTCCGGCCTTGCGGCTCCTCATCAGGGTATGTTATTTACAACCCACCCGCGCTCGGCTCTCATTATGATTGAGTCGAAGGCTCTGCTCACCCTCTTCGCGTGTGGTGGCGTGATTTTGTTTGCAGATCCGACGGCGAGAGGCACAATTTTGGGCATGACCACCTCTACCAAGAAGCAACACTTGGTGCGCGCGATGCTGGAGAGTATTGTACGTTAACACGGCACACACGGCACACACGGCACACACGGCACACACGGCACACACGGCACACACGGCACACACGGCACACACGGCACACCAGCGACACGGCCAACGACACGCAACACGCGACACCGGTGCTGACAGACACCTCTGTCGCGTGGATGGTAGGGCTACACATGCAATGATCTGCTGGAGACGATGAAGGCCGACTTGCCGAACCTGCGAGTGTCGCCGCTGATGAAGATCGACGGCGGGGTCAGCCAGAACGATTTTGTGAACCAGTTCATCGCCAACATGACCGGCCGGGAGATCATACGGCATCCGCACCCCGACCAGATGACCGCCCTTGGCGCCGCCTTCCTGGCCGGGCTTGGCGCGGGTGCGAACCACCTCCACGTGCGACCTCTTCACATCATGGTCGACTCAACTCTCTCTCTCTCTCTGGCAGGCATTTGGAAGTCGAAGGAGGAGCTGAAGGGCCTGCGGGCGTCGATGCACCGGTTCACGCCCGAGTTTGACGAGGAGACACGGCGGACCAAGTACGCCGCGTGGAAGCGGGCCGTGGAGCGGGCCATGCATTGGGCGCAGGACGACGGCCACAGCCCCTCGCTACCGCCGCCACATTCGCCCGCGCTGAACCGCAGCAGCAGCAGAAGCAACTGACCACCTTATTTCCAATAAAATCAAAGTGTGTGATAGGACATGCTGGCGGACATGCTGGCGACTCTGCGCCAGAGTCGGCGAGGCGAGGGCCAGGCACGGCGGGTGAGCTCAAGCGCCAGCAGGCAGACCAGACGGCATCCGGCGCCCATGGCCACCAGCACGCCCACGTGCACGCCCACCCATCGTGCCGCGTCAAAGTCGAACATGGCCGCAATGTCGCTCTTGGTCGGGGCGTAGATGTCCGGGTAGTGCTGGGCCTCGATCAGGAACAGGGCCTCGGTGAGCCAGAAGCCGTACGACGCGTAGCAGACGGCCCCGAACCGGCCCAGCTCGCTCTTGTGCGGCGAGAAGCCGCTGATGCCGTTGAGCACCAGCGTGACGACGACGGCGGCGAGCTGGGCCTTGGCCGGGTCGAGCACCACCGAGATGACGTGGCCCACGCCGCTCAGCGCCCACTGGGCGGCGAGCAGGAGCACGAGGTAGTCGACGAAGCCGCCGCGCGGGCTGGAGAAGGAGTAGAACATGGAGAGGAAGATGAAGGGGAGGATGAAGAGGTCGGGCAGCGCGGCCAGGTTCTTGCCGAGAAAGTAGGCCAGGCGGCTGATGCCGGTGTCGGCCTCCCGGGCGAACACTGCGCGCTCGGCGCCAAACAGCCGGAGAGCCTGTTGCGTGGCCGCGAAGCCGAGCGCCATGCTGATGAACAAGTTGACGCTGGGCACCTGTTTACACTCGTGTCATGAGACACACGACTCACACAGCGTGTCTCATGCGTGTGCGTGCGCGGTGTGTGTGTTGCGTGCGTGCGTGCGTGCGTGCGTGTGTTGATGCGAATGTGTATACCTTTTGGAGTTGCACGGCGTGAAAGAGAAGGCCGAGCACGAGGCCGGCGGTGGCTACGAGGCAGTAGTCAGTGAGGGCCGTGTTGAGTTCCCGCGTGCGCTGGATGACTGCGCGCTTGGTGCACAGCCAGGTCTGGGCAAGCACGCCCGCCGTCTTCCGATCGAGGCACTGCAGATCGACCAAGCTGCAGGACCCGTGACGACGAAGCCGATCGTCCTTGTACGCTCCCGCGACGGCTCGCTGCGCTTCCCACTGCTCCACCAGGTGCGTCGCATGGTCCGTCTTGCTGCCTGCCGCCGCAGCCAACGACCCGTCGCCGTTGTTGCGCGGCAACAACCCAGAGATGGCGTCGAGGAAGAAGTCCGCTGCAAAGTTGATGGTTAGCAACTACACAGTTCTTAATGGATCCATATATATATATATATATTAGAAATAGATATTATATAGAAATCAATGAAGTGGCGGTACCAGGGTTGCATTGGTCGGGCAGTGCGTAGCCCAGGCCGGTAAAGTACGCGACGGCGTTTTGGGTCGGCCCGGCGTAGACGGTGCGGCCGCCGGGCGCGAGGAGCAGTAGGTCATCGAACAGGCGCAGGGTCTCGACCCGGGGCTGGTGCAGCGCCACCACCACGTTGACGCCCGATTGCGCGACGGACTTGAGCCCGCGCACCACGTCGATGCTGGTCGAGGCGTCGAGGCCCGACGTGGGCTCGTCGAGCAGCAGCAGGCTGGGCTGGGCCACCAGCTCCATCCCAATGTTCACGCGCTTGCGCTCGCCGCCCGACACCCCGCGCTCGGCGTCGTCTCCGATGCGGGTTCGCATGACGCGTGGGTTGTCCAGGCCCAGCACGTCCAGCGCGGCGAACACGACGTCGGTCTTCTGCCGCCTGGTCATGATGCGGGGCAGGCGCCACTGCGCGTTGAAGTCGACGTTCTCGAACACGGTAAGCGAGCGGTGCATGACGTCCTCCTGCGGCACGAAGCCCACCACGCTCCGGCAGTCGGCCAGCGACACGCAGTCGCTGCCGTTGAGGCGGATGGTACCGCTAAGCTTGGCCCTGCCGCCGACCTGCCGGCCGGCCAGGGTGTGGAGCAGCACCGACTTGCCGGCGCCTGACGGACCCATGATGGCGGTGACCCGCCCGGCCGACAGCCTGCCGGTGACGCCGGTGAGCGCCCACCTGCCGGCGAGCCGCACGCCAATGTTGTCCAGCTCTACATCGATCCGGTGCAGCACGTCGCGGCTGGGCAGCAGCAGGCTCTGCTCCTCGGCCTCCTGGAGCGTGTCGGTATCGGCTTCTCGTTCATCGTCTGGTTCGGCGGCCTTGACCTGCGACCGCCAGGCGGTGATGTCGCGTTCCCAGCTGCGGTTGTATCGGCGGCGGCCGAGCAGCACGAAGAGGAACAGGGCGCCCAGCACGCCCAGCACCTTGGCCAGGCCTCCCAGGTCCAGCTTAGGCGCTGACGCCCCGGACGGACACTCCGCCAGCAACGGGCAGAGCTGCGGATTCCTGCCACGCACACGCACAAGCACACAATCACCATCCGCCACAGTATCATGACCAGACCTGCCAGGAATGCCATGCACGCACTGTGAACCAGAGGGACAGTAGTGGTTTGCAGGGCAGAGGAGGACGGTCGTGGTGTTGGGGCAGTAGTAGCCGGCCGGACAGGGGTGGTTGTCGACGGCGCCGCCGCAGCCGAGGTAGGGGGTGGCCACGGTGCCGTACGGGTTGCAGAAGGTGTCGTTGTAGGCTGCGCGCACCGGAGGGCAGTAGGCTCCGGCCGAGCAGGGGATCATGCACACGACGCCCATCGGGCAGTAGTGGCCCGGGCAGCACTGGACGGTTGGGTAGAAGGCGTTGAGGAACAGGCGGCGCTGGCTGGCCTCGACAGGGTCGAGCGAGAAGAAGCCGGCCAGGCACCCGAGGTCGTAGTCGGACGGCGAGCAGCGGGAGAGGTCGTAGTAGCTGGCGCTTCTGCCCTTGGCCAGGGCCTGAACCACGTCGTCCGAGCACAGCAGGTGCTGGTAGAGATTGTCCCCCGAACTGTTGTTGTTGTTGTTGTTGTTTAGCAGCGCAGAGCAGACGCGGATGGCCATGGTGTTGTTGGTGCTGGCGTTGAGGGCTGCGGCGAGGTCGTCCGTCATGCCGCCCAGCTGGTCGGCGGCCTCGAGGAGCTGTGGAGGAGGTTGGGCGTAGGCCGAGGGAGGGGGCAATCGGGGCAACTCCGGGCTCGAGCCGTTGAGCCACCAGGCCGGTACAGGGGGCAGGCGACGCATCAACAGTTCCATCTGCGCCGGACTAAGCTGTGGGGTTCCTGGGGGTGTCGGAGCTTGCCTGCTCGCGGCACACAAAACCAGCAGAAACAGCGCAAGGCGGAGGCATCGCATCGCTGTGTGCCTGTGTGGTCGTAGTCTCCGTCACTGCACCTGCGCCACGGCTGGAACTTTGTGGCTCTCGTAGAAGCTGGTTGTTGTTGTTGGGAAGAGAAGCTCTCACCCACCGCTCTCGGTGCCACAATTTCATTGGGTCATCAGAAAAACTGAGAGAGAAATACGAATACTATTCGGTACTGAAGGGTGCGAGCTGGAGGAGGAGAGTGACAAGGAACGCTACTCGAGGGACTGCAGCACGTTGGCCACAGCCCGAACCCCTCCGGTTCTGCGTCGCTTCAGGAATCTCTCCAGGGACGCCTCCAGAATGACCAGCAAGCACCGTGTGCGGTGTGCGTTGTGTCGTACGTGTCGTGTGCATCGTGTGCGTGCCTTGGATTACTTGATGTTGTGGGATAAATCCCAGTTTTGTGGCTCGAAATCTCCAGGACGAACACCATCAAAACTTGTAATTATTTCAGCTGTGGTTTTGTTCAAATTCCTGAGCTCTGTCGGTTGAACGCCACTGAAACATTGAGGTATTCGAAACATGTGAAAAACCTATTTCGGGACCGAACCGCACAAAATCATATCGTCATCTCTGGCGGGAAGGAATGGATGGCTCCCCTACGAAGGAGCGGATGAGCCGGTCGGCAGGCGACACGACCCAAGCGCACAGCGATAAGAAGCAACGCTCCTCGTCATCCTTCGCCAATCTGCCAAGGCCAGAGGTAATTTATTACCTAATTTCTCCCCCTTTAATCGCCTCGTAGCGCATTTATGTTCCATCTTCATTCGCACCATTCCCCTCGCATGTTCATATTAAACGTGACAATTTAGATATTAATATTAATAATACTATCAATCCTCGTCGGGGCAGGGTTTGTCGTTGGCGGCAAGCAAGAAGTGGGAGAAGGAACGCGAGAAAGAGGCCAAAAAGATCAAGAAGAAAGAGGAGAAGGACAGGAGAAGGAGGTCAAAGAGCGAAAAGAAGAAAAAGAAGAAGGACAAGGCAACCGCCACCAATGCCACCACCAGCGACCAGCCGCCCTTTGCGCTGCAGCCTCCCGCCAGCTTCCAGGGCGATGGTACAGCCCTACCACCACCATCTGCGATGTCGCGACCTGTCGTGGCATATCCCCCTGTGTTGCTCCTGTGCTCACCCATCGCACGTTTTTCATGCCGCCCCCCACAGGGTGGAGCTGTTCGGCCTGCACGTACTGGAACGCCTCGAACGCTGTGATCTGTGAGATCTGCACCTCGGTCCGCATCCGGGCCATCAACATCTCCGGCCCCTTGCCGACTCCTTCAGGTAAGTCATCTGCAAAGAAGAAGAAAAGCTTGCTGGTGTGTGTGTGTGTGTGTGTTGTGTGTGTGTGTGTGTGTGTGAGAGAGAGAGAGAGTGTGTGTGCCTTCAGTGGCTGATCAGCTTGAAGCAGAGTCGACTCAGAAGGTAGCGTGGTGGTTTTGCTCGGCATGCACATTCCGTAACTTGCCCGCTGCCATGTCATGTGACGCATGGTACACAAACCTCACACTTTGCGCGTGAGATGTCTCTAACTCCCTTGGTGTGTGTGTGTGTGTGTGTGTGTGTGTGATCAGCGGCACACACAGATCGCCAACAGCCCTGCTCGATGTGGAAGGCCTGCCGAGTGCTTTTCTTGAGTCCGGCGCCCCACAGGTGTTCGGTCCCGCCAGCTTGGCGGGCACTCCTGATCGGGGCAGCGCGGTGTCGTCGAGGACTCGGCGACGAAGCAAGGAGGACAAGAAGGGCGCGAAGGGCCACCGGCGGATGCCGACGGTCGACCGGCAGGAGAACGACGACTTCTGGGTGCCCGAGGCCGAAGAGGAGAGCGACGCCGATGACGCCGACGACGATCGGACGATCGTTGTCGACCGGGAGCAGTTCAAGAAGCTGAGCCGCAGCGACAACTCGCTGGCGGTCGGCCACGACGACGACGACGAGGTGCTGCGCCCCGACATCAGGGAGGAGATCGACCGGCGCGAGAAGGAGCTCGAGGCCAAGCGCTGCGCCGAGGAGGCGCGGCGCAAGAAGGAGGAGGAGGACAGCATTCCGCTCGAGCTCGAGCTGATCGAGACGACCGAGTTCTACTGCACGCACGACCACTGGGAGGACGAGCTCTACAGCGACGAGGAGGACTCGTCCGACCCCGTCGACGATCTGCTCGAGGCCGCCTTCGATGATCGCGGGAGCAAGCAGTATGAGTATTATTCGGAAGACGGCGCGACGACGTCGACCACCACCACCTCCTCCTCCCTGCGGTCGTCGGCCAACACCAGCTCGCAGCAGAGGCGGGGCCGGAGCAGCAGTTCGGGCAGGGACGAGGAGGCAGAGCCGCTGGTGCAGGCGGCAGCTGTTGACAACTACGAGGAGGTGGCGTCGACGCAAGTGCTGATAGAGACGCCAAGTACGCCTCAGCGCTACAGTGACAGCCGGCTGCGCACCGACTCGGCGGGGATCGTGGACGTGTACGAGCTGGTCGCGGAGACCACCGCGAAGCCGCCGGCCGCCCGCGACAAGGTCGCGTCGTCCGGGTACCTCGATGACGAGAATGAGGGCGAAGACGAAGGCGAAGCGGAGAGGAGGGACCGGCAGCAGGGCTACACCGTCGTGAACGGGCGCCAGCACCTCATGGAAAGCAGGGGCGGCAAGAGCGACCACTATTGCTACGACGGTGACGGCAACGATTCGAGCAGCAGCAGAAGCAGCAGCAGCGCCGCCGCAGCAAATCGCAAGGGCAAGCAGAGGGAGGCCGAACTCGTTCGCGAGCAGTACAAGGCCGCCATTCCTAGGGAAGAGCCGGCGGCGGCGGCAGGCGGGTGCCTCGACGAGGAGGAGCTGATGGCGCAACTTCTCGCCGCCGACGACAATCCGATTCCCGCCGTTGGGAGCGGGAAGCGCCCAGAGGTAACGACACCGCCCAAGCGAAGCCAAAAGATGAAGACGAAGAAGAAAGAAAAGGGGGAGAAGCACAACAGCAAGAGCAAGCAGCAGGTCAAGCAGCATTACAAGCCTACGCAGGAGGACAACTACCTCGAGGACGTGGTGGAGGCGGTCGACTGCCTGCGCGCCGAGAAGAAGAGCAAGAAGGCGCAGCTCAGAGACAGCCTCTACTACACGGACGATGACGGTGGCAACGGCGGCGACAGCAGCGAAAGCGAGACGGAGAGCGAGACGGAAAGCGAAAGCGAAAGCGACGACGACAGCGACTCAGTAGACACCTACGCTGCGGAGGATGATGACGACAGGGCCGTCGCTACCGGTGGCGGCGTGCAGGACTCGGGGGACCGACGAGCGCGCGAGGTCGCCGATGAAGAGGAGGAGCTCTTTCGTCTCGCCCTGCTGCGAACGAGCGGAGAAGACGGGAAGGAGCTGAGCGCCAACAAGGATAGCTCTGGCACTGCAGCTGCGACCCGTCGGGTCTCGTCGCCGCCGGCGGTGGTGGTCTCGACGCATCACACGCAGCTCGATGCTACTACCGCGCCTGCCAATCCGCCCCTGTCGCCGATCAACCCCGCCAAGCTGGCCTACGCCGCGCTAGCCTCCATGTCGCCCACCACGTCGAGCAGGCTGCGCGCGACCGACTCGGAGGACGAGACCGCGCGGTCGACCAGGTCTCTATCCGCCCCGGCCGCACGTCGCGGCGGGGACCATTCGGTCGGCGGCAGCGGCAGCACCAGCACCAGCATCAGCAGCAGCACCAGCGTTATCCCGTCTCGCATGCGGAGCACCACACAGTCGCTCATGTTGTTCGCCGACATGCGTTTCCCCGAGCACTCGCGGAAGATGGCCGTCATGTCCAAGAAGAGCGACCAGTATCTTCACGTACGTGTGTGCCCGCACGTTGCCCGTGGCCCAACAAAAGAGAGGACGAGGTGGTCATCAACTTCTCACGCCCTCAGTCGCTTGCTGCAGGATATGGTCACCAGGTGCCAGGCCCTGTTCCCCATCGTCGCAACGCATCTGGTGCGGATCCAGTCCGTGTACGAACACAGGCAGAAACTGCAGGTGCGCCACACACGCGCTTTACAATTCATTGTTTCGTTTTTTCCAATTGAATTGAATATTTATTCACATATCATTCTTTTTTCTCGCGCGTGCCACCAGCGGTTTGTGGGGATGCTGCTCGAGAGCCAGGAGAGCAGAAAGGACTCCAGCGAAAGCGTTCGCATAGGCCAGAAGTATGTCCGACACATTCACATTGGCCTTCTACTTCTAACCAATGGCCGCACATACAGGAACCTGATTCCTCGCCTTCAGCGAGCCATCCGCCTCGCCCGACGGGCCAATTTCCTCCTCTACGGCGACGTCGGGTACGCACACTTCGCTTCCACCACTACCACCACCACCACTCGTTTGAGCTTAATCATCAACGTGCACCACTCGGCAGGAGCACCATGCGATTCATTGGCACAGTCTACACGTCGGCCGAGCTCGCCGTCCGCGCCAACGATTCGCTCTTTCAGGTACGGCGACCAGTCTCGATCACCCAAACCATTGGTTTTTGTATCGTTTCCCGTTCGCTCACCGGCTCTGGGCCAGATGACCTGCGACTACCTGTACACGCTGATCTCGACGGAGGAGTTGGCCGCGATCTATCGCGGGGCGATGCTGCGCTCCTCCTCGACGAGCAAGTCGTCGTGCCACGTCGCCATTTGTTCGTTTGCCAGAGCGCGGCATCAGCTCCGGCTTTCCACCATCGAACTGAAGCGGGCCAACGACTTCCTCAAGCGCACCATTACTCAGCGATCCGTATTGGATGTGCTCCAATCGAGGTAACCTTGCTGTGTGTCGTGTGTCGTGTGCGTCGTGTGCGTCGTGTGTGTGTGTGTGTGTGTGTCGTGTGGAACCTCACGCGGGGCTGCTGCAGAGTAAACGACCACTCACGTCTTCTATCATCGTACGCAGCGCTCTATCGCTCGTGCAGGCGACGAGGCAGATGTTGGTGCAATTCAAGCAGGAGCAACAAGAAGAAGACGGCGTTGGCGGGCTGCCGCGCAGCAACGGCCCTCACACTCCGCGAACCGCCGCGACCGTGAAGGACGAGCGACGCCACCAGGTCGAGCGGCTCGAGAACGCCGTCCGCAGCGTCGAGTCCCGGCTGTGCGTAGAAGAGGACAGAGGCGCCGAGCGCAACTGGAACAAGGAATTCCAAGACATTCTAGGCACGTATCATTTTCTTGATGAGGAAATCATCATCTTGATCGACATCTGCAATGCTGACTTTTTGATTATGTAGATTCCTTTTCCATCTCGAAGACGGAAAAAGAGCTAGAGGCTGGCCAAGCAGCGCTTGTCAACAGGTACGCTCGATCGCGCACGCACACACACGCGCGCACGCGCACGCATTCTCATATTTTTGTCGATCAATGGACAGAGGTCAGCAAGCGGACAAGTTGTGCACGCTGGCGAAGGACTTTGTGGCGGCGGCCAAGATGTACGGCAAGATCATCATTTCGGAGGTGTTCCTGCCCTACAAGCAGAAGACCATCAAGCCCATCAGTATTGGTGGCGTGGCGGGCGGCGAGAAGTACATCCACCGCGGCATCCTCTTCAAGTTCGCCATGGACTGGGAGGGGCTCTACGGCGGCGATGAGTACAGCGCCAAGGTGGCCTCGCACGAGCTTAAGGGTCTCGCTCGCTACTTCTCGTGTGCCGTGCGCGGACTTCACTTTCCCTTGATGGCCCTTATCGACTATCGGTACGTGTTAACCACGAATCACACACAGCACGACCGCACACGCACGACCGCACACGCACGATTGCATGCGTACACGCACACGACGGCGACATGGGTGAGTGCTGAGGCGAAAGTGATGTGGTGCGTGCAGTGGTTTCCGCCTTACGGCTTCGTCCATTCTACCGATCTCGCACGCCGACACGCTCGTTTACGGAAGCTGCGATATGGGCGCCACGGTCAAAGACGACAACAAGGTCCTGAGCAAGCTCATGGAGAAGGCCGGTCGCCAGATGAACATCAAAGGTTGTTGAAAAAGCTCCGCCCCAAGCCATGCTATGCTCTCATGATGACCATCAGCATCAACGCCTTGCCATTGCGATCTTTCTCACTCATATCACGCTCTACATCAGGCCATCTCGCGGGAAAGAATGGCGACGCATTCCTCTACGCGCCCACCGACATTGAGGGCCACCTGGGCCGCGATCGCCGCTTCTATGTGCTTGGTGCGTGACTAGCTTCGTCGGTGTACAACGACGAGCCGCCGCCGCCGCCGCCGCCGCCGCCGCCGACTCACTCACTCACTCACTCACTCTGTGCTGCGTGTAAACGTATCAACACACAGACTTTGCTCGCACGTTTCCCCCGGCCACGCCCAACATCCAAACCCACCCTCGGGGCTTCCTGTACCAGCTCCTCCGCCCCGAGTTCGTCTTCGCCTATCATAAGCCCCTGTCCAGGTACGCATACGCTCAATGGCCAGCGCGCAGACTCTGAACGGTTGAGCTGAATATTATGGTCGCTCGCGCGGCGTTGTGCAGTGATGCGTTCATGGTGTTCGGCAAGAAGAGCAACGCTACGGACAACCCCGAAATCCGCGAGGCCACCAATCACCTCCTCAACACGGTCATCCCGGGGTACGCGTTAACAGAATGCCCAACACGGGGGACCGTGTCTCATTGGGACTGAGTGGCGTGCGCTTTTGTAACATGGACAGGTTTGCCAACTGGCTGGAGCGCCATTTTGAGGAGGACGACGAGCGGGTACTGACGTCGACGCTGAGCGTGCTCCTGCACAGAGAGGGCATCAACAACCGATATCTGGGCGTTGTCCGCATCCACTGCCGCAACCCGCGCCTTCGCCACTTCTTGCTTCGGTATATATCCTCCTTTCCTTCTTTTTTTCCTTTCTTTGTCTCACACGCGCGTTGCTGTGTGGAATGTGAATGGAATGCAGGGAGATGATCGCGCGAGTGGTCAAGAACATCATGCGCGCAGAGATGCGCGACAAGACCAAGAACGTGCACTGGCAGCGGATGGCCCAGGCGCCCTCCTCATCGCAGCCTCGCATCGAACTCGGACCTGCGGAAGAGGATCACAATCAGGAGACCAGCTTCGCCATGGTGGTCGCACGATTCTTCAACGTCGTCATCGGACTCGAAGGCGAGCGATCAAAGGAGTTCTGGGACGTCCAGATGAGGTACACACCCGACACACACACACGACACACGTACGACAGACAAACTCACATTCACGGCCATGAAGGGAAAAGCTGGAGCACTCGTTTCCAGAGGCCGAGCTGTCGCAAGTGCCGATCAGGCTCTCGTCAGCCGACTTCCTGCCGCTCTTTGAACGGATCCAGCAGCTGGGCGGCATCCGCCTCTCCAAGCAGGTCCTCAAGGAGCTCGAGGAGACCCCCGAGAAGGTCATCTTTGCCTATCCCGACATCACCAAGCTCCGGGTACGCGCCAGCGGTCGCACTCGTCCCTCTCTATGTTCACCATTAACCTGTGTGTGTTGTGTGTGTGTGTTGTGTGTGTGTGTTGTGTGTGTGTGTGTGTGTGTGTGTTGACCAGTCGCGCGTAACGCACATGAACATCGTCGAAGAGTCGGAAGCGCTGTCGATGAAGCTCACAGCGCTGAAGACGGACAACACGCACCTCGCTCTCCGCATGCTGCGGTACTCACGGGACCACTACGAGGCCGCCGTGCGCGCCTCAACCGACAATCCCAAGACACTCTACCGCTTGGCCGACGTGCTCAAGGTACTCATGGAAGTCCATCTTGGGCCACACACGCACACACACGACGCACGCGCGCACAGCACACTCACTGGCGAGCAACAGGAGTTGGCCAAGAGAGAGCCGGGTCCGCCACAGCTCAAGATCGAACTGGGAGATTCGAGCATCGAAAGATTCCAGGCTGCCTACTCGCTCAACCGGTCCGACGAGAAGGTAAACGGACTGGACTGTGACGTGATGCCAGAGGTGTGCACACTACGCTCACATTCGCATGTATACCAGGTGATCTATCAAACGGGCAACGTCGCATGCGAGCTGGGCGAGACCATCCGGAGCGCTCACTTTTATGTCAAGGTACTCCCCCTTTTCCTATTCTGGTTTGCTCTTCTTCTTCTTCCGTCATCATCAATTTGTTGGGCGCTCAACTGCGGAGAATGCACTGATCTGTTCTGTTCTGTCACTTGTAGGCGAGGGAGTGCTTCGTTACCGCGCTCAAGCTCGGTTCACAACCCCACTACGAAAAGGAGGTGACCGAAAAGGCGCTGGCCCTCATGGAAAAGGCCGAAACGGTTCGTTACTGCCGGTCCCTCGTTCGGCGAGTCCAGAGTGGTCGCAGTAGGTGTTGACCCGTTTCTGCCGTATGATGTCGTGTGTCGTGCGTGTCATGTGTGTCGTGCGTGGTCACGGCAGAACTTGAGTGTGGTGGACTTTGAAGGCGCGTTCCAGCTGTTCCGAGCCGTGCTGACTGTGCGACCCGACGACGTGCTCATTCTCTTCCTCTGCGCCGAGATCTGCTTCTCGTGGGCTCGCACGCTCGGGGTACGCTCAGCAAAGACACCGCATAACGCCGCGCTGACTCAACAACTAATCCACGCGTCTTTTGTGTGTGTGTGTGTGTGTGTCGTGTGTATCGTGTGTCATGTGGTGTGGTGGCTCGCTCCAAGGATTCCAAAGACGGCACCAGCCCGCCCTACAAGAAAGCAATCAAGTATTACCAAAAGGTGGTGGACATTGCGCGCAAGACAAACAAGACCGCCTCCCCGAGCACTGAGGAGCGCAGACAGCCTCACACACAATCTGACGTTTCGGTGCGCAGTCGTGTGGTGTGTGTGTGTGTGTGTGTGTGTGTGTGCGTGTGTGTGTGTGTCGGGTGTGTGTGTCGTGTGGAACCTCACGCGGGGCTGCTGCAGAGTAAGCGACCACGACTGCCGTTCCTGAACGAATTGGAGGGCATGAGCCATGTGCTCACGTCGACCTCGGAGAGCTACGAGAAGTTCCTCAACAACATAATCGGCAAGGAAAACAGCAACAACTTCTACCCGAAGAAGAGCTCCAGCGAGAAGTTCCGGTCCAGCCTCGCCGCCCGCGGCATCGGTGGCGGCATGCACATGATGCTCTCGAGCCTCAGCGACCACCACCATCACCGCCACCACTCGAGCGGCAGCAGCGAGGACTCGCCGGCGTCGTCGCCCTCACCACGGGGCTGGAGCAGTGGTCGCCGCACCTGGCACCGCAAAGAGAAGAAGGACAAGGAAAGGGAAAAGGAAAAGGACCTGAAGAAGACCCGCAAGCACAGCAAGAAGGAGGGCCACCACGTCGAGGAGCTGACGACTACGGCTGCCGCAGCTGAATCGCCGCCGTCGTTCGGCCGCCGGCTCTCGCTCAAGCTGCCACGGTCGCCGCGCGGCAGCGCCACCACCGAACACGCGGAGGGTACCGGCGGCGAGAGCCCAGAGATGAAGCACGCCAACTCGGCGCCGCAGTTGCTCCCGATACCGACGCCGACGTCGACGCCCGGGCACGGGCCGCCGACGACCGCATCGTCGCCCACGCCGGGGCACCACTCGCACCACCTGGTGAGCAAGCTGTTCTCGAGCACACGACGGTTCTCGTCGGCGGGCAAGAAGGAGGCGATGGCCGCCAAGGCCGATAAGTGGGGCACGGGCGACTACACCACGGCCCTGCACCCGGGCGGCCTGGCCGATGCGGCCGAGGCCGAGCGCAAGAAAAAGGAGGCCGAGGACCTCCGCAAGAAGGAGGAAAAGGACCGAGAGGACAAGCGACAACAAGAGCGGGAGAGAGAACGGTACGCGAATGCGTGTCGTGTCGTGTGTGTCGTGCGTGCCGTGCTTGTCGTGCGTGCCGTGCGTGTCGTGCGTAGTGTCTAAGTTGAAGGGGGGGGGGAACGCGATGCAGGCGAGTACGAGATCCGTGGCGATGCATTTACGTACTCTTCAGACTCCGCCTGGCGCTCTACAACGATCTCACCCGCAGCTTCCCCGGACTGGGCATGTTCTGGCTACGCGTACATACTATTCTCCTTTAGCGTCACACCAGGGCTGTTGTTGTTGTTCTGATCTATCATGATTTGATGCGTCAGATGGGGCACATGCTCGTGGAGCACGTGCACGAGGCCATGCTGACGCACGACCTGCAGCCCAGCCAGGAGAAGGAGTTCCTGGACCAGGCCGGTACTGCTAGAGCCCTTTGCCCCGCAGGGTGTCAACTGAGTTCTAGGCCTTGCCTCACCACTTTTTTTTCCTGTCTGCGCGACCACCCACGCGCTACAGCGGGACACTACGCCAAGGCCCTTACGCTGAACCCCAACTACGTGGGCATCCTCCAGCAGGACTACGACTCCTTGTACATCACCGACGACGGCGATCCCAGGTACCCTAACTGCGCTTCAACAACCCCCAACCCAACCCACCCACCCAATCCAATCCAACCCAACCCAACCACTCAACCAACCACAGGACGGAAGCGCCGCCGGGCGCGATCGAGGCTCTGTACCGGCCGATGCGCGACATCCTGCAGGTGGCGCAGACCTCGTCCATCCTGCAGGTTGAGCTCGGCAACGCGTGCTCCAAGCTTCAGATGCGCAAGCTCTTCCTGGCGCCCGTCGCCCCACAGATATCGGACCCCACCCTCACCGCCATCATCAAGGGTACCACTCCTTTCACAGGGCGCAAGGCCCACAGTGCTAAGTCCACTGACACGACGCCTGGCGCTGTCGATCGACCGATCGATCGAGCAGGCGGCAGTGGCGGCGCTCCGCTGGCGCTCGAGGAGTTGTCGCTGTCGTGCTGCGCGCAAGTGTCCGGCACTTGCCTGGAACGCCTGGCGCCGTACCTTGCCACCACGCTCACGACCCTACGCCTCAAGGTACCCTACACCCACACTCATGCCGGCTTTCTATGAGACCTGTCACAACTGATTCTGATGACGTCGTGCCATCCGTGTGTCGTGTGTCGTGTGTCGTGTATATTGTATGCAGGGTCTCACGGAAGGGCCGACGCAACAATACTGCAACCTGATCAAGTCCTGCAAGAAGCTGCAGCAGCTTTCGATGCCCCACTGCTGCTATCAGGACACCTACAAGCCCCTGCAGATCCTCTACTCGCACTGCCGCAATCTCACCTCCCTGGACTTCGGGTACCACCACTTCCTCTGTGTCGTGTGTCGTGCCACCAGATCCCGGCCCTTGCAGACCCTAACATACTTCCCCTGTGTCGTGTCGGTGTCGTGTCGTGTCGTGTCGTGTCGTGCTGCGTAGTGTGATGTCTGTCATTTGTTGGAAGGACGAGTTCGAGGATCTGGCTCGAAGCAGCCAAGGGCTGACCAGTCTCGACCTCTACTACCTTCACAACCTGACCAGGCACGCCTTCCACTTTGCACGCCACACTCCACACGCATCACCGCACACGCACGCAACACACTAACGCCGCGGCCGTTCTAAATACTGCAACAGTTCGTTTGTGGACCAATTCCTGTCTGCGTGCAAGCGTCTGCGTCGTCTCCGACTGCCGTGTCTCACCCCCTACGCCGTAAAGAAGTCGAGCAAGCGAAGGTTCTACTCGCCTGAGCCGCGGCTCGAACCTTTTTTTGTTAATATTAACAATTATCAGTTATCAATTATTGTCATTAATAATTATTGTTATTATTATTTTCTTCTTTTCGTTCTTTCCTTACGACCAGGGCCGAGGACGGTGATGTGGGGAAGCAGCCGATCGAGGGCGGCGGCATTTCGTACTCGGACGAGGTGCTCAAGAAATGGGCGCACAAGTATTCCACTTCATTCGCCCAACTCGAGGTGCGCGGCCCATATATGCACCTTTTACCTGTCTCGTCTGGTGTCGTGTGCGTGTCGTGTGTCGTGTGTGTGTCGTGGGTAACAAATGTGCGTGCAGGAGCTGCACATGGACGGATACAGCAACCTCACCTACTCGAGCATGCTGCCGTTGGTCGAAACGTTCAAATCGCTGCGCGTGCTCCACCTCGAGGTGCGCCCTTTCGCGCCCTGGCCCAACTCTACCCAGACCCATCAACCTCGAGGCCCCTAACCTCTTGCGTGTGCAGAATAACCGAGGATTGGATGACCGGTGTCTGATCAGGCTCACTTCGCACTGCACGTCGCTAACCACCCTTCACCTGGCACACTGCGTAAATATCGGGTACGCCGGCGTCTCCGCTCCGGTCCACCACCATGTTTTTGGCCCTCAACACTCACCGGTGGCCGCTGTTACACCACACATACACACACACACACACCACACACACACCACACACACACCACACACACACAGGGATGCCTCGCTGGCTGTCGTTGCGCGGACCTGTCCGCAGCTGAGCATACTCAACGTCGCCTTGACCAAGATCGGAGGTAAAACCTTGACACTCGGAGCTAAAAACAAACACACACAACTCACTGTTGCTGACGTGGCGCGTGACAGGTGGCGGAGTCGAAGCGATCGCGCAGCACTGCCGTCAGCTGCGGGAGCTGTCGTTGGGGTGCCCCTTCCGGCTGCGCGACGACGTGCTCAAGAACCTCATCTACAACTCCTTCGACAACCTCAAGAGGCTAGCGCTCTTCCGCGCCGCCAAGGCTCAGCTCAAGTACTCCATCAACGCTGCTCGCACCAAGGGCATCCAGGTAACACGCACGACACACACACCGCACACACGTGTGCTCATACGATTGGGCGGCCAGGTGGAGTTTGATCGCAATACGATGCTGCCGGCGTACGTGGCCAAGAAGTGCCCCGAGGCCCGAAAGCAGGAGCTCAAGCGCATCATCCGCCGCATCTTCTCCGAAGACATCGCCGAACAGGCCGGCGCCCTCCGGTACCTCCGCGTGTTGTCATTTTTTTATTAGTATTTTCTATTTTATTAATTGTATGGTGGACCACATCGCTAACCCGCGTTACCGTTACGCGCAGCTTACTGGCCTACGAGTTTTTCGTACCATTCGACTCAACCAAAGCAGGTAATGCACCCAATACACGACACACGACACACGACACACGACACACGACACACGACACACGACACACGACACACGACACACGACACACGGCACACGGCACACGGCACACGACACACGGTTAACCATGTGGTGATGGGTCGATGGGCGGGTGGGGTGCATGCAGAGGACAACAAGCGCTACTTTGCCAAGCTGGGCGGCATTCCGCGCCTGTTGAAGCTCATGGGACCGGGCAACCACCACGAGGTGCGCATCAAGGCCACCAAGGCCGTCTGGAACTTCGCCAGTACCGAAGAACTGCAGCGGCTCTTGCTCGGCGAAGGTACCAACGACACAACCAACGCCACGACACGAACACACACACACACACACGAACACACACACACACGACACGCACACGACACGACACGCAGCAGCATGGCACGGGCTGACTTGACTTTTGCACCAGGCGTGCTGGGGCCGATCACCGATTCCCTGCAAGCGGTGATTCCTGAGCTGCAGGAGGCCAGCGCTGGCGCCCTGTGGCCCTACTTGGAATTTGGTACGCACACGACATACACGACACGCACACGACACGACGCACGACACACGACACACTCCCGTGCGGTACCTCATCGTTGCTTTTGCAGAGGACGTGGGCGAGAAGGCGCTGGAGTTGGGCGTGGTGGAGGCGCTCCTGCCCATCATGAACACGGCCAAGGTGCAGCCGCGCTGGCACATGCTCGGCTGCCTCGTTTCCATCGCCGAGAACGGTCCGTTCGCGCCGCGCCCACTGCTCTGCTCTGCTCTGCTGCTTGGCCGGCTCACGTTGGGTCGCCCGCCCGTCATTACAGTGACCTGCGCCAAGGAACTGGTAGCCAAGGGTGCTGCCAGGATTTCCGAATACTGCGCCAACCATGAGGAACTGCTCATCACCAGGCACGACACGACACACACGACACACGCGACGCGACACGACACGACATGACACGACACGCGCTGATGGTGAGGAGTGTGGTGACGCAGGTATCTGTCGGCGGTCACGTTGGGCTTCCTCTCGCTGGACAGCTTCATGGAGGACGACCTCATCGACGACGGCGCCCTCGAAAAGATCGAAAACTTCATGTTCGAGACCAAATCGCCCGACGCCATCGCCCGCAGCGAGGACTCAGTGACCAACGACCAGGTACCCCCACCGCACACACCGCACACACCGCACACACCGCACACACCGCACACACCGCACACACCGCACACACCGCACACACCGCACACACCGCACACACGTGCTGATGATAGTCACGCAGGGAGTGAAGTGGAAGTTCATCCGGCCGTTCCTGCGGCTCACGTACTCGCGACACCCACCGGTGCAGCGGCTGGGCGCGTTCGCCCTGGCGGTCCTCTCCAAACGACGTACGTTGGCCACGCAACACTGCCCTTCGTTCCCCCCCCCCGCCGTATGGTTGTCTCACACCTCCGCTCGTAACGCAACGCAGCTGTCAATGTGAAGACGATGGTGGAGGAGGGACTGCTGGGCCGGCTGGTGTGTCTGTCGTGGTCGCACGACTCGCGTCTGCGCAACCTCATCGGCATCACCCTCAAGGCCATCTACGACCGCTACGACGTACGTCATTGACGCTCAACTCCATCTCTGAGCAGCGGCGCCGACTGACTTTTTCTCTCGCGTCTTTTGATGGATCGACAGGCCACCATCGGCAAGTCGATATCGATCGTGCCCACGCTCGAGCAGATCTCCATTCACACCATTCAGGTACACTTGCAGCCTTCACGTCATGTCCCTTCGCGCTGTGGTTTGCGTTTGGTTTGCTGACACCACACACACACACACGACACACACGACACACACACACACAACACACACCTTGCACAGCACGACGGTAACTTGTGCGGGCTGAGCGCGTGGCTGTCGACGCCGGAGGGGGTGAAGATGCCCGAGGCTCTCCGGCAGCGGATGGAGGTCAAGGTGCTCCTGGCCAGCCGACAGAACCTCGAGAAGAAGGTCGTGTACCGCGGCGGCCCTCTCTCATGAGAGAATATGTACATTCGTTCAACAACGAGAGTGCAATGCAAATATATGTAGTATGAAGACGAAGACGATGAAGATGAAGATGAAGATGAAGATCTATACAACAGGGTGAATGGATAACACAACACGGCTGCACGGGAGTGTGCCACTACTGCGTGTGGTGGGCGTCGTCGTCGCTTTCGTCGTCGATGGTGTACTTGACGGCAGTGCTGACGCGGCCCTCGTCGCTGTCGGGGTAGGCGCCGACGGGCTCGTAGACTTCGCTCCGCGATTTTTTGGAGGTGCCGGCCTCGAGGTCTTCGAGCTCGCGCTCCTCCGCGGCCCTGCCGATCGTCACCGGCGAGGCCGAGCCACGCCACAGCAGCATGAACTCCTTCTTGATGAGCGCCATGACCACCGTGGGCACCATGATGCTGGGCACTAGTCATGCACACACACATCTCGTATTGTCAGAGGAGCAACACACACCACACCACACGACACACGACGCACGACACACACACACACGTGTGGCGTACCAAGATAGAGGAGGGCGGGTTGGGCGATCTGGAGGAGGATGAGCATGACGTAGGTCCACACGAACCCGAGCGCGTACGAAATCAGACCCTAAACATGTTATTTCATGTTAATATGTTGTCGTAATATAAGTATTAAAGTACAAATATACACAAACAAATTTGTTTACATAAATGTAATAAATTGGGCGGTAGACGCACCACTCGGAAGTAGCCGGTGAAGGCCCAGGAGGTCCATTGGTGGCGGCTGTAGTCGAATCGGTACAGGAAGGCCAGGTAGAGCCCGGGCAGGATCTGCCAGTTGGAGAGTGAAGGTGGGTGGTGGTAGGTGGGCCGAGTGAGTGAATGAATGTCGATCAAGTACGCCAGGAGAGAGCCGAAGTGGCAGACTTACGATGTCGCCCATCCCCAGGAGGGAGTAGCCCTTGAGGAACATGCGCGGGATGATCAAAATGATGGGCAGCGACGGCAGACTCGTCGCCACATGGACCCTACGCCATAATTCGAAGAAAAAATATATAAAAATTAAATTGAAAATATGAAAATAAACCAAAAAAACTAGAGAATTAAATCAATCATTAAATATATAATAGAAAATTGTGGAGAGGCCGGTACATGACGTTCTTGCCGAAGAACTGGGCGGAGAGGAAGACCCAGAAGATGTCGTAGAAGAAGAACAGCCACAGCACCACGCTCGCGATCATCAGGTTGGGCAGACGCAGGAAGGCCATCGCCGTGACCCCCAGACAAAGCGCCAGCACTGGTCGTCGTGTTGTGTCGTGAGTTGCGTGGTGTGTGCGGTGTGGGCGGTGAGTGCGATGAGTTGACAGCGTGGGACTACGACGAACCATCGGTCAGGAGCCAGTAGCGGGTGAAGAGCCAGGCCACGACGAGGGCGAGCGCCACGGGCATGCCCATCAGCGACGACGTCGGGAAACGCTCCGACCAGAACCACAGCACCCTGTATGCCCACCAAACAATACAATGTTAAGCATGTGTCGTGTGTGTGTGCGTGCGTGTGTGTGTGTGTGTGTGCGCGTGCGTGCGTGCGTGTGTGTGTGTGTGCGTGTGTCGTGCTGCTTGTGTACTTGTATTCGGGCGCGAGGCGAGTCCAGCGGACGATGATCGCGCAGAGTGGGCTGAGCGCGTAGGTGACCGAGACGAAGGCCGAGAGGGTGAAGAGCCCAACGAGGAGCACGCTCAGCTGGTCGAGGAAGTAGAAGAGGACCACGAGCATGGCCGACCCGATCACGGGCAGCAGGACCGCCATGTAGATCTTGAGCTCGTTGGCCTCGCGCACCTCGGGGCTCTGCTGCTGGGTCTGCACGACCAGGAACGAGAGCGAACGAGCGGCGCCGATGAACAGCGTCGCCAGCACCACCACCAGGAGCAAGCCCCAGCTCGGGTCCAACAGCAACAGCCTACAGAAGGGGGCGGCGCCCAGATGAAATAAATGGGGGTGAATTGAAACAAAGGCCAGGGAGTATTCAACCAAGCTCAACATAGAGAGCAGGAGCATGATACCAAGAGTAGCCAGCCATCGTGCTGCCTTGGGTCTTGCGTTGGGCCGTTTATGCGATCTTTCTTTGCCCTTTGCAAACTGATTTTCCCTAAACATTTCCTTAATGTATCAAAAAGGAAATGCCTGTTCACCAAAACCACCAGTTCCACCAGATTGAGTTGGGCCGGTAGCGGTAGTTCACCTTCTGTTGCTCTGCACATTCATCATTTCCATCATCAGCACACGCACAGCACAGCACAGCACAGCACAGCGCGCGCGCGCACACACACACACACACATCGAACGTACCGAGCTCTTGGAGGTTGAATCGGAGGCAACGAGCGAGGAGCTGCACGGTGGCGGGCATGTCCTCCGGCTCGATAGGGTGCGGGGCGTGGTGGTCCTCTTCCTCCTGTGGCTGCGCCCCCTCTGGCGGGTGGGCCTTGGCGTAGTCGATCTGCGCCAGGTTTCGAATGTGGCTCGTGTCCAGCAGCTGCTTCAGGCTCCGTCGCTCCTCCTGGCGCATGACATGATTCGTTGTGCGCCGTGTGTGCGTTGTGTGCCGTGTGTGCTGTGTGTGCGGTGTGTGCCGTGGACTGTCGCAGGCGAGGGAGGGTACCTCGCTGAGCACCAGCTCATCAGACAGAAGGCAGAGCATGACCTGGAGGCTCAGCAGACAGAAGACGTGCTCCAGTCGCTTCAGAATCTGGTCTAATGTCTCCTTGGTGCCCTTGGTCAGGTACGGCTCCTTGCGCGCCATCCGCACGTCCTGCGCAGTGGCCGGCGGGAGTGAGTTAGGCCTGAGCACCCGCCCGGGCCAGGGCCAGGCCAGGGTAGAGAGGGGAGGGGAGTGTACGCTGAGGAGGCCCACGAGAAGCCCGAAGGTCTGCTGGGCTTCGGGGCTCGTCGGGACTGTGGAGAGAGTGCTGAACGATTCCCATATCACCGCCTCGGCGAAGTACGTTCTGCGGTGGGTCAACAAATGAGAAACGTTCACACGCGTCATCGCACACACCGTACGCACACGCACCACAGCACACGCACGGGCAACAATCAAAGTACCGAGCGGTGAAGATGGATTTGACGGCCCAGCCGGAGGCGATGAAGTTGACGAACGTGGACGCGAGCACGGCGGTCGTGAGGGCGATGATGCGCACGATCAGCGTGGTTAGCACGAGCATACGCGGCGTGTCCTTGACGTCCTCCATCGGCTCGTACTCGAAGAGGATCATCTGCAGATCCGCGCCAGTCTGAGAAAAACGCAACACAAGCAACACACGCACGACACGCACGGCACAACACACGCACGCACACCACACACCCACACACACACACACACAACACACACGTGACAGCGATCACCCACCACTGGCGTGACGCGAGGGTGCCGTGCCTGAACGAAGATAGCAGAGAAGAGGCCCGAAGAGATGTCGCCGGGAGTGTAGCGCTTGGCCACCAGCAGGGCATACATCGTGAGACACGCCGCTGCCACGTTGTCACCCACCAATCGTGACGTCAGCACAGTTTCCATCGAAGCAAGTATGCATTATGAATAGAAATAAATGCGCACCGATTGGTGTCTTGAAGATGAGCCACCAGAAGAAGTCGGGGTCGTCGGGGTCGATGTAGGCGGCCGCGCTCACGGCCGTGCCGATGAATGTGCCGATCATGGCAGCGATCCAGATGTTGAGCCCGATGAAGAAGCCGGACGAGGTGAGCGGCGAAATGCACAGGAACGCCGTGAACACGGCCGAAAGGTGGTCCGGGTTCTTGGTGGCCCTGAGCCGCATCCCCCGTCAACCACCCACAATTGCCCTCGAGCACATCACACGCACGCCATAGCACACACCACACACGCACGACACACACACACACACACAACACAACACAACACAACACAACACAACACACACACACACACACACACATACACACACACGGAGGTATGCGTACTTGTCGGCCAGCAGCACCACAATACTGACCAACCCACACTGCCAGTGCACGGTAAGTCGCGTACACAGGAAACAATACAAGAGGAAGAAGAGAGAGAGAGAGAGGTGGGTTGGGTGTAGTAGTCAAATGGGGCGGCACCTTGATGATGTCCCAAACGGGAGCGTTGGGGGTGACTACGTGCGTGAGTAGCAGCCGGTCCCTGACCTCGCCCAGAAAGTGCACCAGCCGGTGCCACGCCTTGTGGGTCCAGGCCGCTGAATAAAACTTGTGGTGGTGCTGCTCGTGGCCACTTCCATGCGCTTCTTCCTCCCCCTCGTGGTGGTGCTCTTCTGATTCGTGGTGCCCCGGACGCAGATGCTCATCTTCTCGGGAAGCTCCACTGCTGGACGTCGGTATGGTGGTGTCTGGCCTGAGTGGTGTCTGGTTACTGCTTGGTTGCAATACTCGAGTACTTGTTTGTGGAGAGGTTCCACTTGCCGGCGCGTCCATCCCTTGTTCTTGTTGCCTCCTTTTATTATATTATTTTATCATTTTGCCTTTCTCACCATTCCAGTCATCGAGATTTCCCCCGGGGGGGGGGTTAGAAGGTGGAGGGTTGGCACAGAACATAGCCATAGCTGATGCGCGCCTCACGATGAACAACCCATTCATCTGTATCACCTGCCCAAGGCCTTCTTTCCGAACATGCCGGCCTGCAGTAGGTCGTCAAGTGTCGCGCCGCCTCCAGCCTTGCTGTTCTTCTGCTTGTTGCCAGCCTTGGTGGACTTCTTCTTGTCGCTCGCGCCACCCGCGACCTTCATTTTGGTGGTGGCCTTGTCGGCCGACTCCCCGTCGTCAGCTCCCTTCTCGGCAGTCTGAGTGTCGCTCTGGTCGTTCTTGGGCTTGTCGGCTCCCTTCTCGGCAGCCTGCGTGTCCCTCTGGTCGTTCTTGGGCTTGTCAGCGCCGGGGGCCTGGTCGGCGGGCTTCTTGTCGTCGTTGCGGTTCTGCTGTTCGGTCGAAGGCTTCGGCCGAGGAATGGTCGGGTCGGGCACCTTGGTGGCGGGCACGCACTTCGGTTCGTCCCCTTGCGCCGCCAGGGGGCGCACCACCCGTTCGGCCAGCGGACACAGGCGGCCGGCGGCCAGAGCCTTGCGCAGGATCTTGCGGGCCACGCGGTGCAGGCTGCCCTTGCCCATCCATACGTCCTCCAGCTCCGCCGCGCCGTCCCCCTCAACGTCGTCGTCGTGGGTTGGTGGCGCCCACTTCCCCTTGGCGGTGCCGTCAACGGCCGAGTTGTACCTGTGGACGGCGTAGGAGTCGGCTTCGGACCGGCAGTCATCGGCCTTGTAGGCAATGGCCAGGTGCGGCGGCTGCCACGAGCGCGGGTAGAAGGCCGTGTGCGGCAGCAGGTTGGCCTCGTCCGGGTGGCTTTCGGCCAGCTGGCGCGACACCTTGCACGAGTGGACGTTCCACTTGGAGTTGTCGAAGGTCCTGAACTCGGCCCACCAGCGCTGCAGGAAGCTCGCGTTGGGCGGCGCCACCAGCACCCCGCTGCCGATCAGAGGTATCTTGTCGTCAGGGACGGCCCCATCTTTGGCCAGCGAGACGGCGTTGCGGGTACGCAGGGGGTCGAACGAGCGAAGCACGAGCGCATCGGTGTCGAGGTAGATTCCGCCCTCGCGCATGAGCACCTGCAGCCGAATGATGTCGGACTTGTGGGCCTCAGAGAGAGTGGGGAAAGGCTGGCCGTGAATCGAGGTGACGTCGTCGACCAGATCGAGCGAGGTCAGAAGCGGGCGCGTACAGTCCCACCATGGCCCCTGGGGCAGCGCGCGGTGGTGCCACCGGATGGCGTCGGGCTCGGTGTTGATCGCCGCGCTGAGCACCGATATGTAGACCCACACGTCGAGCCGCGGCAAGCGCGGGGTGTAGACAAAGTGGACCACGTTGGGCACCCGGAACGGGCTGTCCTCCTGCACTATGCGGCCGGACACCACCTTGCTGGGATTGGTGGCAGCCTCGGCCGCCCAGGCGTTGGCCAGCACGCAGCGGCCCGAGTCGGGGATCCATTGCCAGGCCTGGCACCGGGGCCAGTCAGTAGAACACTTGGCGCAGCACTGGTCAGCGGTAGCTTCCACCGCCTCACTAACGACGCTCTCGGCAGGGTACTCCCACGCCGCACCTTCGCCTCGGTCCTCAACGACGCAGCGCAGATCCGCGCCTAGCTCGCCGCCGCGGTGATAGCCGCGCTGGAAGTCAAAGTTAGCCAGGTCGAGCCCGTTGTCCCGCGCCCAATCGGCCGGGGCGATAGGCCAGCTGTGGCCCAGGGTGGAACCCGAGTAGGGGTTGGTCGCCGCCACGGGCGGCCACATGATGTACGACCCCATGGGCCACTTCTTGAGGGCGTCGACGAATGCCTGGCGGTCCATGGCCTCTCGCGACATCTCCAGAGAGCGGGCCATCAGTTTGGCCGCATCGCGGTGCATGCCGACAGCCCACGCCGTGGCGATGATCCTTGGCCGAGCGTAGTTGACCTCCGAGAAGCGCTCGATCAACTCGTGGTTGGTGTAGAATGTGGGCTTCTCGACCAGAGCGCCCAGCCACAGCATTTGCCAGTCGTCCGGAATGCGACGCACACGGGCGTCAAACGCCCTCGGGAAGTCGGCGCAAAAGATGAAGTCGTCTTCGAGTATGAGCACGCGCTCCGAAGGCGAGCGCTCGATGTAGGCCAGCACGCCCATATGGGTCAGGTAGAGGCTGAACACCCCGGGGTGCTGCTCCCGCGGGTCGTGCATGACGATCTTGGCCAGGTCGGCCGCGTTGGCCAAGCCCTTGGCGTCAAAGGCGTGGATCAGGGTGTAGGGCACGCCCAGGTCGCGCAGCTGGGCTCGGGCGCGGGCGAGGCGGGAGGTGAATCTCGGCAGGGAGATGAGAATGATCTCGTCAAAGACGTCCTGCAAGCGGCACAGGCGGCCCGTGGCCTCGGGCGGGCAACCTGGCGCCGGCACGCGCTGGCTGAAGTTGACGGCAAAGAGCTCGTCGAGCTTGATGAAGGGTGGCTCGATGTCGCATACGCTGCGGGTATGGCGCGTTGTGTCTGTATCTTGTGCCAGGGACAGCAGCTCAGTCCAGTCTTCAACTCTGGCTCCCATCTGCCCGAAGAGACCCAGCAGAGCGCCCATGGTGGAGAACACGAGCGCCACCAGCAACACCCTCAGCCCGAACCTGCCGACCTGCCACCACATTTCTCGCCAGTCCTCCCCTCTGGGCTACTCTTCTTCTGTCCTACAACATTTTTGCCCTAATAAGGTTTTGCTCTTTTGCTCTTTTGCTCTTTTGCTCTTTTGCTCTTTTGCTCTTTTGCTCTTTTGCTCTTTTGCTCTTTTGCTCTTTTGCTCTTTTGCTCTTTTGCTCTTTTGCTCTTTTGCTCTTTTGCTCTTTTGCTCTTTTGCTCTTTTGCTCTTTTGCTCTTTTGTGGTCTATGGCTGGGGGTAGTCTTGTTCTTCGCCTTCGCCTTCGCCTGTGCTTGCGGTGTGGACGGTGTTGTGAACCACCTGGCTCTCGTACTGGTTGAGTAGCACGATGAGCTTGTCGAGCGAGCAGAAGGCCAGCAGGCGCCGCACGTGGGTCACCTTGTCCTGGCGGAACCCGTTGAGCCAATAGAGCAGCGACGACGGCACCGTCTCATTGTTTCTGAACAAGAAGAGGCGCATCGACTGATCAGTCGCCGCACACGCACACACGCACACGCACACACGCACACACGCACACGCACACGCACACACGCACACACGCACAATCCAGTACCTTCGAACCCATTCGTGATAGGGTCTGGGTTCCATGTCTTTGACAAGGGCGTAGACGCGCTCCACGTAGGCGCACAGCCTGTGGTACCGTGTGCGCACGTCGTCGTAGAGCGGCCGCCACTCGGGGTAGTACCGCAGGAAGGTGTCGTGCGCGTTGGTACGCACGAGGTCCACCATCTGCCGCTCGCGCACGGTCGGCTGCTGGGCGAGGAACATGTTGCGCAGCAGCCGGTACTGCGGCGACTCGATCTTGATCCGCAGGTGGCACGGGTCCGCCACCACCAGGCCTGCTACCCGCATCGGGTCGAGCTTCGTCGACGCGTAGAGCAGCCTGTAGATGATGTCCTCCCGCTCCTCCACAGCCTTCTTCTGCTTGGCCTCCTCGGCGTCGGCGTCGTCGGCGTTTTCGTCGGCATCACCGTCGGCGTCCGGCCGATCCTCGTCCTCCTGCTCGGGTGGTCCGCTGACGCCCTCGGCCTGCTTGCGCCGGAGGCGGTTGGTGCGTTTGTTGTGCCTTCGCCGGGCGCGCTTGCCCAGGTCGCTTTTGTTGACCCACTCCCGCGCCCAGAAGGGGACCGATATCTCTGTTGTGCGCGCAAAATAAAAACGTGTCAGACCACGCACACACGGTTGGGGCGCACACCGAGGGAGGGCAATGCTTCACCATCGCCCAGCTGGGCCAAGACGTCGGACAGAGGTGTGCGGTTCACCACGTCCCACCCGTACTTCACCGCGAACGGCTTCGGGTCAAGCTCCTCCTGGGCGTGGACGGAGCACATGTGAGCTCGTGTGTCGTGCGACTCGTGTCGTGCAGTGCCTGAAAGGCGAGGGAGGAGAACCAGTGTGTTGAGATCCCTCACAGAGTGCAGCACGATGCGTTCGCCCTCCTGCGCTTCTTCGTCGCCGTGCCGCACGATGTGCGGGAACCTTCGCGAGCACACGTCGAAGGTGAAGCACTTGTCCGTGTGCTCCTCGCCCGGCAGAACGTAGCCCTCGTGGGCATTCCACACATTCCAGAACAGATCCGCCACCGTGTAGGTGCCGTCCGCCTTCCCCGTGTCCTCAATCTCTCTTATCACACGCACTGAACATCCTTGTCATCAGCAACACGTGTGCGTGTGCGGTCGGGGGTGTGGTGATGTGCGTGTGTGTGTGTGCGTGGTACGTACCTTCGCAGGCGTCCTGAAGCTGCTCTTCGAGGAATGTGAAAGGGTTGTGGTGCTTGCCCTTCCTCCGGTCCAGAATATCGAGCAGCGGCTGCGACGCGTCAGCTGACCACCGCGACGACAGCAGCCACTCGCCCTTGTAGAAGAAGAGCGAGGCCTCGATTCCGTCGAGGTCATGGTACACCTGACGGTCCACGCAAGTGTTGATGAGTATAGGTCCGGTCCACGAATGTTGTGTGTGCTCGTATATGTGCGTGTGCGGTGGCGCATGTGTGCGTGTGCGTGTGCGCGGTGGTGGGTATGTGTGTTGGCGGCAGAATGTACGGTCATGTCGGGACCCCACTGCATGACGGAGCTGGACACGTAGAGCACGCCATCGGTCTCCTTGGACTTGATCTCCCTCTTCTTTTTCTTGGCGGCTTCGCTCCAGTGCTCGTACCAATACGAGCCCGCGTGGTGCAAGGGCAAGCACACCGGGCGCCACTCATCGTCTTCGTCCAAGACAATGCCCTGGGCAGGCCACACCACCAGGGCTGAGTCAGTCCTGGGCTCACACAGCATGGGAGAGATCAAGGTACCTGGCACTCGCGAACCACGGAGGCGTTCAGGGGAGAGATGGCGGCGTCGCTGATCAGGTGCACCAGATTGGGGCGCTTGCTGTGCCGGTGGTTGGCCAAGGAGAGCTCCTGCGATTGTGCCACCCAATAATGAGCAATTGGCAAAGTTCAGAGCAGAGCACGTCGTACTGTGCACAGGGCCTGGAGCCCGTGTCGCCGCAATGCCAAGGTGGTGGGAGACACAGCGTGAGCTCCGCCATCCGACGGAGCCTCGTCGTTCGTCATGAGGCTTTGTGCCACTTCCGACGGGCTCATCAGCTGCTTGGCCAGCGCGTTGGCCAGCGGGCGGTACTTGGTCTGATAGTAGTCCCACGTCTCCTCCTCGCTGTCCATGATCTGTGGTGCGATTCGTGCAGGCAATTAACCAGCAAATTAAACAAATACAAATAATAAAAATGAAGTAAATAGTACCTCTCGATAGTAGTCGTTGCCCAGGGTGGCGTCGGTGATGGCGCCCTCGCGTGCGAGCTCGAGCGCCAGGAGCAGATAGCGGATCACGGTCGCCACGATCTTCTTGCTGTCCCGCTTGTCCTGCTTCCAGTAGTGCTGGGCGCGTCTCCACTTGGCCTACTCCACCACCACTCCACGACCGATCAATCACCACACAACGACGACGACCAGCTAGGTGGTGTGCAGGGTACGTACGGTGAGGAAGCCGGTGATGTAGTTGCGAAGCTGAGGCAGGCGGAGCGCGAACACGCCACGATAGTCCACCCGCTGCAGCAACACGGCTTCGGGCGGCGCAAACACGGCCGTGAGGACCATCACCACGTTCTGATCTACCAGCTGCCTGCCAAGTGTGTGCGATGTGGTGAGCAGCGTAGCTCTCGTGGGCCATCAAGAGGGAATGTAGAACCTGAAGAAGTCCTCATGGTAGATGTTGAGGTCCAGCTCCACCTCGCTTTCATCATGTTGAGTAGATGAAGATAAAGGTGACGGCAGGACGGCGGTGAGGGCCACCCGACGAATGCCCGGGAAGTAGGCGGGGGCAGACACCACCACGATGAAGTCGTAGTCCGACTTCGGCCCGGCACAGCCGTGCAGGTGGGACCCATACATGTACACATTGAGTGGGGCACACCCGGCCAGCTGCGGCTGCGTCTCGAATGCGGCCGTGATCGCCCCCAGCAGCGCCTCTGCCTTTGTCGCTCGCTCCATGGTTGAAAAAATACGTAAAAAACCCTAAAAAAACACAAGAAATCAATGCCACCATTTCCCTGAAGCATTTCTCGTCTTTTTCTCCGGAGACGCCCGCTTTGGCAATGAAGGCTTTGTCTGTTCTCAAGTCTTTTGGTGTTTGGTCTTGTGGTGAATGAATAATACAGCAGCATCCCTCCCTCTCCTCCTCTTCTCTTCTTCTTCTTCTTGTTCTTATCTGGCAGGTGTTTGGCTGGATCAGCTGACGCAGAGGGTGGTGTCCACGGCGGCACCTGAACTCGTCGTCGCTGGCGATGGCGTGCCGTGGTGGTGGTGGTGTGCCTCCCGCGATGGCAAGGCGGGCGACCCCTCCCTGCTCCTGCCGCCGATTTGGTGGTTGAGAGAGACGTTGGAGGACTGGGAGACGTTGAGTGGGTCCTCGTCGTCGCCGGCGCCCATCTCGGCGAACCACATCTGGAGGTCCTGCGGGCTGTACTCGCCGTTCTCAATCAGAGCCGCCCTCTCCTCCATCGCCTTGTTGAACTCCTCCTCGGTCCAGTCGTTCTTCCGCTTGAACCACCTGAAGTGGCCAGAAGATGCCAATCGCATCCATAACCAATGAGCAACATTCCTTCTCGTTGGTGCGTGCATTCCATGTAATGTTGGGTTTGGGGATGGTACCGATCCAGCGTCTGTTTACGTCTATCTACATATCGACGCCGCATGTTGTGCAGTAGATTCTCATCGTCTTCCTTTCTTCTCTTTTCCTCTGCGCGCACGACACACACGCACGACAATCGAAAGAGAGTGAGTCACTGGTGATCGTCGTCGTCATCGTCGTCAGCGACACGGATGGTGATGCGATGGTGGTCGGTGGTGCCACAAGCTCGACTTGGTCTTACCTTCTGTGAGCTCCAGCGGCGGCGGTGGGGGAGGCGGTACTGGGATGCCCTTGTCGTCATACTCGAGCGGTTGGTTGTGGTGGGGGTGGTGATGGCCATTACTGCGCGGCACATCGGGTGACGCAGGTCCAGAGGGCGGGATCATCATGATGCCCACTGGTCGCGTTGGTCGAGACCGCGGCGATATGGCGCGGTGCGAGTTCGTCCCGCCCGCGCCGCCGCCGTTGTGACCACCCACGACGATGGCTGGTACGGGGTTGTAGGCCGACACGCTGCGTCGTAGCGTCCCGGCGCTGACGGGCGGGGGCGGCGGCAGGTTCTCCGGCAGCGGCGGCAGCGGCGGGCGCGGCGAGGTCGAGGGCGTGGGCAGCATGGGCGCGCTTGCCGGGTTGTAGGAGGTCTGGGGCCGCACGGCGCGGCCGCCCATGTCAGGGCTACAGCTGCCGTTGCCCTTGTTGCGCGCGGACGAGGGCGACGAGGGGTCGGGCGCGGGGCTGGTCGACGGGTGGTGGTCGACGTTGCCGTGTTCGTCGATGGCCGGGTCGAACTCGGTGTCGAGCAGGGCCTTGACGGTCTGCCGCTTGGACGAGGAGTAGGTGTTGTACTTCTTCTTGCGCTCGCTCTTGCGCTGCTCCTCCTTGAGCCGCTTTTCCTCCTTCTCGCGCCGCTTGCGCTCCTCGATGATGAGCTCGGCGCCTGCTCGGCGCATCTCCTCGAACAGCGACGTCTGCTTGGTCTGTCGGTGGAGCAGCACCAGCTTGTTCTTGAAGAAGAACGAGCAGTCGTTGATCAGCATGCCGATGCACTTGTTGACGTAGGGCACGTCGGCGAACAGGGTCTCGACCGAGACCGACGACGGGCGCAGGAGTATGGGGCCGAACACGATCGCCAGGTTCTCGGCCGTCATCAGGTTGGACGCGTGGTATTCGGAGATGTGTCGGAGGTGGATCATCAGCGTTGAGATGATCTGCAGGTTCTGCTGTGGCAGCATGTTCAGCAGCCGCGTGATCAGGATCTTCCTGTCCTTGTGCTGCGTAGCTGTTGACACGAACCACTCATGATCGTGAGCATCGCCATCATCATCATCCACGACGACGACGACGACCACAATGAAAAGAATGCTGAGGTGGTGGCGGTCGTACCGGCAATCCAGCCCGGGTAGAGTTTGGCGGTGAAGACGGGGTCGGCGAGCTCCTTGAGGAAGGCCTTGAGAAGGGAGGCCTGGGTGTGCGGGTTCATGCTCTCGTAGCTCACCTTCTTGCCTGTGCGGTGACCCCACAAATGTTGTGTGTGAGAGAGAGAGAGAGAGAAGACAGAGAAGACGACAAGAGAGCGAAGGCGACGAGGAGAAGAGGATGAAGAGAAAGAGGAGGAGCGGGTACCCTGGTTGAGAGCTTCCTTTGTTCGTCGGACTTCGCCCATGTCACCCGGAATACGATAGATGCCCTCGAGAGATGCTGAGAGCAATAAAGACAAAACAAAAAATTAAACATATGGGGGAAGAAATATTAATAAATGTTGGTTCCCCAAGACACCACCCAGCAGCACGACAAGCCTCCTTCTCTTGTATTACGTGGTTGGGGTGATGTGTGATTGATTCATCATCCTTGCCCTCCCCTCAATATCTGATGTCGAACGGTAACGAACATCGGGTTGCCCAGGAAAGCCCGAAAACGAAAAAGATGAAAAACGAAGGCAAAGAACGAAGGGGGGGGGAGATGATGCAAGGCCCTCGGAAGAGCGCGTTCGTCCAATACGATAGGAACCAATAAAATGTAGATGGGAGGAGGGGAGTACTTTGTTTGTTCAGCAGCTCAAGAAGCGCATGTACGAGCTCCACCGATTTTGAATTGATCGTTCCATCAAATGCCTTCGATTTATCTTTATGACCACGGTGGCTGAGTCGCTTCATTTTTCTTCTCTTCACCCGTTTTTCATCCACCTCTGCGAAGATGATGAAGGAAGGGGGCAGCAGGTCGCTCTGCCAACAATAGATAGATCGCAAAGAAATAAATAGACAACAAATCCACAGATCCGCGTTCTAGGTCGCACAGACGAAGGTGAACGGCCACAAGCCCTTACAACAAAATTAAAGCGACAACCAGCACGCGCCATTGGCGGAATGCCAGGTAAATGAACAAAAAACAATTTCCTTCTGTTTTCTCTTTGTTACCTTTCTGGGTATAAAAGAGCATCCAGCAAATTGATAGATCTGCAACAAGAATTGGAAGAGAGAGCCAAGGCACCGTGGGGTAAAGATAGCAAGGCAGAAGAGGCGGCACACGGAGGGAAGAGCGCGTTGGGATGAGCGCACACAGAAACTCGTATGGGTCGAATTCGCATGGATCGGCCGGAGGGCCATCCACTCCCGTGGATTTGGAGGAGCAGATGATACTGCGCGTGCCCGAGCACATCGCCGTGGAGCTTCGTAAGATGATCAAGCAGGCAGAGGATAGGAACACCAAGAATTTCGACACCCGAGTGGCGTTCGCCCTTGAATGTACCCCCCCCCCCAAGATTATGCTTTCCTCCCACAAATCACCTTCACTCTTCTGCATTTGAGCCTGCACGCCCCCCCCCTTCCCAACGTTGCATCTTTTGTGGGATCTCACACCCATCCCGTCCGCCCCAACAGCGACGCCGTTTGGTGGGGCCACGTTTGCGTTCGGGAAGAAGAAGTACGCAGCGTCGCTGGTGAACATGCCCACGGTGATCGAGTCCTACAAGACCAACGACAACTCGAACTACTACAAGAGCGCCGACGTGGGCCAGATGCTGGTCGTGCATGATGTGGAGAAGGGCAAGGGCCGCGCGCGCATCCACACCGACGAGAGCGGCACCGTCAACAGCGGCCTGTGCCCGCCGTTCAAGGGCATCAAGAAGCGCTTCCGCCGCACCTACCCCGACAAGGCCGAGGTGGCCGAGGTCGACAACGATCTGTCGCGCATCAAGGGCGGCGGCATGCCCGGCAGCGTCAACATCGAGGTGGTCGAGGAGGACGAGGACGGCGAGCTGCTCGACGGCACGCCGCTCCGCGGCCGCGGCAAGGGCGCGGGTGGTAAGGGCAAGGGCAAGGGCGGCGCGGGCAAGGGCGCCGGCAAGGGGAAGGGGAAGGCGAGGGTCACGCTGGCTCTGCTCGACGCGGAAGACGAAGATGACGAGGACGACTACGAGGGTGCGGAGAACAAGAACAAGAAGAAGCGACGACGGGTCACCAAGAAGAAGACGGCGGAACCTGTCGCGGACATCGCGGGCGCAGAGGGCGCCATGGGTGGTGAGCCAGTGAGCGAGACGCCCAGCAGGAAGAAGCCACGCGGAGGCGCCAAGGCGGCGGCGACGGCTGCGGCAGCGGCAGCAACGACCACGGCGACAGAGGGGGAGGGTGCGGCGAAGAAGGAGCGAAAGCCGAAGCGACGACGAACGAAGGAGAAGGAGGGCGACATGGCAGCGCTGGCGGCGACTGCCGAGCAGCCGGCGGCCAAGAAGCCGCGGAAACGGGTCAGCAAGAAGGCCGCCGAGGCGGCGGCTGCCGCCGCGCAGCCCGCGGCGATGGACATCAACCTGGCGCTGGAGCTCGAGTCCTCCATGGGCAGCGATCTCCTGAGCCCCGCCACTTCCACGCCACTCTCCCCATCACCCGTGGCCACGCCCGTCCACCCAGCGGCGGCGCCGGCTCCCGCGCACACCACAGGCCACGCCACCACCGTGGCGCCGCCGCCGCTCATGGCGCTGCCGGTCTCCATATCCCAACCCAGGCCACGGGCCGTCGTGGCCACACCACCAGCGCCCGTCTCCGCTCCCGCGCCGTTCATCTCCTACCAGCCCGAGCCGGTCGCGGCCGCTGCTGCGCCGCCGCCGGTGGTCATGACTCCTGCGCCCGAGCCCGCGGCGGCAGCGCCTGTGGTGGCGGCCGCGCCTGTGCGGTCGGCGGAGGAGCTCGCGCGGCTGGCGGAGCTGCAGACGCAGGAGGCCGCGCTCACCACCGAACTGGCCAACCTCAACAAGTCTCTCGCGCAGGCCAAGGAGTACGCCGTCAAGAGCGTCAACCAGGTCATCAAGGGCCGGTTCGCCAAGCAGGCCGCCGGGCTCTCGGAGAAGATCGCCGCCCAGGAGCAGGCGCTCGAGCAGGTGCAGAGGGAGATCGCCAGCCTCTCAGCTCAGTGATCACACACACAGTCGCGTCTCTCTGCAATGTATACATTTTCCCGCCCTAGTACTGTCGTGGTGGCGTTGGTGGTGCGTTGTGCGTGGTGGCCATGTGATGGTCCTGGAGAATGTCGTCCTCCTTGAAGTCGCGCAGCATCACCGATAGCCGACGCGTGCGGGTGATGTCCCTCCCCTTGAAGCTCACTGCACCCTTCCGTATCCCGTGCGCCCACTCGTACCGCGCGTCGCCCCTGCCACCGCACACGCACACGCACACGGTCAAGATAAAGTGCACATGACGGTGAGTGGAAGGGAGGGGAGTACTGCATGATGTAGAAGGTGCCGGGCTCGAGCAGGAGGTGGACCCGCGCCGGGCTCTTCTCGTGGTGGAGCTCGAAGACGCAGGGCGAGAGCAGGCTCAGACCAGCCACCACCCCGCCGGAGAACTTGACGCTGTCGACGTGCGGTTTCATCTCGCCGTCCTGCGTTCCTCGCGGTGTCAGCTGACCGCCACAGCAAAGAGAAGCGTATGGTCTTACCTCGTGGATGTCGAGAACGTGCACGTGAGGGAAGAGCTTCACCTCGGAACCCTGATACAGTATTTAGTGCGTGTGTGTGTCGTGTGTGTGTGTGTGTGTCGTGTGTGTGCTGTGTGTGTGCTGTGTGTCGTGCGTGCGTCTTGTGTAGCGGAAAGTGTACAATGGCGTCGGTAAGCCGCTCGATGGTGTGTTGATTCTTGGGCGAGAACTTGAACAGTGCTCGCTCGCATTCTCGATAGCCGATGATAACCTGGTCCCAATGCTCTGCAAACGAGTAGCGCTTGCCCTTGAACACTGCCTCCAGCTCTCGTACCATCTCGTCCTGCTCGTCTGTGTGTGTCGGTGCGCGGCAAGCAATGGTCAGTGCAATGTTGGCCAAACGTTTGCACAAGGCCTTGTACCCGCAGCGAGAAAACCCGGAAGCACGGTCAGGCCAGCGATCTGGTGAGCATCGTTGATGTACTCCACACACGAATCATCCAGCACGCTGCCTCCCTGGCATTATTAGATTATTCAATAAATTAAAATGAAATAGCAAAATAAAATACATATTAAAGGGCGCACCTGATTGCTACCACCAGAAAAGAGCCGAGAGGACTGGAGGTAGTGAGGCCGCGCCACAGATTTCGTGCTATGCGCTCGCAGAGCCAGTGCCGAACGCACACCACAGTGCCGCCTCATCCCGGTGCGCTCTTCAAGAAAACATGAGAAATTCAATTTCCTGACCAAAAAAGCAAGAAATCACTTTTTCCCGGCTTCCCGCTTTTTTCTCCGGCGCGCAAGTTGGGCCGGCTCATCCGAGATCGTGAGATTTCATCATCTCGTCCCGCAATCAGGCCGCAAGGAGCAGAAGATGTCGAATCCATCGAACGCGGTGAGGAAGAAGGTCGATCCCAGGATCAGAACGCTGATAGAGAATGGAGTGAAGCAAAAATTCCGCTCCATGTTCGTGATTGTGGGCGATCGCGGCAAGGACCAGGTGGTGAATTTGCACTACATGCTCTCGAAGGCCACCGTGAAGACGCGGCCGTCGGTGCTGTGGTGCTACAAGAAGGAGCTGGGCTTCAGCAGCCACCGTAAGAAGAGGATGAGGCAGGTGAAGAAGAAGATGCAGCGCGGCCTCTACGATCCCGACAAAGATGATCCCTTTGAGCTTTTCGTCTCCGCCACCAGCATCCGCTACACCTACTACTCGGAGAGTCACAAGATTCTGGGTAACACCTACGGCATGTGCGTCCTTCAGGTAACACACGCGCTCCTCGTCTTCATTTTTATGCTCCGCCCCCAGCTGAGATTTGAGATTTAATCGGTCATCTGATGATTATTTTCTTTCATTTCCTTGTGCAGGATTTCGAAGCTCTCACGCCCAATCTCCTCGCGCGAACGATCGAAACGGTTGAAGGTGGTGGTATCATTGTGCTGCTGCTCAAGACCATGAAGTCCTTGCGTCAGTTGTACACCATGACCATGGTGCGGCTTGTTGCCTTTTTTCCTCTTTTTTTTCGTTTTAATTCTTTTATTCACAAGCTGGTCCATGTGCGCTGAAAGATCATCACTCTTGACCTCACCGACTTGTTCTTCTTCTTCTGCTTCTGTAGGACGTGCATGCGCGTCTTCGCACAGAGTCTCGTCACGACGTGACGGGTCGATTCAACGAGCGCTTCCTGTTGTCGCTGGGCTCGTGCAAGCACTGCCTCGTCGTCGACGACGAGCTGGAGATCCTGCCCATCTCCTCGCACTCGCGCAGCATCAAGCCCATCGGCAACCTATCCGTCGGCGGGCAGGACGTGACCCCGGAGGAGATCGATCTCAAGGAGCTCAAGAACTCGCTGCGGGACACCGAGGTGGTGGGCCAGCTGGTCAACACGGCGCGCACGCTCGACCAGGCCAAGGTGATCCTCACCTGCATCGAGGCCATCTCCGAGAAGTCGCTGCGCTCGACCGTGGCGATCACGGCCTCGCGAGGTCGCGGTAAGTCGGCCGCGCTCGGTATCGCCATGGCCGCGGCCGTGGCCTCAGGCTACTCCAACATCTTCGTCACTTCGCCCAGCCCCGAGAACTTGAAGACCCTCTTCGAGTTCGTGCTCAAGGGATTCGACTGGTAAGCACATCAGCCCTCAATTGTGGTGTGTGTGTGTGTGTGTGGTGACTGATGTCAATCTTGAACGTCTACAGTCTGGGCTATGAGGAGCACTTGGACTACGAACTGCTCCAGTCGTCCAACCCCGAGTTCAACAAGGCCATCGTCCGAGTGAACATTTTCCGCACCCACCGACAGACCATCCAATACATCCACCCGCAGGACTACAACAAGCTCGGCCAGGCCGAGTTGGTCGTTATCGACGAAGCCGCCGCCATCCCCCTGCCCTACGTGCAAAAGCTGCTGGGTCCCTACCTCGTCTTCATGGCCTCCACCATCAACGGGTACGCACCGCAGCACTCCACTCCATCTCTACGCATAACGCTAACACACACACACACACACACACAGTTACGAAGGCACCGGCCGTTCGCTCTCGCTGAAGCTGATCGACCAGCTGCGGAAACAAAGCGGAGCCACGAGCGTCACCGATGCGGCGGTGCCCAACAGCTCCGGTCGTCTGCTGAAGGAGCTGCAGATGCAGGTGCCCATTCGTTACGGCTTCGGCGACCCCATCGAGAAGTGGCTGAACGACCTGCTCTGCCTCGACGCCTCCACCGTGCGCAAGATCACCTCCGGTTGCCCGCATCCTTCCCAGTGCAACCTCTACCAAGTCAACAGGTACTTGCTCGCCCCGGCACATCGCACGACACGCACAGCAGCAGTCAATGTGCCGTGTTTCTGCAGCTCACCACGGGGAATGGATTTGATGCATTTTAGGGACACGCTGTTCTCGTACCACAAGGCGTCGGAGTCCTTCCTGCAGCGCATGATGTCGCTCTACGTGTCCTCGCACTACAAGAACTCGCCCAACGATCTCCTCCTCATGTCCGACGCCCCGGCCCACTCCCTCTACGTCTTGCTTGGTACGCACACGTCAAAGCATCTGAAGAATGTCATCATCACAGTTGGGAGAATTACTCACATTCCACTGCACAACAGGCCCTGTCGATGAAACACAGAACTCGATGCCCGAGATCCTGTGCGTGGTGCAGGTGTGCCTCGAGGGTGAGCTCAACAAGCAGACCGTGAAGCTCAACCTGTCGCGCGGCAAGCAGGCCGCGGGCGACCTCATCCCGTGGACCATGTCGCAGCAGTTCCAGGATGACGATTTCGCCTCCCTGTCGGGCGCGCGCATTGTGAGGATTGCCACCCACCCGGACTACCAGCGGGTTCGCTCTACCATTCCCAAACCATCGTAATCAAGACCGGCAATGCTGACGTCAACACACACACACATACGACACAATACATGCAGATGGGCTATGGTCGTCGCGCTCTCGACATGTTGACGGCCTTCTACCAGGGCGACCTGGCCAACCTCGAGGAGGCCGACAAGTTCGTCACCGAGAACGACGGCATGGTCGACGGCAGCGTCGCCACTGACGGCGGCGACCTGATGACCGAGGAGATCAAGCCGCGGAGGAACCTGCCGCCGCTGCTGACCAAGCTCGAGGAGTGCAAGCCGCAGAGGCTGCAGTGGCTCGGCACCTCGTACGGCATCACGCTCCAGCTCTTCAACTTCTGGTCCAGGGCCGGCTTCGTGCCCACCTACGTGCGCCAGACCTCCAACGAGCTCACGGGCGAGCACTCGTGCATCATGATGAAGTCCCTGCGCGCGTCCGAGGACTCGATGGAGTTCGCCATGAACCCGCAGTGGCTCCACGCCTTCCACGAGGACTTCAAGCGCCGCTTCGTCTCGCTGCTGTCGTACGAGTTCGCCAGCATGCCCCCGGCGCTGGCCCTCAGCGTGCTGGCCTACAAGCCCAACGTCGTCCTGGGCGACCCCACCACGGCCGACGGCTCCTTCGCGCAGCTCACCGACGTCAAGCCCGAATTCGACCTCCAGTTCTCGCGGTTCGACATCAAGCGACTCGGTACGCGAATGCCCACCTGCTGGTTCACCCTCTTGTGTGGCCTGGTGTTGACCGTCGTGTGTGTGTGTGTGTGTGTGGTTTATAGGTTCGTATGCGAGCAACCTGGTCGACTACCACGTCATTTTGGACCTTCTGCCGACGGTGGCCAAGTACTACTTCCTGGGCAAGTTCCGCACGCTGACCAAGGAGGCCGACGACGCTGCGGCGGCGGCGGAAAATGGCGACAACGGCGAAGACGAGATGACGACTCGAACGGTCGCCACCGTCACCAACAACGGCATCTCGCTGTCGTACGCGCAGGCGGCCATCCTGCTGTGCCTCGGCCTGCAGCACAAGACCGTGGACAAGGTCGTCGAGGAGCTCACCCTCCAGCCCAACCAGATTCTGGCCCTCTTCACCAAGATCATCAAGAAGGTATCTGCGCACACATCGATATCGCACGCGCGTGCGGTGTGAGCCAACCCATTCACCATCCGGCGCTGACGTGTGCGGTGTGTGTCGTGTGCGTGAGCAGGTGGTGAAGTACATGAACACGCTGCAGGATTGGGAGATCGACAGCACGCTGCCCAAGGACGACGTGCGCGGCAAGTACCAGCCGCTCGCCATCTCGCTCGACGACGAGCTCGACGCCAGGGCCGACGACGGCATGGCCTCGCTCCGGGACAAGCAGAACGACATCCTCAAATCCCTCGGCGATCAGTACGTCAACAACTCTCTTCCTCTTTTTCGTGTGTCCCGTGTGTCGTGTGTGTGCGGTCGTGCGTGTGCGGTCGTGTCTCATGTGTGCGGCTTCCATAAATAGGTATGCGATCAAGGGCACGGACGAGGATTGGGAGAAGGAGCTGAAGGGTCCGCGGGGCAAGAAGCTGGTGGGCAAGGTGAGCATCGGCCGGAAGGGCGCCGGCGGCGGTTCGTCGGCCAAGGGCGCTGCGCCCCTGGGCGCCGGCGCGAGCGCGTCGGACTCGACCTTCACGCGGGAGCTCGGCGCCGACAAGCGCGGCAAGAAGAGGAAGAGCGTCGGTCGCGGTTAATTTTTGCTTCTCCTCCTCCTGTTCTCTTTCGCTACAACGAAACACAACTCAAGTGTATTCACTCCGTTCCTCCTTACATTCTTTCTCTCGTTCTTCTTCTTCTTCATCATCAACCGTGGTCGTGATCCATTCTCTTCTGGTTGTGCTGCTGCTCCCCCCTGTTCCACTGCCGCCCACTGCGCTCCTGGCGTCGTTGTCATCATCGAGGTACCCGTCGAAGCCATCGCCGTGGTGGGCCTCCCACTCGGCTTCGCCGTCTCGGCCGCCGTCATCGTCATTGTCATCGTCGTCGTCCTCGAGTCGCCTGAGGCTGTCCATGGTGCTCATGAACGACATCAGAAGCTTTCGGTTGAGGTGGTCCGTCTGCGTGATCGACGACGACAGCTTCATCTCCTCGTTCTCGATCATGAGCTGCAACATGTTGTTGTTGTTGTTCCCATCGTAGTCAGCGTGTGTGCGTGTGTGATGGTGCGTGTGCGCGTGTGCGCGGTGTACCTGCTGAATGCGCGACGTCAGTTTCTGGTTTTCGAGGGCCATCTGCTTGAGCAGCTCTCGCTCCCTCTTGAGCTCGACCTGCAGCTGCTTGGCTCGTTCGCCGCCTTCATTGCTCGCCGCCGCCGCCACATGCTTTCGTCGTTGCCGGTCGGCGTCAGCGCGAGCCTGGGCTTCGGCCTCTTCTGCGTCCTCCTGCTCTCGCTTGGCTTTGCCCTTCCGCTCCCGCTCCTTCTCTCGCTCTCGATCGCGTTCTCTGTTCTGTCTCTCCCGCTCCCTCGCCTCCTCGAGCTGCTGCCTCACCCGCTCCAGCTCCGCCTGCGCGATCATCACTTTGTCAACACTCACCGCACGACACGACACGACACGACACGACCAACGACACGACACACACCGCACACACCGCACACGACACAGACACACCGCACACGACCTTTAGTCGTAGATTCTCGTCCTTGGCTTCGGTCTTTTCTTTGTTGGTCTTCTTGCGCTCCTTGGCGAGGGCCTTGTTGCGGGCGGCGAGCTCGTTGAGGCGGCGCTTGAACTGCTCCTCCTGCACCAGGTTGGCCTGCGACAGGTCGGCCACCTTGGTCTTGAGCTCGAACAGCTCGCGCTCCTTGTCCACGCTCCGCTCGATCAACGTCTTCAGCTTCGATTGCAGCACCGCCCCGTCCTCCTTCGCCTTCATCAATCCTTCTACACAGACAGTATTTTTTAATATTTATTACTTTATTTATTTATAACTAAAAATCAAATGTATTAAAAAAAGATAAATAATAATGCTACGTACTGACGTCGACCTTGACCTTGACGCCAAAGTCGCGGCAGGCGTTGAAGAGCTCCTCGGTGGGCAGATTGAAGAGGCCGCTCACGTGGCCGGCGCGCCACAGCGCCTTGACCTTCTCCCGCGGTACTACCTCTCGATCAATCACCTTGTACAGGTAGATGGGTCCGGAGGCGGCACCATCGCCAACTTCTGCCTCGCCCGCTCCCTCTCCATCCATCTTCTACTGTGACAAAAAGATAAATAATCAAGATTTCCTGTTAAAAGTGGAAAAAAGAAATAAAAGAAATAAATGTTGTAGAGGTTGTTTGTGTGCAAGATGGAAGAAGACATGCCTGAGCTGGAGGTAGTGCTGGAAGAAGGAGAGGTGCCGGACAGTGCACTGCCAGCGGTGCCAGCCGCCAACGACAAAAAGGTAAGCACATGAAAGGTTTGCTAATAATTGCAAATCAAGATTAACATGATGGTGAACTTGCTGTCTCCACACACCAGGTGCCAGTCACGATCATTACGGGCTTCCTCGGTGCTGGCAAGGTACTTACACCGCTGCGCCTCGGCTTGGCTTCTTGCTCACTCCGCTCGTGACCCCACACTCACACTACGGCTCGCTCTCGCAACAGACCACGTTTTTGAACTACGTGCTCACTGCACGGCACGGCAAGAAGATCGCAGTCATCCAAAACGAGTTCGGCATTGGTACCATCATCACCATCAACACCCCACCCTCCTCCTCCTCGTTATATACGTGTGCACGTGCCGTAAAGGTCGGTGCACGCACTGTAATCTAACGTGGCTCGCCCACTTCTCCCATTCTCTGTACACAGAGACTGGCGCGGACGCCGCGGTGGTGTTTGGCAAGGATGGCACCAAGTCACTTGAGTACTTTGAACTGCCGAACGGCTGCGTGTGCTGTTCTGTGAGGTACCTTGCAACACAACCAGCACACCCGCGAGCGAATGACAATCACACTAGCTGGTACCAATGCTCATGATCGCCTTCTTGTATACAGGGGAGACCTGGTGCTGACCATCGAAAACCTCATGCAAAAGAAGGAGAAGTTCGACTACGTCTTCATCGAGCCCTCGGGACTGGCGGACCCCGGTACTACTGCGAAGAAGAACTCACCCTTTACACCATCTTCAGAAGCTCCTGCTGACGTCAGCATGCATCACTGTTGTCAAAACCACCCTAGGACCGCTGGCCTCCACGTTTTGGCTGGACGACGAGCTCGAGAGCGACCTCTATCTCGATTCGATCATCACCATCGTCGACGCCAAGCACTTCAAGCAGCACCTCGAAGAGGAGAAGCCCAAGGGGGTCATCAACGAAGCCCAGCGGCAGGTAGCTTTGCTCTACTCCTCTCTGGTCGGACTACAATCTGTCGTTCACACTATGCTCGTGTGTGTGGTGTGTGTGTGTGTGTGTGTTGTGTGTGTGTGTGTGTTGTGTGTGTGTGTGTGTGTGTGTGTGTGTGTGTGTGTGTGTGTGTGTGTTGTGTGGTGTGTGTGTTGTGTGTGTGTGTGTTATCGATAACAGGTGGCATTCGCGGACAGGATCATTGTGAACAAGATCGACTTGGTGTCGGCCGAATACCTGCAGGATCTGGAGGGCCAGATCCTGTCCCACAACTCGGCGGCCACGATCGTCAGAGCGACTCGGGCCGAGGTCGACTTGGACAGCATCCTCAACATCAACGCGTTCGACATGACCCGAGCACTGGACATCGATCCCCACCTCAAGTCCTCGTGCTGCTCCGACGCCGAGAAGGTGCGTGTGCGTGTGCGTGTGCGTGTGCGTGTGCGTGTTGTGATGAACGCTCACATCATTGCATAGGCTGGTGACCATGAACACGCGCACACGCACCTGCACGACGACTCGGTGGTGACGGTCAATTTCACGGTGGAGGGTGACCTCGAGCTCGACAAGTTCAAGGCGTGGCTGGCGGAGCTGCTCTGGGAAGAGAAGGGCAACGACATATTCAGGATGAAGGGCATCATCTCCATCAAGGACGAACAGAACAAGTATGCGCTTCAGGTACGCACTTTCACAACCACATCACACCTCCCACTCCCGCGCGCCACAAAGGCTGACACACGCACACACACGCACACGCGCGCACAGTCGGTGCACAGCCTTTTCGATCTCGAACAATCGAGCGTAGAGTGGGACCTGCCCAGGCAGGTGCGCGCGACCACGATGGTGGTCATCGGGCGGCATCTCGACCAGGACCAACTCGCCTCCTCCCTTCGATCTATCCTCTCCTGAGCTTTCCACAAACACAAGACTTCTTGAGGACACGACACACACGGCACGACACGACACTCGCGGATCGCACACACGTGCGATGGCGGGGGATTGGCCTTTGCGGGGTTATTCATCCACCAAGCCCCCAAGGCCTTTTGGCGAATTTTCGGGATGTTACACCATTGCCTGAAATTCGCAGTAATGACTCCTCATCTGCAGCGAATCGACGCAATCGCATGTTGAAAAGCTCGATAATCGCAACGTGAGAGACAACATCAACGAGCACATCCACAACAAACACAACATGGACAGCGGCACGAGCACAGGAGCGGGAGAGAACAGCGGAAATGAGAATAAATCGATAATCGTAGTGGGGGCGGGCCTGGCTGGCTCCCTGCTGGCGGTCTACCTCGCGAAGCGAGGCTACAAGGTCGATGTTTACGAGCGACGAGAAGACATCAGAACTGCAGAGATCGTTGAAGGTCGATCGATCAATCTTGCGCTCAGCACGAGGGGACTCACGGCGCTCGAGAAGGCGGGAATGGGCCACATCGGCCGTCAGCTCGGCACGCCGATGTACGGTCGCATCATCCACGCACAGGAGGAGGATCCCAAGCTCCAATTCCAGCAATACGGCGTCGATCCCAAGCAGCACCTCATGTCCATCTCGCGTACGGTCCTCAACGAGCGGCTCATCACCGCGGCCGAGGAGTACCCTCTCGTCAAGTTCCATTTCAAGCATCGATGCCTCAAGACCGATTTCGCCAAGACCTCCATCCAATTCCTCAATGAGGAGACCGGCGAGACCGTGACCGCCACCGCCGACGTCATCTTGGGCTCCGACGGTGCGTACTCATCTGTCCGCGCGGCCCTGCAGAAGACGCAGTACTTCAACTTCAGCCAGTACTTCCTCGACCACGCCTACAAGGAGCTGACCCTGTCGCCCGCCGCCGACGGTAGCTACCAGCTACCGAGCAACGGCCTGCACATCTGGCCGCGCGAGAACTTCATGCTCATCGGCCTGCCCAACCTCGACAAGTCGTTCACCATCACCCTCTTCATGCCCGTCAAGATGTTCGAGTCCCTCCAGACCAAGGAGGACGTGCGCCGCTTCTTCTCCATCTACTTCCCCGACGCTCTCCGCCTCATGCCCAACGTGCCCGACCAGGTAGACACTACTTAGCACCTAACCCGTCTGCCAGGTCCAGGTGGTCAAGAATGGGCCAACGCTAACGACTTGTCTCTTCACTTTCGGGCGGCTGCAGTACTTTGCCAACCCGACGGGTTCGCTGGTGTGGATCAAGTGCGACCCCCACCACAAGGACCACGTGGCCATCTTGGGCGATGCTGCGCACGCCATGGTCCCCTTCTACGGCCAGGTACGCGTTTACCATAAACACATCATCGTCACTCCCACAAGCCCTTTTGTGGTGCTCATGCGCTGCTGTTGCCTTTGTGTGTGGTCGCAGGGAATGAACTGCTGCTTTGAAGATGTCCGAGTGCTGGACGAGCTGCTCGAGAAGTACAACGACGATTGGGATCAGGTTCACTCCCAGCACATACAACACGATTCACTACTTTCTCGGTCGTTGCTAACAGCGATCGTCTGTTGTCACCTCTTTTTTGAACGAAGGTTCTCCCCGCATTGACGGCCACGAGAACGAAGAACACCGATGCCATCTGCCAGCTGTCGTACCGCAACTACAAGGAGATGAGCTCCCACGTCAGCCACGCTGACTATCTGGTACGGCGCACTGGCCCTCACCTCCTCTACGTGACGCGCGCCTGAACCTTCTTCTTCTTCTTCTCGCTCTACTCAGTTGAGGAAGAAGTTCGACACGATGATGAACTACTTCTTCCCCGCCTCGTGGATCCCTCTCTACTCCATGGTCACCTTCAGCAACATTCCCTACAGGTACGCAATCTCTTGCTCTTCCCCTTCCTCCACTTGATCTTTCCACTCACCCTGAACACACGCACCGCCGCACACGCACACGCACACGCACACCTCCGCACACGCACGATACAGCGAGGTGATCGAGCGTTCGGAGTGGCAGGATCGGGTGGTGGGCAAGATCAAGACCGCGGCGCCCGTCGTGGCCCTCGGCGCCGCGAGCCTGCTCGCCCTCTACTTCCCGCGATCGCGCGCCTTCGTCCGCCAGGCCCTCACCAACCTCGCTGACCGACTCTGATGTGCTCCTCCTTCTTGAAAATAAATACAAGATATTATTTTTAAATAAACTAATCTGTTAATTATTTGCTGGTTTTCTCTTCTATTATTTTTATTTATAAATAAATATCTGAGTATGAAGAGGGCGGCACGACGCCTGCAGGGGCTGCGGGTGACGGGCATCGCAGATGGAACGAGATGGACGACGACGAAGAGCAGATCGCTGTTCCATTCGTCGGCGGTGGCGAGGGAGGCGGCGGAAGAGCCGTTGTTGAATCGATTCACGACCCACTCCACGCGCACGCGGGTCACCTCGCAGCTCTGGGAGCGAAGGATGAAGGCCGAGGAGGAGCAGCTCAAACGATTCGAAGTGGCCACCGACGTCTCCGTCCACGGCCTCGAGGGCACCGAGCGCCCCTCGTTCCTCATCGACAAGACCCCCTGCGACTCTGCCATCGGTATCGCTCCCTTTTCTATATTTATTTATTTAAATATTATTTACATAGATCTGTTAAATATAAATAAACATACGAACATATAAACACAAAAATAAGTGGAAATAAATAATTGGCTTGTGGTAGAGGTGGTGCTGCCGTTCAGCACCGACCTGGCGCTGCGCGAGCAGTACATCAACTTCTACGGCAACCTGCGCATGGGCAAGATCCTCGAGGACCTCGACGCCTGCGCTGGTACCCCTCGTCCCTCTTCCTCTTGCGTAGGTGAGAAACTCAACTTTGTGTGTGTGTGTGTGTTGTTTGGTTGTGTGTTGTGTTGTGTGTTGTGTGTTGTGTGTGTGGTGTGTGGTTGGCGCGTAGGTAATGTGGCACATGCGCATGCGGACGACAGCAACCCGAAGACGAGGCCGCTGACCATCGTCACGGCTTCGGTAGACAGAATTGATCTGCTGGACAAGCTCTTGCCCGACAGGGACATGCGCATGACAGGTATATATCAGGTGTCCGCTCGGCCGCGCGACAACACAACACAACCGCACGCACTCACCGCACGCACTCACCGCCACACCGCACACACCGCACACACACCTCTAGGATTTGTGACGTACGTGGGGAGGAGCTCGATGGAGATTAGAGTCGAGGTCGAGTCCAAGGACCCCGCGACGGACCGGTTCTATCCGCTCATCATCGCCACCTTCACCATGGTCGCCACGTTCGAGGGCAAGGTACGTCACGAGACCCAGCGTGCGCAACACACGACACGACACGACACGACGCGACCAACGACGCGACCAACGACACGACACGACCAACGACACGACACACTGACACGAACGGCTTTCCGGGGCGTGGCGGAGTTTAGGCGGCACCGGTCAACAGGCTCGTCCCGCAAACCGAGCGAGAGAAGCAGCTCTTTGACTTGGGCGAGAGTACGCAATCACTGCATACCACACACCACACCACTTCATATCCCACTCCACACACACCACACCACACCACACCACACCACACACCACACACGTGTGCGGTGGTGGAGATTCCTAACCTACGGTCCGCACAGAAAACAAGCTGGTCCGAAAGGAGTTGGCCAAGGCCTCGCTGTTCACCCAGCCGCCCACGCCCGACGAGCAGAAGCTCCTCCACACGCTCTTCATGGACCGAATTGCCGGCAAACAAGTGTCGGGTGCGCAAACACGCGCGTTGTAGTGCTTTTGCTGTCGCCCACGCGCGTGTCACTCACATGCCGCACGCGCGCGCGTGTAGGGACGCCGATGTGTGCTTCGCGCATCCAGTCAGTGCTGCTGTGCCAGCCGCAGGAGAGGAACCGGCACAACAAAATCTTTGGCGGCTTTCTCATGCAAAAGGCCCACGAACTCGGTACCCACGCTCTCCATTTCTTTAAATATATATATACATCATTTTCTATATATTAATTTTAAAAAAACAACATTATTCCCAACACAGCGTGGACCAACGCGCACACGTTCACGGGCGTGCGGCCGTGGTTCCTCGCGCTGGACCAGGTGTCCTTCCACAAGGTGCGCCTCTGCCCAACACACAGCCGCTTGTCCAACATGACGGCCCCTTACCCCCACTTTCCACAACCCATATATTCATGTCATAGCCCGTCAACATCGGCTCGATCATCTTCTTCAACTCTGAGGTCGTCTACACCCAGTCCAAAGCCGTGGGTGTCAGGTACTACCCTCCCCCCAGATCACTGGTGCTCTACGTATGTCTGATCCCGACGCACACGCACACGCACACGCACACGCACACGACAGGGTGATTGCGGAGGTGCTCAACCCGGTGGAGCGGACGCGGGACAAGACGAATTCGTTCCACTTCACCTTCACGTGCCCCGAGGGCCACGGCGACGCGCCGCTGCCGGCGGTAATCCCCGACACCTACGAGGAGGCCATCCAGTACCTCGACGGCAAGCGCCGCTACGACGACGGCAAGCGCACCGCCGAGACCCTCGGCTCCCGCCTCCTCCGCTTCTACTGACCCACACCTTCGCCCAAAAACACCTGTTTTATTTTATTTATTTTATTGAGGTTTTATTGTTTTATTGTTTTATTGTTTTGTTTATTGTTTTGTTTTTCAGTGTTTTATGGCACCGTAGTAAGAAGCGGCTGCGGAGGTGTGGTGAGACTTGAGGCCCAGGGTCTCCTCCTCGAGCCGGTCGTCGTTGCGGTCGTCGTAGTGGTCGTCGTGGTCGCGCTCGTAGTCGTAGTCGTCGGCCTCGTCCTCTTCGACTTCGACGGAGCGGTGGCCGGCGTCGACCAGAGAGGGCGAGCACCTCTGGCGCCACTTGAGCCCAAAGTAGATCGGCACCGACATCTGATGAACATAGAGACGAGACTCTGCGTTAGCGCGCGTGCAGTGATGTGTGCAGCGATGCACATGTGCGTGTCGCGACTGAGTGGCGTAGTGGGCTGGTGACGTACGACGAGCACGGAGAAGAACCACGCGCTGACAGTGGTGGACACGACCGCATAAGGCAGCGCTGCAAAAGACAATATGTTTATGTGTGTTTGAGTGTGAGTGTGCAGCACGATATGGGATGTGGGAGGGCAGTATGTGCGCACGCACCCCATCGGTCGTTGTAGTAGGGGAAGAAGGCGGCGAAGGCGATGGCGTAGATGTAAACTGCGCCGCTGCCCAGCATCATAGGTCCGACCGCTCCTGCAATACGCACCCCACGAACAGGCGTTTAGAAAAGGTTTTTTTAACTCCGATGAGAGCAGGAAGGAGAGGTTACCGGTGGGCATGGCCTCGCCCTGGCTGATCCACAACGATACCATCGTCGTGAGGAAAATGGCGGGAAAGCACGCAAAGATGCCCGCCAGCACGTCAGACCACTTGGACACGAGCACCGCTGTGTTTTGCACGACACGACACGACACGACACGACACGACACGACACGACACGACACGACACGACACGACACGACACACCTATCAGAGGTGAAGGCCAATGCAATGCGAAAAAAGCAAAAAGAAGCGGCAGCCATTGTACCGAGGCCGACGGAGGTGGCGGCGATGGTGCTTCGGGCCAAGTAGACCAGGGGCGTCACCTTGTTGGTGCCCTTGGGCGACGGCACCGGCCGATAACACGCGCCCGCCAGACCCGCCTGCGTGCAGCGTACGAGTCGCGTGTGTCAGCGAGTGGTGGGCAGCGCAATTTAGGAGGCGAGAGAGAGAGAGAGAGTACCAGGAAGAGTGCGATGGCTCCGCATACGCCGACCTGGGGTATGGTGAAGCCGGCGCGCTGGAGGGCGCTCAACCCGAGGTAGAGCGCGATCGACCAGCACAGCCAACCGAACAGCGACACGCAAATCTGCGGATTGTACAACACACACACGCACACGCACACGCACACGCACACGCACACGCACACGCACACGCACACGCACACGCACACGCACACGCACACGCACACATGCACCACCGCACACACGGTCAAGGGTCAATGCAACGCGCGCGCAACACGCAACACGAATTCGCTGGACCGGTCGGCCGTACCATGGTGATCAGCCGCCGCTGGAAGTTCCACGACTTCGGGAAGTACGGAGGAATGACTCGCCACAGCAGGAGAAAGAAGACCGCCGACGTCCTGTGCCAAGTTTGTGACAACCGTGAGCCACAACGTGTGCGGTGAGCGTGTGCGGTGTGTGATGTGTCGTGTGTGTCAGTGTGTCATGTGTGCCATGTGTGCCATGTGTGCATGGTGCGCTGGCGAACACGTACATTCCCAGCGGGATGACGTAGAGGGCGTTGTCGATCTTGGTGTAGTTGGTGTCGGCTTGAATCGCCACGCCCACCGTCATCGGCACAATCGTGCCCGGCACTGTGCTGCACGTGTGTCGCCGATAGCCAGCCACCAAAAAAAAATGGGTTAAAAAGTAAACAATTTAAATATATAAATATATAAATATAATTGCAAAAAATATTCTCACCCCAGGATGCCGCCGAGAGTGCCACCCTGTGGAGAGAACCCCGGGTCAGCAGAGGAAATGCCCCGGCGGAGGGTGGTGGGCCGGGTTGTAGTACCCAGCGCTCGATGACAGCGGTGACGAGGACGGCCACAGCACCGGCAAACACGGCGGAGAAGATGGTGTTCAGCACCAGGTGCGTCGTGCTCCACTCCGGGTCATACTCCACCTCCCCGTCCATCCTCACTCACCTTCGCGTCTCTGGAAGCTTCTCGTTTTGTTTCGTTACCTTTTACTAATTTCTTCCCATTTCTTTTTGTTCTTTTTGTTCTTTTCTTCGTCATCTCGCCGACCATCGTCTTCGTTGGGAGAGTTGACGCCGAGATGAAAGGAAAGAAGACGTCGAGGACAATTAATTGTTTTCTTTCCACCACGCGTGGGTTGTGGTGTGTCGGCGTAACAATTGTGAGAGCAAACACAGAGCGGGGGAGGCGTCTAGAGGCGGGCGTGCTTCTGCTGGGCCTCATTGACGAGGGCGATGTCGGACGTGCTCTTGGGTTGCACCGCGGCGGCCCTGGCGTAGTACTCCTTGGCCTTGGCCACGTTGTTGAGCCTGCCGCCGTGTGCGCACGACACGCACAGAACACACCACACCAACGCGATTCTTTGTTAGCATCCAAGTGGTGCATGTGAGGAGTGGCCCGGTTGCAGGTACGTACTTGTGGTAGGTGTGGCCGGTCCAGAGCAGGTTCTCGAGGAACTCTTCGTTCTCCTTGATGCCTTCGGCGCCGAGGAAGTACTGCGTAGCGCGGACGAAGCAAGTCATGAGCACGCGGCCCAACGCAAGAAGAGAGAGAAGAGAGAAAGGGAGGAAGAAGAAGAGGAAGGAGGAGAAGGAGAGAGCTCGTCTCACCTTCGGCTTACCTTGAGGGCCTCGTCGTACGAGGACTCGGGCGGGGAAGCAAAGATGGCCGAGGCGAGCTTCCTCTCCATCCACGAGATGCTGGCAACGGCGAAGCACCAGCGACCCAGCAAATGGTTCAGCGTCTGATCGCCACCTGCACACCACAATAGAAGAGAGAAGAGAATAAGGACATGTAGTGGTCGGAGCATGACTCACTTCTACATGTTGATGGTGTTGTGGCGAGAGTGCGCACCCTTGCCGTGCAGCTCAATGGCCTTGAGGCAGTGCTCCTTGATGAGGACGGACTCCTGGATCTTCTCCTTAGTGCTGCGGAAGTCGGACAGGGAGCTCAAAACGATGGCATACCACTTGTGAGAGAGATCTAAAGATTGGAGAGGCGCGTCATGGCGATGAGCCGCGGCACCAGATGAACCTTGTCGCAAGGCATCAATGGCATTGCATGGCAGATGAGATGAAGAAGAATGAACGTACAGTTGTCAGGCTGCAAGACAAGGAGCTTCTCCGTGATGGCGAAGCTGGTGAGGATGTACTCCTTCTTCTGCGCAGGCTTCTCGGACGACATGTCGAAGTTGACGCGGGCGATTCTCCACATGATTTCGAAGTTGTCCGGGTAGGCCTTGGCCTGCTCGTGGAGAAAGTCGAAGAGCGCCGCGAACTCCTTGTTGTCATCCATGCTGTCGGCCTTCGCCAACACCTCCTGGGGAACTTCTTCGGCCATCTTGATTCGATTTGTTGTAAATGTGTAGGATTTGATTATATCGCTGTAATCAATTCCTTCCTGATTGATACCTTTCAATGCTGAACGAACCAGATGCACTCCAAGTGTACTTTTTCCTTCGTTTCTCTACTTCTCGGGGTCACCGGAGGTTTATTTCCTCATTTCGGCGTGGAGGAGCGATGAAGGGGAGCACAACATGTGGCTTCTTGTTGATCCGACAACCTCTCTCTCGCGAGCTTACATGTTCTTCTTCCACTTGGGCATCCGGTCCTCCTTTCGCTTCTTGACAAAGTCGCGTCGGCCCGAGTTCCTGTCCTTCTCCACCTCGGCGTACTTGCGCTTGGCACGCGTGCGCACCTGGTGGTCCGCCAGCAGCTCGTCGACCAGCGACTTCTTGGTCTCCTTGCGCGTCATGCGGCCCGAGTAGAACTCGCCGGCACCCGACACGACTCGCCCAATCTATCGCGCACCATCGGCATCACGCACCATCGTCATCATCACAGTCAGACAGCTAACCATCGGCACCGCCATCATTGCAGTGATGGTCTGAGCGAGTGCGAGAATGTATGAATTGAACATACCTGGAAGACCTTGGGGATCTTCTCGGGCATTCGCTTGTAGCGGCGCGTGGGATCGAGCTGCGAGCGCAGCAGGATCACCTTGTACTCGAGCTTCCTGGCCGCGGTCAGCCTAGGGGTCCTCATGAAGCCCCACGCGTGCTTGACGCCCTACGATAAAGAAAAGAAGAGAGTGAGAGTGAGAGTGAGAGTGAGAGTGAGAGATGGAGACGGGTGCTTCGCTCATCCACATCTTCTTTGTGCTCGTGTGTGATGATGCACGAGGGCCATACCTTGCGTGGCTTCTTGACTTCTCGTCGCAGGTTGCTGCTGGACTTCAGGTCTACCGCCGACGGCATGCCTACGGTCTTGTTCTTGTCTTCCCTCACTTCCTTCAAATAAAGGCGCGTCTTCTCGTACCCGCTCTCCAGATGCCTGGCAAACGCGAAGGCAGGGCCGTGTAAGCAAGTGAGCTGCAGCGCCACGAGCGTGGAGTGTTGAGAGAGCGGAAGGGTGACTACATACAGGTCCTTGCCCTTGTGCTTGGCAGGCTTTGTTGCAGCGGCATCCGGCGTGAGAGCCTTTCCGTCCGTCCCAAATGAGATTTTGCCAGATTCCCTGATTAAATCGATTAAATCGCAAACTCAGGACCACAACAGGCGTGCCACGGGATGATGGAGCCGAAAAGAGGAAGAGAGGTACAATTCGAGCTTGTCCAGTTGCCGCTTGACGGTAATGGCCGCCTTCTTGAGAATATCTTCTATGTTGTAATCAGCTCCGCTCTCGGTCTCTTCGTTCTCTTGCTCCTCTACCTCCTCTTCCTCTACGTTGTCTTCAGCAGATCCGAAGGAAATGAATTCGTCGTCCATCCTGTTGCGATTGTGATGTGATTGTGCGGCCAGATGGAACGGAAGAAGAATTTTGCTCTTGGGAAAAAGAAGAGAAAATAAAAATCCGTACCAAAAAGAAGGACAGAGATTGCAATCTCCCTCAACTTACAAGATGGCAACCCCCCAAGCAAAGAAATCGCCCTCTGATTTCTTGAAGCTCGTGCTGGGCCGACCCGTTATCGTTAAACTCAACTCTGGCGTGACATATCAAGGTATTATTTGCTGCTGACAAATCTCTTGCCCCCCCCACGATTTCTGAATGCTCTTTGTGGCATTGCTCTTCATCCTCCAGGGATTCTGGTGGCCCTGGATGGCTACATGAACATTGCCATGGAGCAAACCGAGGAGTACGTGCACGGGCAGCTCAAGGGCAAATATGGTGACGCCTTCATTCGCGGCAACAATGTGCTCTACATCAGCTCGCAACCAACGCACAAGCGCTCGTAAATCCTTTCACACCTCTTGTTCATACATCTCCTCTTTTTCTTTGTTGTTCATCTCAAGAAGATCTTGCTTCAGCGCATCTGTACATTTATTGCTTTCTTTATCTTCTGCGGCTACGAAGATGGGCGCTGGCGATACTTTGCTCCCGCCACCCATCCGGTCTGCTCCTTCGTGTGCACGTCAATAGGAGCGCTCTTTTCCTCTATCTGATCGTCGCCCAGACCGAGTTTGTCCCAAGGCTCTCGCTGCATCAAGCCACTACAGTTGTGCGAGATTAATCTCAAAATTTGCAATCTCCAACAGTTGTGGATGGAGCAAAGAGGCAGTGGCCGCGTACTGATCCATCCGACACTCAAAATAGTCCCTCGCCTTCTGCCGGCAAATGGAGGAACTGTTGTTGTGATCGCGAAGGCAAGTCCTGTAGATGCTGCCCTTTTCAGAGCAGGCCTGCTCTCGATCAAGCGGAAAGCTGCCCTTCTCTGGTGGCAGCACCAGCGGTGCTTTGTTCCTCATAGAATGCGACGTCATCTCCTTCAGATGCTCGATTACCTCCTCCTCCTCTTCTTCGTCGAAAAGTGAAAAAGGAGGAAACAAACACTTTTGAAAACAAAGAAAAAGAAGAACACGGCCATGCAAGCCACGCCCCCAGGTACCTAGCCCTTCAACTTCTCTCCTTTCCTTCCTTGGTACGTCCGCTTACTATTGCACTCGGACGAGCAGGAACGTGCAAGTACATCATCTACCTGGTGCCGCAGGGCGAGCTATACGCGCTGCTCGAGCGCTACCACGAGGAGTCGCGGTCGGTGTGCGTCAATGACGCCCACGACTACCTGCCGCACTGCACCCTCACCTCCTTCTTCACCTTGCCCAAGGAGGAAGACCTTTGCACCGTCTTTCTTCGGCGGCTCACCTCAGCGCTGGAGCGCGTCGCGACCGTGGCCGGCGACACCCACCACGACCAAGGAGAGCGACCAGAGCCGTTGGCGTGGGTAGAGGGCCTCTACGACAAGGATGGGGCCATCGGGCTCGCCGTGCGTGCGCCCAAGATCATCAGCGCCATCCAGCGCCTGGCCGACGAGCTGGACAACAGCAGCGCAGCGAAGGAAGGTGGCGCTAGCGATTGTGCGGCCACAGTTGTGATCTCGCCCAAGACGCGGTTGCACATCAGCATGGCCTACGGCGGTGGCGTGACGAGAGCGGGCACGCCACAGCTCTACACCCTCGCGCGCGAGCTCAACACCAGGCGCCAGAACCTTAGCGAGCCGATCCAGTGGCGGGTGGAGTTGCTGCGACAAGAGGCACATCACGCGGGCCAACCCAAGCTGTGGATGCTCGACGCCCTGTGGTCCTCTTTCCTGCCCACGTCTTGAAATGATGGGCACCTACCTTTTCCATTATCATTTTTTTATTATCATAAATGAGCCAATTACGGTGATTTTGCTGGAAACCTCAAAACACGACAAAAATGCAGGAAAAAGGAGCCTTTTGGTTGGCTGTCGGTTTCTTGCCAACATTTGCCGTTTCACCACAAAACCTGAACACAACGACACACAACGACACGCAGCATCGGTACGAGGCGAAGCGAAAGCACGAGAAGAAGCTAAGAAAAGAAGAGAGGCGGTTGGATGCAAAGATTGGACAGCGGTAGGGAGGGAAGAGAGAAGAGGATCGATGGCTGACTACTACGAGTGCGTGCGGACCGACAAGCTGCGGCTCAAGGGCGGGTCGAACCGGCCCAAGAGGAAGCGAAACAAGTTCACCACGGATGATGAAGACACGACCGCGGCAAAGACTGAGAAGACGACGGAGAAGAAGGTGGCACTCGTCTCCCTGGATGATGGAATCGAAGAAGAAGGAGACGACGTCGAACCGCCCACCAAGGTGGTGCGAAGCTATGAGGACTACCTGACGCCCGCCGAGAAGAAGTATCGCGCCAGGCTGGCCCAACGCGAGAAGGAGCTGATCCAGAAGCTCGCCGCCCAGTCGCACCGAGAGCGCGTCGAGGCGTTCAACGTCAAGCTCGAGAAGGAGCCGAACCACTTTGACATCCCAAAGGTCGGTCCCGGCTAGGTGATTGGCCTAACCTTTTATACTATATTCAAATATAATGTACCAGCTGTACACCGCCCGAGACCACGGCAAAGTACTTTCGTCTGTAGATCAGCCAACCGCAAGTTTTCGAGGAGTATTCTCACGTGATTTCTCTTCCTTTTCTTTTGGCGTTGGGACGCGTGCGCGGCGGCAGAAGGAGAGCCAGGCGGTACGCGGCAGGGGGCTTGTGATGGAGCTGAAGGGTGGAGTTTTATTGTTACCTACCTTCCAGGCGCCCCACGTTCAGTTCCACTAGCTCCTTGAACCCCCATACAGCCCCCCCCCAAGCAAAGCAGAGTGTACATTTATGTGGAAGAGGACCTGGGAGTTGCTCGTGCAGGCGCCCGACCTGGAGGAAGCTGGCGTAGAAGAAGGAGAAGAGCAAGCACTACACAAGCGAAAAAATGGAGACGCAGCGGGAGCAGAGGCAGAGCCGTTCCCGCTGTTGGAGCTGCCTATTGAGCTCATCCTTGCCGTGTTCGAGTACCTGACCGTCCCCGCCCTAAACGCTGTGCGGGCCGCCGGGTGCCGGCTGCTGACCGCCGTCGCCAACGATCCCTCGCTCTGGCGCGCCTTCTACAACCGCCACCGCCGGTACCACTCCAGTAGCTCCGTGTGTCATGTACGCGTGCGCTGATCTTGTGTCGTGTGCCGTGTGTCGTCCGTGTGGTCGGCACACAGGTACGCTGCGCACAGCGCGGTGGGGTCGATGGTGCACGTCGGGGAAGCCGAAGAGGAAGGCGACGATGGCGGCTGCTGGCGTGGCAGCCCGGGCATCGATCGGGCCGACGTGAAGCGCTTCGGGTGGCGGCAACTGGCGATCACGCTCATGAAGAGGCGCTGCTTCCAGTGCGGCGCCCAGCCCAGCTTCGTGGTGTTCCTGGACAACACGCGCAAGTGCCAGAAGTGCATCAGCACCGAGAAGCTGCGGCGCGAAGTCGAAGAGACCAAGCGCTGGGAGCTGAAGCATCAACAACCCCAACAAAGCGAAGACGAAGACAAGGGCAACGAACATGAAGACAACGTAGAGCAGCAGGCCAAGCGGATGAAGACTACGCTGTGTACCGAGGAGTCGAAGCAGAAACGCAGGGCCGTCAAGGTGTCGCGGCGACTGACCCGGTGCGTTGTACCCACCGGCCAGTCTCAATCAGCCAAATACGTGGCTCACATCTCACTCGGTCAACAGGCTGGGCGCTCTGCTGGGCGAAGCAGGCAAGCATGCTGATGCCGAAACCTTGTTGCTGGAGGTGCTCACGCGCGACATCGCCTTGCATGGGTACGGCATGCGTGGTGTGCCGTGTGTCGTGTAAACGAAGCTAAGTGTTTATGTTGTGTTCGTGTGTCATCACATATGCGTGACGGTGCGTTCTACAGGGAGAGCTCGCTGGTGGTGGCCAACGACTACCACAACCTGGCGCACCTCTGCAAACTGAGATCCAACACGTTCGTCTACGTGCGCGACGAAAAGGTCCTTCTTCTCCAACTCAGATTCTTCTCATCGGGCACTGATGCACCCCGTCACGGTTCCTGTGTGTGGCCTCCTACTACAGATCAAGATCTGCCGGCGCGGGATGGACTACATCGCGGAGGCGGTCCGCGTGTACGAGAAGTACCTGGCCGAGACCGTCGTCCGCCGCCGCCGTCGCATGCCGGCCGAAGAGAGCAACGAGCTCCTGCTCCGCATCGGCGACTGCCTGTGCATGCTGGCCGGCTACCTGTGCACCACCTCCACCCACCTCACCTTTGCCCACAAGCTCGAAGCCGAACAGAGCGCCCTGTACGCTGCACTCACTCCCCTCCCCCTACCCAGCCGATGCTCATATTGTGGTGGTGCTTGGTCGGCGCGGTCAGGCGCTTCCTGGAGAAAGCAATGGCGGTCTACGTCAAGATGGGCGATGAACGAGGGCTGGCCGAGGCCTACCGCATCTCTGCGGGCATATTCGCAGGTGAGACCAAGTTACCCTGGGCCACACGCACGACATTTACATCAGACCCATCTCACTCCCGCCATATCCGTGTGCGCGGGGGGAGGGGCGCAGACACGCACCACCAGGACAAGGCCAAGGCGATCGATTACCTGCAGCGATCGCTGGCGCTGGTAGACAAGATCTTCGGCCGCGAGAGCGTCCAGGCCGCCGACATCATGCAGAAATTCGGGTGTGACCCCTACATACCTTCTTCTTAGCTCTCCTTGTCAGTCGCGTCATTTATTAATCATCGACCTACCGCCACTACCACCTCCAGATACATGTATTGGAACTGGGACAGGGAGTCGGTCCCAGGTGCGGCCCAATCGCACACAAAACCACCCAACGCACGTGCAACTAATGTCTCAACGTACGTTGGTTGCAGGGTTGGAGAAGTCGCTGGAGTGGCACCAGAAGGAGCTGGAAATACGCGGCAAGGTCATGGGACTCACGCACCCCATCACCAAGCGGACCCGCGAGGACGTCTACATCATACTCGACCGCCTCGGCCGACTACCGGTAACTCGTGGCCCTCGCCACTCCTCGACGAGTTTCAGTATTGCCTGACTTGCTCTTGACGTACGCGCAGGAGGCGCGCGAGCTCTACGCAGACTTGCCTCCTGAAGAAGGCGAACATGTAGAGATCTGAAGTGTGCGTTGTATGTAGGAATTGTTGTTGTTGTAAACCCTTTGAACTCAACTCCCCAGCGGCGTTACATCTTGGCGACCTCATCAGATCCGCCCACCCGGTCGAAGAACGAACGCAGGACATCGGTCAGCGACACTATCCCGATCGGCTTCTTCCACGGCTCCTCCTGCACGACACTCGTTACTACGTGTGTGTCGTATGCCAGGGGGACACAGCGAGCACGTACCACCACCCACACGCGGTGTACGCGGGCGGCCGCGAGAAGCTCGACTGCCTCGCCCACTGTGGCGGTGGCCGAGCAGGAGATGGGCGTCGACGGCGCGTTCGTGTGCCGCTGCGCGAGGAACTCCATTACCGGCAGCTGCAGCGACTCGAGCTGCGTCGGGGTCAGCGAGCGCAGGTCGCTGACGCTGATGCTGCCCGCCAGTATGCCCTGGCTATCCACCACCGCCACCGCACTTACGCCCTGCGTGTGCATCTGAATGAAGGCGAACAGGGCGCGAGTGTGGGTGTTGACCGACACGATCGGACCTCCGCCGCCCGGCGTCGACTTCAGCTCGCTCACCGGCTTGTTCTTCCACTGCATCACACACAACACCACAGCGCGCTTAAGCTTCAGCAAAACACGCACTCGCGCACACAATCACGTGTGCATACATCGCCACAGAGCGTCAGGTTGGCTCTGATGAACTGGAGCATGTCGGACTGCGAGACTATGCGGAGGAGCTCGTTGGTGTTGTTCTCCTTCACGATCACTCGGTGCACGCTCTCCTTGAAATTGAGCAGCAGCTCCAGCAGCGGCGACTTGTCTGCCACGAACCGCAGCGGGTTCCTCTTTGACAAGTCTGTGCGCGTGCGTGTGCGATGGTGCGGGTGCGGTCAGTGACACCACAAGGAGGAGTGAACGGATGAAAGGCTGAGTGGTGGCGGTACTGATGAGGAAGGTGACAGGCTGTTCGGCGAGGATGTTGCCTCGCACGTTGAGCCTGTGGGGGTCGTTGACCCAGGTGATCCAGTTCAAGTGTACGTCGCCCTCTTCCACCTTGTGCTGCTCCGTGAAAGCCCGCATCACCTCGGCCAGCAGGTCGAACCTACCGTACCGGCCAGCACCCGTGGGTCAGCCCCTTGGTCGTTCGATGGAGGTGGGGGCGTACATGTCGACAAGGCCCAGGTAGCCGCCGTTCTTGTCCTTCACAGGAGCTGACAGCACCTTGGCTTCGGCCAGGATCTTTGTGTTGAGTTTGTGAGGAGACCACGTGAGCTCGAAGAAAAGATGAAAAGATGAAAAGATGAAAAGATGAGGCACAAGGGGTGGAGGAGGTTGGGAAGTACGTGGATGGCGTCTTGTATGGTGCATGAGGCGGGGATGGTGACCAGCTCCCTCTGGTCCCGCTTCGGGAAGGCGTCGCCCACCGTGGTGCAGCGCACCAATTGCTCGATCGTAACTGGCGAACTCATGGTCTTCAGCTCTTGTTGCATCCTTCTTCTGTTTCTTTCTCTTGTCCACGACTGCTCCAGCAGGTTTGTTGAGCCAGGAGCCACAACCGAAGGCTTTTGGTTGAAATTTCATTAACGTTCCCATCTTCACTCGCCACATGCGCCTGGCTCACGTGCAGGTTAGACCTGCAGTTATGTTCATCATGATGGAGCACACCATAAACCTATGAAGGAGATGGTGCAGGGTCATCTGTGGTGAAAGGAGTAGAGGAAGCCATACCCGCCTGAAAGCCAGCTTCAAGGAATTCCTCATGTCCACAAAAAAGCTCAAGAGACAAGGCTTGTGCTGGCTTAACTTCTTCTCTCAACCACTTTTGATGGATTCAAATCAGATGCTGAGTGTGCCCCTGTTCTGTGCACCCATTGGTTCTCACTTCTTCTGTTTCTTGACTGTGATCTTCGTGCCGTCGAGTCTTGCTGAAAAACGAGAGCGGGGGGGGGTCGCAAGCGTAGTGGTGTTTCCGGGGTGCCTGCAGCCTCTCAGCATCTTCGAGCCGTGGGCCGAGCGGCTGGTCCACTTCGTCCTCAACAAGGTCCACAAGCAGCGCGTCTTCGCCCTTCTCTACACCCCCAGCGCCACCGACATCCTCGCCGGTAAGTAAACATATCACCTTCACCTTCATCTTTCTTCTTCTTCTTCACCTGGCACCACGCTCACAACCCTTCAGCCGAAGAAGCCGAGCAGAACCGCGTGGGTGTGTTGCTGCGCGTGGTCAACGCATACTACCCCAACAACCCTGGCAGCAGGTATATAACGTCATGGCATGCGTTATTGGCAGCCGCACCATCATGATAGTTGCAATCATTGATGATCTTCTTCTTCTTCTTCTTCGTGTCCAGGTTCATCGTCTTGGTGAAGTCGCTGCACCGGGTGGAGATCAAGAGCCGCTACGACCACCAGGCCCTCAATTTCCCCATGGCCAACGTCGTCCGCTACCTCGACCACGACGAGCTCGAAGCCTCGCAGGTGGCGCCCGAGCTCATGCGCCAGCTGCCGGCCCTCGTCGACGATAAAGAGGCCGAAGCCGAGGCCGAGCCCGAGGCCGACCCGGCTGCCGCAGCCTAGCTCGGCCAAGGAGCGGGAGGACAGCATGCGCGAGGCGCGGGTGGTGCTGGAGGCCTTCATGC